TTATTGGTCCCCATAAACGTTTTTGACCCCAATGAATTTCTTATTGAGGCCAAAGAAATATATATGAATAAATTCTGTTTGACCTTTCATGGTAATGCCACTCACGCATATTTTGAGCTTAAGATTGATTTACAGCTCCACAAAATGTAATACACGCTTTCTTAAACAGAGGTAAGGAACAAGAGTTTGCCTAAACACTTTTACTTTTCTGAAACAAATATGCGTAGCGTATTACCTCTATCTAGCAGTAGCTTGAAGGGATGAATTCACCCCATGATGCCTCGAGGAAACGTGGCACTGAGGCGTGGCAACCCTACGCTCTACATGGGACGACTGGACCCAGATCAAAGGTCTTCAATTTTGCGTCAGATGAGCAACCTTTAGATATTTTTAGGGGTCATCAGTGTGCCGATAATCTTATTAATTTTTAAAGTTCGATATCTGACGCTTTCGATAACCCGAATCTACCTGTGTCTCTTGCAGGAAGTGGATAACGCTCTTTAGAGTTTGTTGATATCTCAATAGAAAGGGTTAATAGCATTACCGTGAATAAGCAAGATGAAACGTTAGGATACCGCACAGAAGGTTATGAGGAGAGAAGTTACAAAGTTAATAATTGTAAGTTTTTGGATATAGCTCCTGATCTGGGTCTTATTGGCAATCTAAGACTATTTTACAGAATAGAGAAGAAAACAAAGTTCTTGCTCTTATGCTTTAGAAAAATCTTTAAATTCAGGGTTTATGTTAGTAGCAAGTCATACACGAGCAATTTTTATGTTTTTTTTTAGTAGATTTTGGCCTTTTAAAGAAGTTTGTTGATAACACTAAAAAGTATTTTTTGGCGGAAGATCAATTTTTTTTACTTTTTATTTTTCCTAATGGTTGATGACTGTTTATTTTTGGTCTGGTTTAAAGTTGAACTGTGACAGTAATTGGAAATTTAGTATTCCTTTGTTTTAGGGTCCATTTGTGTATCTTTTTTACTTAAAATAAATGTTATCTCTACCTTTTATTTATTACAATCCACGTTATCAGATATATATTTTATATACAATTCAAACTTTAAAATCTTGTAAGGTAGATTTTGCGAACAAGTGAACCGTTTTACTTACTTTTGTTGGTATATCTGTTTTTGTAATAGAATAAATAACTTACAAATGGGCACATTACATTCCTTTAAACTTCTTATTTTCTTATCACTTCAAGTGTCCTTGCTATTTAGTACTCTTTACTCTTTGACTTTATTTTACTTCCGTTGAAGCTCTTATATTTATACATTTTATAGGATCTTTTATATCTAAATAGTTTGTCGTACAAAATCAATATTTTGCAGGTGTAATAAAAGCAAAAATAACCTACCTTGCCTTTCAAATTTTTAATAATTGTTAAAATTTAGTATTGTTTGCATATTTATAACTCTAAAAAAAAATAAGGGTTTTTATAACAACTAATTTTTAAGTTCTCAATTACTTAATAATACAAAATATTATTTTAAGTAAATAAAAACTCTAGCTAAACTTTCAAGGAGTTTAAGTAAAACTATAGACTTAGTGTAGCTTACAATATACAATTATTTCGTAAAGTATAGTACACCTAAAGTATCAAGAAACAATTTTTTTAAACCTAAAAAGAAAAATTCACTTAGGTTACAGTAACCAGATTTTTGAAATCCTATAACCAAGATTAAAATAATTTACCTAATTCTATCTTTAACTATACAAATTAAAAAGGGGTATATTAAAACTATAGAAATAAGATACATTAGACAAGTTCAGCTTTATGGTTATTTTTAATATTAGCTTTATTGGGTAATAACGATGTTTATATTACTTTACTTTAAGAATAAAATTATAAAGAGTATGAAATCTTCAAGTATATACATAGATTTATAGGCTTTCTCTAACTACAAAAATGTTTTATTGGTTATAAGACCTATCTCAATAATTTTATTTGCAGAGGTTGACTAACATTTTTGGGAGTGTGTTCGAAATGGCATTTTCTGTACTCCTACCACAGTCATCTCTAACCCTAGAGAGACCTAGAAAAACCCCTTTTATACAAGAGCACATAGAGCAGATTAGTATAGAGATAACCATACGCGCTTTCAACTAATACTCAACCTACCTTAGCCAGAGCGACATACCAACCTCCAATGAAACAAAATATAACTGAGAAATGATACATAAGAGATGAGGGCCCAACCCATGCTCCTACGAATCAAAGGAGTAAGCATGCTAACCGGGATGATAACGCTACAATAGCACTCGAAAATTACATGTGCGCTTAACTTTTTTGTCTTATCTCTGTGTGTAGGGCATTTCTCCAATAGCGGATTATTGAGGAGGCTTGCCTCAATAAGAGGGGTTTTATGACTAGCTGAAAGATGGTTTATAGATAGTGGCACCTTAGAGTAGTGTATTTTCTAGAGCTAGCTTTTAGACAATAGGGCTTTCTTTTTATGTCTTTTAAGTGATACCGAAATAGAGCTATTTGCACTACCAGGTGCCCAAGTATGTTGAATCTCTTTTTTTCATGTCTTGATTTGGGTTCCTAGTGGTAGAAGTAGAAAGAATAGACCTCTAAGAGAATCCTTATGTAGTAATCACTTAATCCTATGTTAGAGGAACGAGTTTCAAACTATTTGAAGTGGAAATAAAGTCAACACCAGGAAAGAGTGGAGCACCCATTTAGCTAGAGTTGAATTAAGTTAGAGCAAAGAGGAAGGTTCATTGTATTCTACTTAATTAAAAAAATGAAAAACTAAGACTATATTACCGAGTTGACAAGGGTTGAACTTAATAGACTGCTTTGAAGTTATGTCGAGCACTGCGTCAGCTAGAATTAGTTTGCATAAGATGGGTTCGAGCGTACTAGATTACCCTTAGTAGTTCCAAGGCTATCCGAATGGTTGAGTACGACTTGGTACCAAGCTTTCCTGTTTTGTAGTAGTGCTCGGTACTCTGCTGTAAAGCTGTGACAGTATCACCCTCGGAGTAGATACTACAAGTCAACGTCATCGACTGAATCTCTTTGTTCATCCTAATAAAATTTTTTTTTTCTAATAACATTATTGTAGATGGTAATAATCGTCATAATTGAGGGTAAGGATAAGGCAATAAACACCCTACTTGTTCAATTAGAGAAATAAAGTTCAGAGGACTCTCTCCTAAAGCCTTATCTAGTTTAGTGGTATTTATACTAAGCCTGGAATAAATTTTAGGAACTTTTTATATTATCTGACACACAAATAAGAAAGAAAATTTTATATCAGTAATAACAAAAAGCTGTAACACGGATGCTCAAAATACAAAGTAAAACAAAGGAATTAAGTTAACTATATTCGATATTCCATCTTACATCTTCCCACTCCTAACTCTCGAGTTAGAATAGACGCATTGTAGGTTTGAGCGTCATCATTGAAATAATCCAATGGTTAGCATTATGTAGGCATACTTCTAAGCATTTATACGCTTTAATACAGAAATATAAGCTTGTTGGTACCCTGAAAGAGCCCTTAGTGGCAAACGTGTTTGGTGTCCGACTAGTCCTTACGCACCTGGGGCCTATAAAATTAACTTTCATCTTCTAACTTTAACATTTCCTTGTAAATTTTATCTTTAACCTTTGTACTTTCCTTAACTTTACTGTACTTTGAAGTTATATGTGGTCTTATGGATAGAAGTAGGCTCTTAGCGGACTTGCTAGGTAGCAAGGCTTTTTTTATACCTTTTTGCGTATTTAAACGATGTCCTATTCTGTAAGAAAAATATAATTATGCTGTTGATACACTTATGTTTTCTCTATCTTTTTGCATCTTTTATAGCAGCTGGGCAATAACAAGTAATAATTTTTTAAAAATATTACTTTTTGATTTTTTTTCTTACTATATATTTTTTATTACTAGTATTATTTAAATATTATTTAAAACAGCAATGTGAAAACCCTAACCAAGCGCCCATTAATTTGAAAGTAAATAACACTATCCCCCGTTCCTTGGCCACTAGCGCAGTTCGGTTCCGATCTACTTAAACACTGGGTTATTTAAAGAACTGTAGTTAATGAGAAACTATGTTAAGACAGATAAGTCGGGATCAGAGTGTTCTAGCATTAGTTAGCGTTCTTTGCTAGGGAATTAGCTACTCTCTAGCAGGGGACAGTAACTAAATTGTGTTATATATAGTATAATTATATGTATATGCACCGAATAAAAATGAGGTGTGGATGGGGATACAGGTTGATTCACAAGAGGCTATTAGTTTTCTATTGGTAATCCGCTTTTGGTGAAGGTTATCAGTGATTCCACCGCACCTGGGCCAAATAGCAATAATCTAAGTCTGATATTTCTTTGCAGCCCCTTGTCCTTCTGAGCAGCCTTTATACCCTTTTGGGAGATACACACCGAGGATATACTTGTGCTTGGGCCTCTCTTTCATGTAAAAACTACAGATTAAGCATTAAAGTTCTTGTAGGTTTTCCCCCTCGGTGTATGTTTTGACTTCTCTATTTAAATCTGCTTGTATTGTCATTTAATTGGCATCCAAAGTAGTCGGGTGGCAATTCTATAAAAGAAATAACTAAAATAAGCTTAGGTATAAGCTTCATAGGTTTCATTAGACATATAAAGAAGTTCTTCTATATTATATTAACTACGAACAAATAAACGTAGGGGGGGTTATTTGCAACTGGTGAACAAGTTTTAGTATCAGCGAGCTTAAGCTTGCACACCTCTCTACAGTATTTTCTAGTTCAAATATTATCGTATAGTCTCTAAAAAATAAATAAAAAACCGAATTATAATTAATTACCTGTTCACTATGACTCATCGCTCATAATAAAATATGATGAAGCTGTCGCGTGTAACAGTCAATGCAGAAGTGATATCTTAATTGATTGTTTTTTAAAAAAATGTTTTTTGCTAGCATATTTTCAGACGTTCCACTTTTGAGCAGAACAATCAAATACATCCTGTTAAACCTAACGACCTTATTAAATGATATTCTGTCCCTTTAGGTAGGAGATCTACATCTAAATCGTGAAACTTTATTGGGTCAAAATATATTTACTTCAACTGAAGATTTACCTGCAATCCACAGACACTCCCACTACATGTGACCAGATTTTAGAAAGATGTTCACTTTTTTTATTTTCTCATGTAGCTCAGAGAGAATTTAAAGATGGAGGAGTTAATATATCGTCATAAAAAGGAACTTAAAGAATTACAAGCTGCAATCCAAGCCTTAAAGAAATCTGTTACAAAGGGTGACAAAAGGAAAAAGAAGGAAATTGACACCTTGATAAAACAAGTTTAGAATTAGTTAGCCTTTAAATACTATCTCCTGTTTTTTTGTATCTTTAGAGTACTATTCTTAATTTACTTAGAAAGGAGATGATTTGGCTAAAAAACATCAGGAGGAAAAAAGTGCATTTGAAGCTGATGGGCTTGTTATAAAAAAAGAAAATGGTTTTGCTAACTTTTTTTTTATGTATCTTTTGCCTAAATTAGGTCCCCCAACAGTTTTTTATGATGAAGTAAAATATATTGAGAAGAGAGCAAGAGCACAAAGAAGGAAGGTATATAAATATTTATTTATATATTTGCAACTACCGGCTCTGTGTTTATATTTTTTTAACTCTATAGGAAAAGAAGATAATGAAGCAGTTAGAAGAAATGAAGTTAATGGAAGAAAATTGTAGGAGTTTAATAGATCATAGAGAGGAAGAATTGTCGCTTTTGGATTCTCAACTTGTTGTACTGAAAAGAAAAGTTTACGAGGTAAAAATTTTTAGTTTATGAGTAAACATAATTTTATATTTCTTAACCTTTACTTATCCATATTTTATAGTTTAAAAAGATCTTTTAATTTATTTATTGTAGTTTCTATTTAAAATACCAAGAATTTTAGTAGGCTGGTTACGTTAGGTTAATTCTTATCGTAAGCTTATGTTCTGTAAAATTTTGCATGTAAAATATTTTTATTTTAAGAATAGTCTAAGCATTTTCGTTAATTATAGATTATTTAATAACGTCTCAAAACTGATTTTTCTTATTTTATATTTTAAATTAATGAATAATTTTAAGGCATTTTAATGTTTTTTTTCGGGTTTTTTTCTTATTTTCATATTAATTAAATGTTTTACTTTTTAGGTTCCTGCTGACGGCAATTGGTAATCCCCATATAACTTAACTTTTGAAATTTACTAGTTCAAGTAAAGTACTATTAAAATTTTACTATTCAAAAAACGTGGAATTTTAATGCTATATTTATTAAAGATAAGCGATAATATTATAAGTTACTCTAAAATCGAGCTTTTTGTAGGAATGTTTATGATTTATATATTTCAATCCCCATTTGCTTTTTTGTTTTTAAGTTATAAACTATATAGTATTTATTAATAACAACTGGGCGTATCAACGGTAGTGGTTGCTAAGAATGTTACTCACCCATTTTCTATATGCATGCGTGCAAAGTCTGTTTAGCGCCATCGCCCACCAGCTGCACATCAACCATATAAAACCTCGTGGTATCGCCGAAAGTGCGAAGACTCTAAGGTTTTGCGCCGCCGAATACATAAAGTATTTTTATACTGACAGTACTGTATATTTAATTTTTTGGAGAACATATTTACAAGTATATTTTGATATATACGCTAATAATTATTCATATAGGACTTTTTACTGCTTATTATTTTTAAGAAATATAAAAATATTAGTTAAGTAGTTCCTTTATATAAAATAATATAGAGTAAGTAAGTTTTTCTAATACATAGATCTCTACTTCTAGAACTGTTTAATTATTTTCATAATTTTCTGAAATTATTTTTTGGCTTAATTTCTGCTTACTTTTTTTTAACATTAATTTTAATTTTTTTTTTTGTGATAGGAGTAATAAAGAGCGTTTTCTTCCCTTTATGCATTCTGAAACTGGAGAAGTACTAACTGAAGGTGTTTGGTTATAAAGCATTTTTTAATTGTTGTTTACGGGAAAAAAATTAGTAAAACCTCTTTTTCTAATATTTTTTGATTTTTATAAACAAAAAAAACATTTATTATTATATTAATAATTACTGCTATTTACTCTTTTTCAGTTTTATTAAGTAAATGGAAGTTACCATTCGCTTAAATACTAAATTTTTTTTTATAAAGTTATGGTACTACATATTATTAATTGTTAAACTTTTTCTTTTTCTAGGCTTGAGTTGATATTTTTATTTATTTATTAATAAGAGGAGTTTGATGAGTACTGCTATAAACTTTCGCATACGAATGAGTGGGGCGGACAACTAGAAGTTATTATATATTATCGCTCATTTTTTACTGTGAACTTTTGATTTGCTTTTACTGAAGATCCAGGCTCTTTCTGAATCGCTCCATGTGGCTATCACGGTGGTGCAGGCTGCCCGTCCCCCCGTCTCCTTTGGCGCAGGAACAGCTTCTCTCTACTTAGTGTACTTGCATGTTTTTTTTGCCTTATTTTATTTTATGCCTGTTAAGTGTAAGCTCTTTGCTAAGATTTTCAAATTTATATAAGTAAAATTTATTTTTTTTTGGCTTAAATAATAAAGCGTTTCCCCCTCTCTATACTTTCATTTTACCTTAAAGTAGTTAATTTTACCCCTTTTGCTTCTTTTTTTAAATACTTTTTCTTTTTATTAGCCCTGCTGGTGTATAATTTGTAATAGCTCATGCTTACTGTTATTATTTTTTATTAGTCATATTGTTTTTTGTGTAATAACTTCAATTATTATACATTATTTTTAATATATACTTTCTTTGTTGCTATTAACGAACGTATATAGAGAAATCCTCATTAAGTCGATTACTTATTCTGCAGGTACTTTCGAAAGGCCTTCAGTCTTGGCGAGCACTACGACTCTCTTGTTCCTGTATAACAAATATTTTGATTAAGAGGACTGTTATTGCTTAAAATTAAAGATCTTCATTCATACAGAGGAGCTCTCAACCATTTATGTAAATTAACTATTAACTTTAAATAAAGAATTTTCTTCATATATATATTTAGTCATTTATTTACCGTAAAAATATAAGTACCAAGTACAGAATTAAAAAAAAGTTTTAATTAAGCTCGATTTTTAATAACTGGCTTTGATTTACAATTTTATAAAAGATGGTGTTAATCATTTGAAAACTGACTAGTATGCATATAAATAACTCATATTTAATTTGCATAAAATTTTTACGGCAAGCTGTTATCACTTTATACGGAATAATACTGCTGGAAACTATATAAATGCTTTATATTTGTCTTAAGTTAACTACCACGCCCCCTTTTGAAGCTGCTTCATTGTTTGGAGTCTAACTTTATATACAACTTTATTTACCTGAATTTAGTGTCAGAAAATAACTCTTTGGAAGCGATTTGACGGAAGTGCTTTACTTAAAAGGCCGAAACATTTAAAAATATTTTTTTTTTGTTGAGAGTCTTAATATACTGACCGAGTAGTATTGAAGCCGTCGGGGGCATAATTATTACTGCAAGGTGCATCCCCGCTGACATACCATGTACTTTGCTTTCCTTTAAAAAAATTAATTATGGAACGCTGCCACTCCTAACAGAAAGCTCTTGTTAACTCGGGCGAGCATGAGGGGATATAGTTTTAAAACTAAATAAATAGTTTTTTTTTAGTTAACAGGTTACGGAACATTATTTTAGTAATATATTACCATATGTCCCTTGGGGGTCATCTGCATGCACGCTTTGTAAAATTGATGAACCTGAAAACATCAGAAAACAAGAACGTCGACAGAACTATATAACGACTTTCCACCCGAAGCAGAAACCTAAACTACACTCTTATAGCATACGTTGAACCTTTAGTGAATATCAAGGAATATTAAAACCCGCATTGAGGGGGATCCTACAAGTACGGAGACCGCCGAGTTATACTACCTTGCTTTTACGGCGTGTAGCTATTGTACTCTTCGGGAGCGCTAATAAGACCTTGCTATCTGATGGGTTAAGTTGACTACGAGACCAATGAGGGTATGCTTATGAAAATTACAGGAGCAAATTTTAACGCGTAGCCTCTAAAACTGAATAAGGTAGCTAGGATTTAAAAAAGAATAGAAGCATCAATACTCTGATGGCTAATCTATAGCAAGATAATCTCGCAATGGAATTAACATTTTTACCCATCAAAGTTGAATTAAAAGTCAAAGCCAAGCGGTCACAGCGTATATACGTCTAGCAATTGTCGTACCCTCTTCTTCTGTGCCAAAAAGTTTTACCCCAACTTCTGAATGTTTTCGACTTTATCTATCAAAATTTCGATCTGTATCTATATCTTTACAAAAGGTCAATAACACTTCTATATTTGTTACTAAATCTAGTTGGACCAGATTAGTTTTCATAAAATTTTAAGTTGTTTAGTTGGTATCTAATTACTAAATTGTGTCAAATTATTTTGTAATAATTTCTCTCTCTTGACTTTTATTGGCTGTTTCCAATGTAGTTGATTGGTTTATTCACGAAACAGTTTTCCTGTAAAATTTAGGGGGGCTTGTGTTTAATGGTTTTTGTTTTTGCATCTTCTGTACTTGTGTTTTGCGTATTTTGCTTTATGGTTAGTGTATCTCAGATTTTAATAAAATACCATTTATTTTTGTTCTGTCTCTTTTTTATTTTTATTTTTTAATTTCGCGTTTGCATTTTATGTTTCAAACTGTGTCGTAGGTGTTTTTGTATACTATGTTACAGTGTTAAAATCCATGGTTGCCTTTTTAACTTTCTTAAAAAAAATTAGAGGTTATTACAATTTTTGAGGAGAGCAATGTATGGGTTTCTCGTGGTGCCAAAAATCGCTGATGCATCTCAATAGTCCAATCACTAAACTTCTTCGTCTCTTGTTGTCTGCCAATGGAGCGCTTTTAGTAGCAAAAATTATGATAATAACAATAAAAGAAGTAGGGCCCTTAAAAGGGTATAAAGACACCGTACGCAATAGAAAGGGGCCTTCTCCCCTTGGCTTTAGTAAAACCGAACAACTCTTTTCTGCAGCAACATTTCCGCAAACTGAAGTTGATAGAAAAACAGTCGGATGGAATTTTAACAAATTAAAAACTCCTAGCGCGGGTCTGAAAATACTAAGTGGTTGTAAATTAGTTTAAAAAAAGCAACTACTGGATTTCCTTGTTTGCGTTAAGGCCCTAGGGTCTCTAGATGTATTGGTACTCATAAAAGATTAAAAAAAGTTTTCATGCATCAATTTAGAAATTACATCCAAAACTACAAAATTAATTAGGCCGAACCATTTTTGAGAAATCGAACTTTATTGGAGAGAATTCTGTTGAAAAATAAAAAAAAAAATTTGACAATACTAAAGTATATAGCAAAAATAAGAAATTTACGAAGTTAAAGAAATTTTAAAAAAGAGTTAAATATCTTAAGAATAGCTATTTCAACTAGAAAAAATCTCAGAAATATTTCAGAAAAGGTTTAAAAATATCTTAGGTTTAAAAATAGAGTTAATTGTTGAGCTAAGTGACGAAAACATGTAGATGTGTCTTGCGACATTAATGGTTAATGACTTGCGGTAAGTCGGACATATAATGTATTTATAGTACTTGAAACAGAGACAAAATGCAAATTATTTTAGAAAACGCTATATAAGCCATAACTAAATAAATATTAGACTAATAGAAAGTCGTGAAAACAAAGTTTCACATATTATATAAGCTTCTGTTATCCACAAAAAAATACAAACTATAAGTGTCACATATGACGAACATGCACGTATAATACTGATCAAAGTTGTATTAGCATCCTAGTCAAATATTAATTTCTATTTTAAAATTACCGATTTATTTTTAAATTGCCTCAGGTTACTAAGTAATATATATATTTTAATATAGTTGTAGTTAACCGGCCGTAAAATATTTTTACAATAGTAATAAAAAAAGGTAACTTGGAGATAATGGTAGTGTTATTATGCTTATATTTATAAGAAATTTATGAAAAAAAATCTAAGGAAAGGTTTAAGATGCTGTAGATTCATTATATTCAAAAGTTTTTTAAATTAAAAAGCCCTCAAGCCCTTTTTACCGATATAAAGCAAAACCTGGAGTTAATGTAAAAATTGCCATTAAGCTCTTTTTTTTTCGGCGAGAAACTTATAGCAAGAATGCCATTAAAGTTAATTTTTTATTGGATGTAATAAAGTTTACTCTTGACACTTTTGACATTAAGTTGTCTACTACAGAAGTTGTACGTAAAAAAAAATATTCGAGCTAAGAGTAAGACACCGAGAAGGTAGGTCACTAAGAAATTGCAAAGTAGAGTTTAAATTCTTTCTATCAAAAGAGGAATGACCTCTAGTCATAGTTAAATAAAGCAATCGACATGCCAGTGTTGGGAGTTTTTATAGTAGCTCGTATAAGCGATTCTGGGAAAAGGCAAAAGACAACAATTTGTATAAACTTCGTATTAACAGGGTTTCTTTGCTATACACAACTATCTCTGTTACTTTTGTATATCTATACTTAGTTATATACATAAACCTATGTTAAGGAATCTTTATTATACTAACAAAATCAATTTGTGTTAATGTTAAAATAGAAAAAACAAAAAATTTAGCGTGCTTAAGAAACAATGGTCCTCGATGGAGCTGCAATTTATCTCGACAGTTTTATTCTAATAAAATAGATTGAACAATAGTAGCCCAGGTTAATACGGTCGCTGCATTTGAATCGTGTGCCCCAACGCTTTTTAAAGCGCCAACCATACTACTTCTTTACTCCACGTGAAAAGTTATGTAAATAATATTATAAAACATAAAACTAAAAGTAGCATTAACCAATTAATATTGTATCAAATTGCCCAACACTTTACTTGCCTTGGATGGAAGGGGTAGAAACCATAAAAAAATTTTAAAATTGGAGTTTTAAAAAGGATTGCTGTTACGTTTTCCAAAGATTTTTAAAAAGAATTTTATACCTTACTTTAACTCTATGTACTTGTTAATCAGCGTTGAAGTTAACAAAAACGAATTACACTTTTACCTGTACTAAATCAATGTTCTAGTATTGTGTTTAGCTTATTTAACTTTGTGACCTTATCAAGGGTAAATATTTAATTATCTATATATCTTAGCATATTCGATTGTTAAAAAAATCTCTCGTTTACTACTTTTTTATATCAGGAATTAAACTACAATAAAAGAACACTGAAGCATATAAAAAGATATGTGAGTACCTTTTCCAAAAATATAGAAAATCATCCTCAACTAGAAATAAAAAATGTCTAATATATTAAAGTATTTGTTTCGCAATTTTCCGTATTTTGGTTTTTCCCAATTTTTAACTTTTTATTGCCTAAAAATATATATATTTTTTTTAATCTTGGTCAAAAGAATTTTAATATACTACTTTTATAATTAGTTAAATTTTCCCTTTTATAATGAATTGGAGCTTTCCTGCAATAAAATTAATGGATCGCAAAACAAATGGGTTTATAAGAATATAAATAGATCCAACGTACAATTACGATACACTATTAATAACGTACGTCGATGAAAGGTAGATGTTGAATAAAAAAATAGCAGTGATCCAATAAAACTAAGACTCGGAATTAAATGGACGCAAACTTAGTTTCATAATAGCTTCGTGACGTTTTGGTGTAACAAAGACAAAAAAATTTTATAAAAGTTTACCAGCAAATGGTTTTTTTACTATATAAAACATAAAAACAAAAACGCTCTAAACTGACAAAAAAATTCAAGGTTCGTTGTTAGATTTTTCTGTTTTTCCTTTTACGGTTACCGGTGCGTCGAACTTCGTTTGGATTTCGTTTAGTAAAACTTAAAGCCGCTTTTGAGGGAGCAGTGCTATAAGGGAACGAGCTCTGCGCATGGTCACCCCATACATGAACTTTATCAGCTGTAATTGTTAAATTAAAGTAGATTAAAACTATTAAACTGCCACCAACACTCGTTTATTTTATATATAATAAAGGGACATAAACGAATATATTTTACAATTTACATAAATCTTAAACAAACTACAGAAATAGAGATTTTCCAATAACCTTGTTTTTTGGCTAAAGCTCTGGCTCTCAAGTATTCTTTTTGGTCAGATTTAATAATAACGTTATTTGCACTTCTTCCGCCTTTAAACGGGGGAATCGAAAACTGTTATATAAATAATAAAGTAAATAAAAATACGGTTTCACCAAAAACTAAAGTAATATCAACGCTTACTTTCTTCCCCCGAAGATTAAGACGGCTGTTAGACAAGTAAAGGCAAGTGCCATTCTCGTCAACACTAGCAGATACTAGTTGGTTGTTAAAATGTTAATCATATAATTCAGCTTAACAATAAAGAAATATTTACTTCAGCCACAATAATGAATAATAACAAACAATAATTATAATATATGTTTATAATAATTAGTATTCTGAACTTTTCTGTAAAGTGCTGTTCCCACAAAACGGACAGAAATGAATGTCTTTTTCATGAGCGGTCCTAAGTATGATAATAAACAGCAGATAAAAATATGTTAAGCAGCAAAACATGTACTAAAAGTTTTCCTAAATAACATAATAATTATTAGAAAAAATTTTGTAGAATGCCAATAATTATTGCTTCATATTTTTATTAAAAAAAAGAAAAACTTTATATAAAATATTATCACGATAATCAAAACAATTGGCAGTTCTTTACTACAAAACCTGTGACACGCGTAGCACCGAAATACAAAAGTTTTCACGCGTTTAATCAGCATCCCGTCAACACTGGCTACATGCAAGCCCATTTGAATTAAAATATTCTATAAATCCAGTTGATTAATAAAACTATAAAAGCTGTACGTAAAAAAAATAAAAAAGATAAAATATAGCAGACACTTTTAAGGAATTAAAAGTAGTACAATATACTATTATTTATATTATAATAATAATATAAATAACTTAAGAAAGAAAAAATAATGAACACAAAGAACTGCCGCTCAAACAGTTAACCAAAAATAAACTTTTCAAGATAACAAAAAACAAAAAATGATCAGTAACAATAATAATTTCTCTTTATAAACTTAATTATAATATAATATAGGAATTTAAAATCACTACAACATCCCAACAAGAACTATAATACAAAGGTTATAGCATAACTGTACGCTTATAATGTGACAAATTCTAAAGTAAAATTATAGCAATTATAATAATTATAAAGCCAACTACAGCATGAACATAATTTACTTAACACATGCCGTTATATAAAAACCTGCATTGCAAAATCAGTTGTCAAACAGGCAACTTCCACGTCTTTGAAGTGAGCATCCACGCACGTGTCGCCAAAAGCATCAAAAGCGCAAGACCGACTAACAATATTATCAGGAGTGATCCAAGTCTCGTCTTCAGATTCAAGGCTTAAACTGAATTAAGATAATATTATAAAAAAGAAGCTCAAGTAGAGCTGGGCACCCGCAGCTACTATATGCTGATGCTAGCCAATACCACGTGGACCATAAAGGTCTTTATTGTAAAATTTTTACAGCAAATCTATTATAAAATTATAAGGAAGCAGAGAGACTAATTAACTTGCACCGCAAATGTGGCAATCATACAATTCCCATTATAAGCAAAACAGTAACCCCCACACAAATATAGTAAAAGTATGTCATAATAATACTGCGCGTAAATAATTGGCAAAACAGAAAGTAAATAAATAAAAAAAAACGGGAAAGAAAAATCTATATAATTATTATAAAGGGACTCATTCCTATCTTCGATAACTCCACCAGCAGTAACTGTTAATTTATTTTCCTTAAACAAAAATAAAATGTACTTTTAAAAAATATAAAATTAAAACCAAAAAACTAAACACCTGCTGAATTGGTTCTTTTTTATAGTTTTTATAGTTTGAATAACTTTCTGTGCGTTTATAATCAAAAGCAGAAGAATTAACTTCAGGGAAATCCTTTTTGTCCTCAATAAGAGGCATAGTTTTTATGTGTTCCGCGGACCCTTTCAACTCACATTCAAGAGTGTAAACCAAAGCTAGTACTTTAAGATCCACAACAGACAAACTGTTAAGGTCCCCCGTTTGACGGGCAAACTCGCGTACTTAAATATAAAAATTATAATAATGTATAAAAAATATACATAAATATAAACCAGATTTCAAAGCAACAGAGGAAGGGTGCCTAATAATAAACTCGTAGGGATGTATTGTCAAAAGACGCCGAGAATTTCGATCACGAACTTCTTCTAAAACTTCTTTTACCGTATAAAGTTTTTCAGCTATAAAATCTAAGCGAATGCCCTTCAGAAGAATAAAAACTGAATATGGCAAGATATAATATATATAGTAAAAAGACCACTAAATAAACACAACTTTTATAAGAGCATTGGTGTCCACAACAAGACGACTAAATTTTTTTTTTCGTTCAAATATGCTTGAACAATTGCACTCTGAAGTAGTAGCAGAGTTATCATCAAATGCAGAACCCAAAGGCTGACATAAGGCGGCCATATTAATTACGCGACTTTACTAGAAGATTATATTAAAAGGAACTCAAGTCACGTGGTACCCTGACTATTAAGCACTCAAAAGTTACATACTTTTTTACCATTGGAAAATGGTTCACTATCTAGGACTTCTATTAAAAAAAATTGCGCAACATTGTCACAAAAGTTGTAAGTCCTCTTTTAGTAACGTGGCTAGCATTTTTTAGTTAATACTTAAAGATTAGATAAAAGGCATGATATACTACAAACTACAGGTCAGAATAAGTCTGAATTTTTAAGTTGAAGTCTTCATAAAAAATTACTGGCAAGCATAAATGAATTTAATGATATATAGCAGTTTGAAAAAAAATTGTTTAAAAAGACGACTTCAAATTTACCGTTGAAATAAGTCAACTATATGAAGTGCAATATTCAAATTTTAAAGTTTTCTTTAATTAGGCAGAAGTGTTGCTAAATACCACCTGAGAAACTGCTTCTGGGGCACCAACTTTACTAATAAAACCCATTTTATAGTGACTATATTTGGTGTGACCAAAAAATTGTGGGGTAGGTAACATTTTAATTATCAATTAACAAGCCCGCCCTGAGCCCTTAAAATTTGCTAATAGTTATATTTATGTGTCCATACCTTATTAGAGATAGTGTTTATAGATCCAAGCGTTTAGTTCATTTACATTCATAGGTCACGATTAAATTTCCTCATTTTCAAGGCAACCAGCATTGGTCTTTCTCGATTTTAAAAAGCATTTAACTAAGTTGGCACAAGTGTTTGCTTTACAACTTGCCTGCCATATACCTCCCGCCTCTTCTTTTGAACGTGCATAAAATCTTACCCAGAAGACCACAACTTAAGTACGTGCGAAGACAATTTACACCCACCATCCCACTAAGATTTTCTCTATCACCTTTGCTCTTTGCACGCCCACGCCTTGCTATAGCCTAGCAAGTTCCACACTCGAATTGCCTGATTCGCTGATGTTACGGCGATTTACTCCTCGTCAAAGTTGCCCGTTTTGAAGAAGTATTATTAAAACGAAATTAAATTTTATTTTACGAAGAGGCGCACTGCACCCCCCAGTGCTACTAATTTTTAAAGGCAGTGTGATCCCATGGCGCCCCCAAACGATATATTTAAGGGTCATTATCAACAAAAAGCTGCCATTACAGCCGCAAGGAAACTATTTAGCGAGGGAGGTCAAAGCGGAGGCTAAAAACCTGTAATTAGTGCTTTGTGTTAAAAAATAAACTCACGTGGCGTATTAAGTTGTGTACCAGGCCAACCATGTCTGGTGTCCGGGCCTACGACTCACCGGTAGTAATCATCTAGCTTCACTTGAGACAGAACAAGCTGCTACGCGTCGTGGTAGCAAGCCGTGCTATATTCAAAACGATATTTAAAATTAGAATTTCAACTTAAGCGCTCTTGCTTTCGTTTTTCAGTGTAATGCGATAATCACCGTGGGACAGCTTACTAAGCACACAAATTATTTACTTTAAGCTGCACACTGTCGTTGTCCACGCAGCGTAATTTGAAATTTTTGTTACACATAACTGGGTTAAGCTAAAGGTGAAAATAAATATATAAAATCTCTTCTGTATAACTTTAGTCTAATTTATCGGGTCTCATCCTGGTGATAGCCCGATTTGGTTTATTGACCTAATCGAGAACCAGGAAAAAACTCACTGGTTTCATTCCCCTTGGTTTAATCAATTATACATGGAAATGCGCACTCTTTCATGGCATATTTTTTAGCAACAGTGCATTTAGCAGTAATGCTTTGCTTTCTGTTCACCAAATAAGTATATAATTTTTAACATCGTGTTCCTTTTAATTATAACTTAATTTGAAAACATTTTTAACACCCCAAACTGCCCTGCGAAAAACGAAGTTCACTTGTAATCTTTTATGAAATCGTTAAAAGTGCTATAAGGGAAGAATACAAAGTTATGAAGTTAATTAGACAAGCGCGGAATTAGAACACTAGACCGTAAGAGGCCGAGTGCTTTATTATCAAGATTTTATCAATGCCCAGAAGATACAAGATGATGTTTCAACTTACTTAATTTTATTAGAATAAAAACAAAACTAAAAAAAAAAACGCAAAATTAATTGTAATTAAATCAGGTAGGAACTTAAGTAAATGCATTTATTTCGCAAATTATAAAGCCCTGGTGTTATGAAAAATATTCCAGGTCACATCTATTACAAATTACCATATTAGGTATTAATTATATTTATAATTTAGTTTCATTTGTCAACTTATTTTTGTATGTAAAACATAATTTTTTTTTCTATAATAATTCGAGCCAAGTTCATTTTGTCTTCGCTTTTTTCTTTTTCCTGCTTATTGTATATCTGTTCTTGTTTAAAAGGGGTAAAAGATTTAAATAACTTAACAACTAGGATAAGGAAAAAAAAATTTTGTCATAACTAAGAGTCGTAGGCCGACATTAGACGCGTATGTCATGATAGGTCGGATACACAACACATACAAGCGATGTTTGTTGTGAAACGAGAGTTTGCTTTGAGCACAAAACAAAGGTAAAAGTTTGAACCGCTGCCTTGACCTGCGTCGCGTTAGTTTATGTACTGCCCCACGACAGCTAACTGTCAAAAATAACCCCTAGGTATACCGCCTGAGGACATCAAGATTACCTTGTTTTCAAAGGTTAGCGGAGATAGCAGTGTAGCGCGCTTCTTCGTTATAAAAAGGGCATTGCTTTTTTCCGTATTAATAATGCTTTCCACGAAGACACCGGTTGGCAAATGCCAATAGGTAGTACTGCAGAAGCTGGCTTAAGAAGTCAGGCAACTTAACAAGGAGTAAATCCCTGCATCATTCCGCATATAGGGCATTCCACGTGCGGAGTCTTCAGGATATGGCACTTCTCGCGCATTCCCCCATACGTATATCAAAGATGCAGTTTGTAAGGTAAGGTTAGATCGCGTTAAAAAGAAGAGAAGGAAGGACTAGAAACGTAATTGTGAAGTAAGATCTTTTGCCGAACTCGGACAAACACTTATCCAACAAAGACGGCGCCTGTGGCCCTCTATGAATTGAAGGCACAGGTTGCTCACTCTGTGTCAGGCGAAGGTGTTGTCGAGTAGTGGAGGTCTTTGTCGAAATCCTAATTGGGACTCTAACAGGGTGTGGTTTGCGGTAACTATTGCTCTCAAGCGACGCAGCATGACCGCTACCGCTACTTATTCAACGGCTGACAAAAGACTATTAGGACTGTATTTCCATGGCGTAGATGCTGGTAGCCTTCGGGGGCATCACCACAGCGAAAGATGTTGAGGGTCATCTTAGAGTGGACGAGGCAGAGACACATTCTTCCGCCATCATTGGTAATTCCTTAACATTACGTTGGTGGCAACCTCCTGGTCACGTGTCTTTCGTCTCGGTAAAGCGTTAGTAGTCTCAATGAGCTCGACTATGGTGACTGGGTCAAGCTATTTCTCGGCATCAGCAAGTAAGTTTAGATCTGGCTCCTTATCTTTAGATGGTAAACCTTAAATATCTGTTGAGCGTTTAAAACGCAAATGTTTTCATGGGTATTTTAAAAATACACTGGTCGCAACTGATAATTCTGATCAAAGAGATTAACACATAACTGGTGAGGTGGTGTTTGTCGAACTTATACTCAAATTCCTTCTTGGGAGCTATAGTTTCACAAATGAAATATTGAACGAAATACTTCAACGCATAAAAGAAAAGTTATCACAGGTTGGCTGCAGTTTCTTCAGAAAATAGGTACGGGCACCGAGATAAAAAATCTTTAAATTTCGAGGGTTTCTAGGGATCTTAACATTATCTTTAATTTTCAAATCAAAGCATGAAATCTTAAAGCACTGGTGCCGCAAATGGTACCGGACACGATATTTTCCTCTACATCTCTTTAAAGCGAACACTAGGCATTCTAACTTGCGTTTGCTTTAATATTTCATCTAATAGAGAAGGGAAATAAAACCGATGTAACGGCTGTATTATCTTGGGCATGTGAAACGTTTGTAAAATACTACTTTATTGAAGGATACGCTTGCGTAGACGAAATGCTTGTTGAATTTAGGGAGCTATGCAAATTTACATGTAGAACCTCGAAAATACGGTTTGAAAATTATAGTATTGAACAATGCGAAGACCCCACTGCTTGTATCTATTCTGGCAAGGCAGCGATGAACTTACCCTTCTTGGAGATGGAAAAAAAAAAGGGTTAACCAGCTTAGTCAACTTTAGGTTTGCTTCTCCTAGCGACGGAACTAACCAAACACAACTTCTGATAACTGGTTCTCATTCCTCCCCCTTGCGCAGGTACTAAGGAAGAAATAACTGACATGCGTTGGGACCCTGAAAAAGAACAAAAGAAAGGTACCTCATGAATTTCTACCTGCAAAAGCAAAACAAGAAATGTCCGCCCATTTCAGTTTTACTAAGGACATCCTTCGAGCCAAAGAAAAATTCTGTTTTCCTAATTCCGTCAAAGCACCACGCTAGCCGAATTCACCCGGTGTCTGTAAAACTAGAACCATCGAGTTTTACAATGATCCAAAGGAAGTGTGGACACTTACTACGAAAAATGCACGGTTTACTCTACTAGTTGACGGACCAATCGATGACCTCGATATTTTCTTTATATTTCTAAACATTAGCCTCGTCTATGCCTACAGGTTATTTCTCAGTTTTTCTGGAAATTTGCGAAGAAGAGAAATGGATATATCACAAGTCTTGCAAAACAACTTGTATAGCCTCAACTGAACAAAGGCTGCTGAACAGTCATCCACCTCGTGAACTTCTACTGAAATCTTCCAAATCCTCAAAAATCCCTTATGGAAATTGTCCGAGAAACAAAGGCAGAAAGACAAAATTTAGTTTTGTATGTAACACTCCAATATGCGACAGCTGTACTGTTGGTCGTTGTGTGGGTTGTAATCAATCGATGTTGGCCAAATAGTTTATAATTAGGGTAATTCGTTAGAAGCGTTATTACTTATACAGCGTTAGCTTGTTTCAGTTTGTTCAATTTTTACAGTAACACGCATCGTGTCAAATGACGTAAGCATATAATATTAAAAATTTAAATCTACAAACATTTCTTATATTTTAGTATTCATAAATGCATTCTTTATAAGAGATACTAAATTACAAAAACTGATGTAAAAAGGTTTTTGCAAATTTGTCTCCAAAAACATTTATACATATGGGGTTTATTAAATCCCACTTCACCAGTTACGTTATAAAAAATTCACCTCCCCGATTACGGATTGAAGTCTGGAGGCGCAAGCTAGATCATAGTAACTATTGTTCTCACTTAATCTATTAATCATCAATCCAAAAACAGAACTAAAAACTAGAAACAACTATGAATAGAACGAGTGAATAACTACCCCTCGTCCATAATTACGAAGAAACGATACGTTTTCCAAAACGCAAAAAAAAGACATGCGTGCCTTGTCATCTATTAGATTTTAACTTTTGCCGGAGCCTCGTAGTAAAGAGGGGAGGGATACTAAATGTAAAGGTTTTGAAGCCTAACATTGCGGCTGGCGTTTGAAGAAAGCTTAGCGCCCGTTTAATAGATATCTGCAGTGCTTGCTCAAGCTCTTGGCCGCGGTTTTATGTGTTCTCAAACGACACACAGACACAGTTTTTCTCAAATAGCTGTCAGTAGTAATAATTAAGTTACGTTATTAACGTTGTGCACTATATTAACTTGACTATATTATACATTCAGATCAACTTGAGTTATGCCTAGTCTAACCTGGAATTCCAAACTGGGTAGAGTGAAGAATTATCTTGAACATACTCTGGGTTGCTCATGGATGGGTTGCCTCCAGTGAAATTATAGTTATGACTCAACTAAATAACGGCTTTAAAGGGCTTGTTTTCTTCCTTTGTATCATCCTTTTGAGTTTTTTAGGTATTTACTGCACCTTAGTTAGCAAAGTTTCTTCGAAGAGCGATAACATTATTCTAAGAGCTGTACAAGACGACTGGTATTATTGTTGTTTGTTTCCCTTGCTGATACCCGTTAGCGTTATATTTATTGTTTGTAACTGGTTAAGCTTTGAACTTGTAACTAGAAATTAGCATAATAAATTTATTTTTTTTTGGTTTTATAAACTTTTTCAAAATACAGTGTGTACGACACAATTTTTATTTATAAAAGTAAAACTTTATATTGTAAAACGGAATGGACAACAATATCTTATACTTCTAGAATTTTATTATACTGGAATTTTTAATTTTATTATATACTTGAAATAGCATAATAGCAAACATACACAATAAAATCCAGTACTTGCGAACATATTATTTCTTATTAAAAGAGAATAATGAATAGTGGTAAAGTTGTTAACCATAAAAGTTTGCCTATAAACTTCCAATAAATATGTAAGTTAATTTTGTAATCTCGATAGGATACAATGGCTCAGTCTCTAGGTAATATACGGAGCAATAAAAATTAGTAGAGTTCGTACTTTGTTACGTAACATAGTACGATTAACTTAAGTTCGTTTTTATCCGCTTTTAAGGGACTTGAGAGCTCCTTTATTTATAACTTTAAAAAAAAAACTTGACCCACACTCCTTTAGTTAACTTTGATATAAAAAGTATATCACTATAACCATGGCGAGCTCAGCAAGGTTTAAAAAAAAGAGTTTAAAACTTGTTAAGTTTTGATAATAACTTTTTTTTTTTCAATATCTAAAGCAAAGTAGCTTTAGATATTGACTTATTTTTTCGGAAGTCCCTTAATCCGGCAGAGTTTATTTTTGGACAAACATCGATGTCCTAATAAAAACGAGTAACTTATATTAAAAAGTAAGTGCTATAGCAATAATAATACTCTCGCTGGGGCTATCCACTCCAAAATCTTCAAAAATAAAGAGTTAACAATAACGATGATGCAGAAGATTTTGCCAGCAAAGACGCCACAACTGCACAAGCAATGAATAAAAAGTCAAAAAGCATGCGCCAAAAGGAAAAATACTCGTTGTATTTCCTCAAGCGCGCAGAAAAAGAAATGATCTTTTCGGTGGAAACCGTATCGTATACCTTTTAGTCGTGCAAAATAGTGAATTGCAAGACAGAAGAAACGTGCACGCGCACATGTTCAGTTCTCAAAGCAACATTTTTCCAAGAGTAGCATTTCTTTATCAGCTCATGCGCAGCGTGAGGATTGTGCTTAGGGAGCTGCTGCAGTGCAAAGTTGATGGCTTCGGAAACAGCCGCTGGATCAGGAGAAGAAAGCTTAACAAGCGGTTGTCTATAAACTTTTTCCCGTACAGCTTTAAAGCAGACACTTTACTGGAGTAGAGCTAGGCATACCCGTGCCATCCTTCGCGGTTTTCGTAAGCTCTTCTGGTAGCACTTCGGAAATACCACCGACATCAGTACTAACCACGAAAAGTCTAATATTTCCGGTAAAAATATGCGCAAGTATAAAGCATAAAGCGAGGCCAATACCCACACGAAGCAGCCTCCAGTATGGACATGCAAAAGGCTTCCGTTAGGGAGGTGTTCAAAAAAATATGTCCTTTTATTAGTAACTTAAAAATAAAAGTTAAAAAATAATAAGATTAAAGCTGTTATATAAGTAAGCCAATCTTTGATTTTTAAAAGAATTTTTTTATGATAGTAAAAAATATAAAAACAGTTTAATGTACTAATAAAACTATAAAGTAGCTGTTTCAAAATTTAAAAATCCATCGCTACAAATCAACTTGAAGTTAAAAGCTTGAGCTAACATTTCGAACGTCCTCATGATTCAACGCCCCCACAAGATCAACTCTGTCGTGAAGTTGATATTTTTCTCGGACTTCCTCCTATACAATATAGTCTAATAAAAATAACTCAATTATAATAAGAAAGAACCAGAAGAGTTCTTTTTGGGCCGTCGCCACCAATCACAAACTTAACTTTGGCATGTTGCTTGCAAACCTCAGGGATGACTTGGGCCAACAAGTCAATCCCCTTGCGATATACCAAGCGGCCGCAGATTATAATCACAACTGTTCCATATGGACATGTTTATTAAATAAAATATAAATCGCTTCAATTGTGAAGAGCAAATCTAATAACTACTTATAAACGCGCTCTTCTCGCGCACACTAAAAAAAAATTGAGTAGCCCAAATGTTGGGTAACACCGCGAAAAAAAATATATAAATAGCAAGTAACACTGACTCACGCTATAAGCAATGTAAATGCAACTTTTCAACTATAATACTATCAACAGCAACAGGAGAGCATACTACACTACAAATTTGATGTTATATTAAAAAACTTTATATTTTATTATTTTTTCTGTTAATTTTAAAAAATTAAAAAGTTCTTTAGATTATCTTTTACTTTTTAAGAAATTTAATATATATTAATAAAGGAAATGAGAATTATAAACTGGGATCAAGTTTGGGCCAAACTTCAGAAGGAGTAAACAAGTTACAGTCTACTGAATTTGGGATGACGGAAACCAACTGCGGTGGGATAACACTGCGTAGAACTGTGTTTTCTTTACTTTAGAAATGTCAAAAATATTGAGAGAAAACCAAAAAAATAATAAGTTAGAAAATTAATATTATATATGAATGGTAGAGAAAAGTATAAAATAGTACCACGTGTGAGACACACACACCACATGGCTTATATCACACAAAGTAAAGCGAATCATCTTATTGGTCAAGATGCTAGGCACATCAGCAAAACCAAATAAAGAGTGATCCTAAATGTTAAAAGTAAATAAATTTCATGTTAAGTGTTAAAGGATCCACTAAAAGTGTTGCACTAAAAAAAATAAGAAAAGTATAACTAAACTTTGTAATATGTACAAATGTTTCACTAAAAAGAAGAAAAAATTAAAACTTATTACTATTAAATAATAAAAATAAAAAAGGTAGAACGGTAAAAATGGCCTTCAAACCCATAGTTAAACCGTGAAATATAGCCTCATTGCATAAGGTGGAGCATGTCTTTCATTTAACAATTATATATAATACTTGAAGGTAAAAATTCACAACTAAGAGTACAGAATGACCGTGGACTATAGTTATTTTTTCTCTGATAAATATATAGCGAAGAAGAGGCAATGATGTAAATATTGTCGGCAGAGAAGCTTGTTGGTATAACACAGGAATGGGTAAATAATATACCTGTAAAACGCAAAAGCAATTACTTAAGTTAAAAAGAATATGTAACAGCTAACACACAACCTTTAAACCGTTGGATAAGTAGCGTACACCACATCTATCGCCATAAGCGTGTGTTACTACGCACACCTGGTATCGATAAAAACGGTTTAAAAAAACCAACTGATATTTATAATAAAATATAACCTTATGACCTAACTTTAACAAGCATTGCGAAAGATGAAAGATATGGCTCTCTACACCACCCATGTTAGGATAAAAAAAATCGGAGACCATGCTAACATTATCATAAAGTTTAGGTTAACTTATTAATTTCAAGAGGTGTAAAAAATTAAACTATAATTTAAAAAAATAGTTAACTAATGTTTATATAGGATGTAATTCTAGAGGGAGGGAAATCCAAAAAGTGACTATAAGAGTTTTAGAGAGAAAGTAAAAAGTTAGACAAGGTGACTAAGCTTGCAAGCTATGTTAAGTCAAACAGGTTACTACCAAATGCTGTGTTTCTTCCCACTTTCGACCGGAGAATACATGAGTACAGCAGATAACCTCAGGGCCACAACACCGATACACTTACCACTACGGTTTTAAATTACTGCATTCCAAAGTGTATTTTACAGGCGCCGATGGAACTAGTCCTTCATATTGCAATGTCGCTGCAGAGTGTCGACTTTACTATAATTTTTATTTAATTTTGATGCTCTTAAAAGTGTGCCACTTTATTATAAAATGTAATTTTAGAGGATATAATAAAATACCGTTTAGCTGAAAAGTGTTTTATTAATTATGGACAGCAGTATAGTAAATATGTGATCTTGTAGTTGGAACGCAAGAGCTATTCACGAGAATGAACACTAAGCCACCTTGTAAACTGTGTTTACTAATTTGTTTATAGGTTCATTTAATTTTACCAGTGAACATTTTGTCGCAAAGGGCTAAATAAGCCTTCACTTTTACCAAAGAAGTATGCTGATTATACTTTTAAGCAATTTTAAATGGAAGTCATTTAACATAGACTTTTTTTAACACTATTTGACTGAAAATTATTTTTACTTTTGAAGGCATTACTGATCGTAAAAAAAGAAAAATTGTTACAAAGTTTATTTGACTATTCATTCAATATATAACGTTTTTTACTAAGTATGACCCGAGGTATTTAGTTGGAGCTCACCACCTAATATTAGTTAACGAACCCCTCATCTTATTCTGTAGCAAACAAACGTACACAAGAGAATCTCCCGCACTCGTAAAAGCCATTAGCAAAGTTCAGCACTTGCCACTTGCGCTGGTTTATTAGTTCTTCGTCCGACATATCTGGCTTGAACCTTAATTTTCTGTTTTTTTAATTTACTTTTACTATTCTATTAAAATATTATATGGAAGTTAATGACGCGCAACCTACTTTTATAAAAGTAGTTTTTAAAAAAAAAAACCGTAATTTAGATTATTTTAAAATTAATAGGTTTCTGTTAGGTAACAGTAATTAAAATTCAGTGTTAATATTTATTTATGGCATCGCGCCTTTTTCTAATTGAATAATACAACCATTTGAAAATAAATAATTTATTTAATTGAAATAAATCACTATTTTTCATTTAAGTACACTAAGAATTTTAAGATTTTTTTTTCTTTATATTTACACCGTCTTTAACTTTATGATATTTATACTTTTTAATCTTTGCACAATTAAAAGTATAGCCTACTTTGAATATAAAGAAATCCAAAGTTATACTTTTTAAAAAAAACATGTATTTTGTTAGAAGACAGTAAATAAGCAAACCTTTAATAACTTTCTCTACCTGTTTATATAAAATCAACTAAGACTACGAATTAAATCTGTTTATTCATCAAGTCCACTGGACATAAATACAGTAAACTGTAAATTCCACGGTTAACCCTATTATTTACTATGTAAAGCTTTTATAAAAAAAACTTTTTAACTTTAACAGTATCAAAAAGGATGTTGTACCGTTATCTCTTTATACTTTCACTTTGTCTTATAACGTTTAATACTGTAAATAAGCTGAGTAAGCAAGGTCCCTGCTAAATATTGATTTTTTCTTAAGTTCTTTAACTTATTTTGATTATCTACAACAGTTTTATATTACCTATTCTCCCTTTGACGTTTTTTTTTAAAACCAAAGTTCTGTTGATTGTGCTACGTCTTATATATTAATATAGGTTTTAATAAAAGAAATTAAACACTTTTAGTGACCTTTTTTTTAATAATTAAATAATAACTGAGGCTCATATATGCTAACGAGGTGCCAACAATAGCAAGAATATACTAGTTTTCTCACCTTAAAAATTCATTCTTGTGTGATTACATTTTATAAATGTATTTCGCAATACATTAACGCCTTGTCCACTGGTCCGATACTAACAGAGGGTTAAATGCCCTTATAACTCGAGCTCGCGTAGAACAGCTCTATTTGCGTTATATCTGGGCTTTTTACAAAAAAAAAGTAATATAAAGCAAAAAGAACAACAAAAAAAGACTAATTTTAAGGCTAGACCTAAATCTTATAATATTCATGTAATTTATTTAGAAAAAATGATCGTTTTTGACTGACAATCCACAGCAAGAAACGAATATGGAAGAGCCGAGCCGGGCAAAGAGGAAAACCCAATCACGCTGTTAGATTTTCCTACCACGCCAAAAAGTGGACAACCCACCTTAAGGGATCAGGAAACCATTTACCAAGGTATTGAGTTCTAACACATGGTAATTGTTAGATCTATCAACACGCCAAGGCAGAAAATTATTTATTACACTACTGTTTTTACACTAACAGGGGTGCTCCTTCTTTCCCCATATCCATTGGAGTGGGGCCTTTCTTAATGTCGGTGGAGCGGGTCTCTATTCATCGTTTTTTTTAATCCCATGAACTTTATACGCTTTAAGATTAAGTTTGTGGTTCATTTTTAATATTTGGTACTTGAAAAATATGTCTAGAGGCTTATTAAAGCAGAAGGTTGTTCGGAGAGGGAAATCTCAAATGTAGTTGCTATAAGAGTCACCACTTCACAAGCATTTTTTTTACTTTGTAACTGAACTCTTGAATAGCGAATACCTACAACTTATAGAATTCGTGGATTTATTATAAAATAATGATTGCTATATGTTTATACCAACTTTTTAGTATCGGCAACACTCAGCTTCTAACCTTGTTTACATTCCGTTTTAAACCCATTGGAAATTGAAAATAGTAAATTTTTTAAAATCTAAGACTATTAGACAACTTATTTTCAGCATATTTAAAGATTTTTAGAGTATTTGTCGTTTTTTTTTTCAAATAAAAGAAATTACAGGAAGATCAATTTCCGAAACTGAATTTTTGTGGACGCTTTAGAAGGCTTGTAACTTGAAAGCGTGGAGAATATAATGAACTTAAACCTGTATTGTCAATTAGTTCATGTGATGGCTATAACAGAATGAAAAAGATCATAGGTTTTCAATTGAATTTACCAACAAGCTCTTGCTCCTACTTTTTCTTTTAAGAATAAAGTATAGGAGTATTAACAAACCATTTGACAGCTTTTTAATAAGCCATTCTGCTTAAAAATAAGCGTTTGGTATGGAATATACTAGATGTATTTTGTATGGAGGTTTGAAATATCAAATGGTTACTAATGTCTTTAAGTGCCGAACTTTGTCATGGACACAATTTTTTGAGACTTCTTTACAAACCTGAGTACTATAGTGCTTTTTGTGCAAACATTATAAACAGCAAAGATATTTCTCACATATATGGTAAAGTTTTGGATTGTACATTTCGGTGGAACAAAGCTATATTAACAAAAAGGCTGCACCGAAAATTTTTAGCCCGAAACATAAATGAATGTCAGAGGTTTGTCCAAAAGAATAATTAACCTCTTGTCTATAATAGTTTTACATCGTTTGCTTCTAACACCCCCAAACTGTATGTTGTTTCTTCCTATTTTCATTTAACCCTCGCAAACACTGAATATAACAACAGACCACAGGAAAAAAATTGCTTAAAATTAAAGCGGGCGTGCCAGTTGACCTTGAAACTTAAAAAAAAATACCGACTTGAATTTTCCTCTAACCACTCTGTTTCGTTAATGTTAGTTTGTGTTTATCTGATTTAAAGCATATTACTATCGAAAAAATAAATGCCTAAAAAGATCAGCTCTCAAGCATTAAAGTATCTCTCCCCCGTACAATTATATAATAACGAAGTTTACGAAGAAGGCCATCTTTCCCATACCTATTCTCCGTTTAACCTAAAGGATCGTTTTGAATCTAGGGACTCTATAAATCGGAAAGTTTGCAATATAGATTACTATACCGCTCGAGAACCTAGTGAATACTACCATCGCACTAGTACAATAAGCCGACGAGAGCAAGAGAGAATTGTATATCGGAGTTATTCTATAAAAAAGAGGAAGGTAGATTCCAGTAATTACTTTACAAGGTCACCGAGAATTATTAATAAAAAAAGGTAATTTAAGTTTGTTTTTATAAAAGATTTAACCTTATTTTTTTTTAGCACTACGTCGAGAGAAGCTTCTAATTCCCGTTCTCTGTATGATTGTCCTTCAAGTTTTAAACCTGTGTACAAGGAAAAAATATCGTATAAAAATCGTTATGGACAAAAGGCTATTCATGACGCTTTTAGCGGCACCAATAGGAGGGATAGGCGTACTGTTGAAGATTTAGATAGAGACTTTTATAACTGTAAATTTAATAAGGTATCTAATCAACGCGTTACTCTTGATTATACTAGCAAAAAAAATAAGGATAATTTATATAACAATAATACTAAAATCTCATTTTCCGAACGTCAGTCAGAAAAGGGAAGATATTACGAAAAGAATTTAAAAGACGTTAGACCAAGAACCTATGTTAGTTCGGATTTAGGCCCTTCTCACTCAAGGAACTATGATAATAGGAAGCAAAAAAGCTTTTCGTCATTGAAATCAAGGAGAAATGAAAAAGAAAAGTCCAGAGAAACAGACTGTTGCTATAAGACTGAACGCAGCAAGTTAGATGCCACTCGTCCCACGAGACAGGCTTCTTCGCGAATTAGTGGGTATTCAAAAGCTAACAGCGTTAATAAAAGAAAAGACACACTAAATATTAACAGCAAGAAGAAAAGTCCTGAGAGTGGGCGTACTGTTGCTGTAGATAATCGTTCTGCTTGTTTGCAGCCTTCTACTGTATGTGATGATGGTATAATGGTTGTAAAGCGGTTTTATAATGAAAATAACAAGGATTCTGAAGAAATTAATCAACAAAAAACTTTTATAGCTAAAAACGAAGTGACTCTTCAGGAAAATGACTCTTCATACAGCATTTTACAGAAGCCCGTCAATCTTTGGAGATGTAGAACTATCGATCAATTTAACATACTTTCTAAAGTAGGAGAGGGAAGTTATGGGTACGTCATTGTATATTGTAGTAGCACTGACAACTAATTATGTAAAAGGCAGGTGTACAAAGCGGAAGACAAAGTCGCTGGTGTTATTGTTGCCCTGAAAAGAATACGGCAGGACCGTAGCCAACAAGGGGTAATAAACATGTATTAAAGTAATATTTAATTCTTTAGTTATAGTAAATTATAATATAAAATATTTACTAGTTTCCTATAACAGCCCTTCGAGAAATAAAAATTCTTCGGGGGTTATCCCATCTGAATATCGTCTGCTTAAAGAGTATTGCTACCGGCAGCAGTAATTTTATAACGTAATTATTTTTTTTTGCCTTTTGAAATAAGCACTACCCTTAGAACATGATGGCAGCTTAAATAAACGCGAAGGCGTCGATTTTTTTTTGGTATTTGAATACATCGAAAACGACTTAAGCGGGTTGTTGGTACTTATACTGTTAAATACCTGCTATATTTGTTTGTTTGTAATATTGTTATATTAATTTTTTAGCACAGTGAAGAAATAAAATTTAATGTACCTCAAATTCGGTCTTTTATGAGGCAACTACTTCAAGGCTTGGAATACTGCCATTCCAAAAACATATTACACAGAGACATTAAAGGTTTATAATTTTTTCATACAACGTGTTTATCTAGTATTATTAACTGTCCGCCTTCAAAATAAGGATCGAATATACTATTGAGTTCCAAAGGAGTATTAAAAATAGCTGATTTTGGACTGGCCCGATACTGGAACCAGAATTCTGACCACACTCACCAAGGCAAGGAGTCCTTTTTATTGAAGAATTCAACTATTCATATGTTCTCTAGTAATTACCTTGTGGTACCGGCCTCCAGAGCTCTTGTTGCAGTCAAACCAGTATGGCCCTGGGATAGATATATGGAGTGCCGGGTTTTTTTCTTTAACCTTTATAAGTAGCCGTTGATTATTATAAGGTTTCGTACCGCTTAAAAAGTTTGCAACTCAGTTTTCGTCTTTATATTTTTCATGAGTAATTATGGTTTTAGTTATATAGCTTGTTACTTGTGAAGCAGTACGTTTTATCGTTCACTGTCATCATAAAAAAGAGTTACCGCCGTCTGGTTGTTGCATAGCGATAAGAGTTAACGTGTCTTTACCGGCTGGCGGGGTTCTAAATCCAATCAGTTGTGCATCTCCTGGAGCCATGCGGGGGGCGAATGGAGTGACAAATAATTGGCTATAATAGTTCCCACAAAGAGACTCTTTGTGATACTCTTGCTTTATACCAAAATCACGTGCCCTTTAGGGTCTGCGCTGGCTTAATAGCTCCGCCGGACTTTTGGCAATTTTTATAATATTAAAATTCAATAAACAACTAAGCATCCCGCATACTTCGTCGCTTTTGCAGAAGAGTTAGGGAATTCGCGGTGTTAGTTAAGGGCAACCGTATAAACTTTTTTTACCTGCGTTGCAAAACATTTTGGTCGCTGCTCGTTGTAGGAAAGGGAAAGTGCAATAGGCAATATAAGTAAACTCAATAGTAGCTTGTGGTTTCTACCTTATCAACGTTTATAGGTGTGTGCTTGGAGAAATGCTAACTGCCAAACCGCTTTTCAAAGGAAGAAACGAACTTCACCAGCTTGAGTTGATAAGCAGGTGAAAATAGTTCAACTACTCGTCTCTGTATTTATTGTAAGAGATTTTTATGGTTTTTTTATATTTTAGAGTCTGTGGGACTCCAAGTGAGGAGAACTGGAGAGGCGTGGCTTCGCTTCCCCTCTACGAGCAGATGCTTCCGATCAAACACTACAAACGACAACTCATAGAAACCTTCAACCAGCACTGCGAACCGGCGGCCGTCAAACTTCTAGATCGACTCCTTGTGTTGGATCCGGAAAGACGCCCATCTTCAACAGAAGCTTTAAAAGATCTCTTTTTCAAGGAAACTTCGAGCAAAAATGATAGCGTGTACGTGGCCTATATATTGGTGTAGTATGTACAGGCTGTAATAAAGATTACAAATAAGTTTATTAGTAAAGGGATGTATCAGCTTGTCCCATGTGATCGCCCTATCACAATACTATTAACTTTCATCTTAATTTCTATCAACTAATTGTGTATATTATAAATCGGCTTAAGGATCGCTTTAGGAAAAGGGTATCATGATTACGTGCAAAAGCAGAAACGCCGTAAGTTGGAGAAACAAAAAATCCAGGAGGAAGAAAAAATGGAAATTGAACAGAGAAAACTGCTTATTATTAAAAATTGTGCGAAAAACCTGTAAAATATTGTCGCATGTAGCGCGACTTTTGTATATATATAAAATAGGACTTACTTTCACGGGCTCCCAGCATAAATTGTCTTCATTTTGCTTTTCTTTATTATAATAAAGTTAATTGACTATATGCAGTGTATGCAGTTATTATTCCTTTTCTAGTTTGGGTAATATACTACAAAAGAAGGCACTGTCCGCTTTCGAAGGCCACTATACGCATCTGCAGAGTTTTTTACGGAAATACATAAAAAGGTGATGTTGACTTTAGTAAAGGATAGTTACTCATTCTGACTATTATTTAATAGGGTTCCATTTAATTTATTATTAAGGGGACTAGATATGCACGGTATACAAGGTTTATGGTTACAAAAAACTGTTATAACTTGTAAGCATAAGCAATTTTAATTTTATGTACCCTCTTTTCAAAGTTATATTGAAACCAAGCACATATTCCAAATAATTTTAATTTTTTGCTATGATAAAGATTTATCTGTGGCTTTAATAACACTACAAGTGAGCATTATAAATCCATTCAGCTTCAAAATCTGAAGCTTGTTGAAAAAACTTGTTTTCTTAATTATTAAATTTAACAGTGGTGTAAAATTCAAAGCAAACTCCTTGGGTTCTTTATATAAGTAACTTGCTATAAATCGCGCCAGGCAGCAATTGCTATTACAATTTTAAGAAGAACCACTGGACGCTGTATTGGAAGACTCTAACCACCTTTCTTACCATTTTCTGGATTGTGCTATACAACATAGAACAAAAATAACCGTCCCTTCACTTAGTCTTAGTACATATTACTACGAAGGTCACGACGTATATTCCGCCATCTTCCTCTGTTTTACTCATTATTCCTTGGCAAAAGTCGGGGCTCTCAATGATTCGCTGGCAGTTACTACGCTGAAGAAATGCCGATCCTCACCAATATAGCAAAGCGGTTTAGATGCTTATAACCAATCGGATCTTGAACACCGCGTACACCTATATTTGTTGAATTGATGGATATGTATAATTTATAAAGTTTTCAACCTTTTAAAACTTATTATGATTCTAAAAACGACCACCCTTACATTCTCAGTCCAAGGTTATACCCTATAATACCGTCTCCCAATAATCGCCAAAGCACTTACTTTAAATGGGTTACAGAACTTTAGTTCGGCTTTCGAAGGGGCATACTAAGCTCGTTATTAAAGCTTTAGAGGATAAATTTGTTACATATCTTGTACTTTTAAATGTTGAGGAAATCTTTAAAAGTTTATGGCACTAAAGACTAAGCTTGAATGGTACACTGTATACTTTGTAAAACCCCTACATTTATGAGTCCTTTCAAAAGACAGGAAATTTAGGACTAGGAAAAAAACTTTAACATTTGATTCATACTACCGTAGCTGTCCCCCCCCTGCTATTTTTTATTTTTACTCTTGACCCTCTCATGGCCAACCAGAGTTCCCTTGCGCAGTAGGGGATGAACACTGCAAAATATACAGGTTCTAAAGGAAGCCCATTGGCGATAAGTATGCATTTCATGCTTATTAAAACTTATTGAATATTAATTTATAATCCAATAAACTTAAACTTATTCCTAAAAAAAAAAAGCCTTAATAATCTCGCGGCCTGGTGAACAGATAGACTATTGGATAAAGATCTCCTTCAGGGCTCACTGCTAATTATCTTAGAGCTATTATTGACTTCAAGCTCAAAGGGGTTGCTTAAATAGTCTATCTCACCCAAATGTGTCATATAACGTTTTATACCAGGATACAAAGCCGGAATAAATTTTAATAACAGGTTGCTTCTATATAAAAGCAAGTTAGGCCTATTCTCACATACTTGTTCCTTTCGCTTGAATCTCATATCCTATATATAATTTCCCACAACTGCTACCAACGCCTCATGGCTTGCACTAAGGTTGTAAAGTTGAATTATGCAAAAAATTGCATCGGGCTGGTCAGCTTCACTCCAACAAATAACTATCTACGATAATAACCTATTATCTTTCGTGGTATAAGTAATAAAAAAAACCTGTTAAAGTTATCTAAGCCAATAAACTAAACACTCTATTTACACTCCTCCCTTTCTACTACTACTAGATAATAACGAATAGCCAATGCAAAAATAATATATGTCAGTTTTTTAATATTTATAAAAAATTGTACTTTCATATACAAATATTAATTATCATTTTATTAATTAATTGCAGTTCAATTATGGTGTAGTCAATAACCATAAAAGATATAAGAAGTCTGCATATCGATCCTTTACTACAAAGAATATAATAATTATCATGCAGTAAAAAGAATGTACCTTTCTGACTGTAATAAGCCAACTTAAAGATAAGAGTAAGAGGTACTCTATCTTAGGCGTAAAAAGAGGATGTTACGGACATGTAGTAGGAAAAACTATTAAATACTATAAGTTATAAATTATTAAAGGGGACGACCACGTCAAACTATAAACTTCTACTGAGGAAGCAAACGTAAAGAATTAAATATAAAAAGGCGAGAGCACAAGAGGTCCATCGAAACGAGGGTTTTGCCAGCCCCCATTTGCTGCACACATGATGCACATAAAAACAATTTATTATAATTTACTTTCTTTTATAATTATAAGAATTAATTTAATACTATAACTTTAAAACTTAACAAGTTAGCAGAGTTTCGGCGCTGTGGTTGGTACTATAAGAAAATCTTCAAACTCTCCATCTATAAGAAAATTTCTCAAAAAATGTAATGAATAGAAAAAGGGACAGTAGTGAAGTTATTATTATCAAAAAAGTTTTTATGTAAAACAACTTTATAAAAATTAAAACCACCATAAGTTAAAAGCATTCTCTACAAGAGCGTATCAGTGGATGTTACCTTCCTTTTTTAAGGTGTAGCCAATCACACCCTCATTTTTGAATTCAATATCTTTTAAGGTTTTATTAAGTTCAGTGAGAAGTCCGGCGTCTTTATAGCTCTCCTGCCCAACTTCAACTTAAAGGTATTAAATAAATCAAATCAAAAATAAAGAAAACCTAAAACTTTTATAATAATTTAAATACGAGAGTAAATGTAGAAATAAAGTTTTTAGCATATAAAGTTACTAAAAATGGAGTAGGCTGTAAAATAATATAATTTTTGATTTAAACCTTCTTATAAATAAAGGCAGTGCTTAGAAATGCAAAAGAAAATGTAAAAAATAAAAGTAAAGGTTGATAAATAATTTATATAATAATAGAAGGTATTTTGTGAAATTTAAACTAAATTTATTTAACAAAAACGAAATGGTAACTTATAAAATTCCGAATTATAATAGTAAATAAAAAATATGTGCTTGTATAAACTTTCTTCAAAGTTTTAAACGAAATATCAATATGTAGATGTACACAAAGGTAACTCAACACTAAAAATTTATATAAATTATAGTTTTAACAAATAAAAAAAGATGAATAAATTAATTTTCAGCTAAAAAAAAACAAATTTAAATAATTTCTCAAAACTAGAGTTATTTAATATATAAAATATAATATGAGAAGTAACACATGTCCACTAAATATAATCCTAAACAGAAATTAATAAGTAGTAATAAATACAATTAATCCGTTACTATAAGCTTCAAATAAATATTAAAGTTTGTACAGATTAGATAATTTAGTAGAGCAGTAAAACTATTAACTTCAACTGCACACTAAGTTCTAAATAATTCAAACTTTTATTCTCTTTCATACTTAACATTTTATAATAATATAACTTTCGTCTAATATGTATTTTTTATCTTACAATATATTATATAGGCACGGCAAAAGTACCTTTATGTAGACGGATATTTTCTTCATTTAAACTCAAAATATCAGAAATTTTTTTAACAAGCTCTTCCAAGGTTCCCATCTTATGCCATAAGATACATAAGTTTGTACAAAAGAAGTATAAAATTTTGTTAAAAAAAAGCTACTATAGTAAGTCTGACAGATAAGTGAACAGATTAAAGTTGACTATTGATAAAAACTTAAACTATAAATATTATAAAATAATTATAATAAAATTATTATTTATATAAACTACGACCTCCTTCTTCACGTTAAACACGTAATCCGAACAATAGCATTAAAATGATTTAAGGGAATGTAACGTAAAAATTAAGTTATTAGTTTTTTCAAAGTAGAAATACTATTTCATATTATATTAAATAATAGGAAAAAAAGAGAGGACATATAAGCGACCTCTGAATGTTCTATGAATATAGTCGTTTTTCTATTCTTGACACGAATGCAAACGGTGGAATCCATCAAAACCGCTTATTAAATCCTTTCCGTAAAAGGTCTTTAGTTGTGAACGTATAAGGTGTGGGCGTGGACGTTAAACAGTACTTATAATTTTACTAAACCTTTGAGCAAAATTTAACGAAGACGATTATAACTAGCTATACCGGAATATGAACAATATTATATATTACCACTGATGTTTTATTCTACAACTAGCGTTGTACCCAATGAACACACAGTATTCGGTTAAGGTTTAATTCTCATGAGGGTTAGGGTTAGGTTTTTTTGCCTTGCTGTAAAGTGTCCTATTCAGTGATTATCTATTATTAATGGCGACTGTCATACTACGATATTAATGGACCCTTTACCGCATGACCGAAATTCTTTAAGATTGGAGTAAACCATGTTTGCTGAGAAGCACCGGGCTAGAACTTTATTTTCAGGCACCGGAGGGACGGAGGTTAGATCGCCATAAGAACAGAAAATTCATTTGTTAAGGTATCGAGCCCTAATAAGAATGAAAATTTTTTTTAAAAACGCTGGAGTTAAGGCCCTTATTTCTTGAATGCATAATGTATAATATACAATACACCCATTTGGAGCTTGTAGAGCAATCAAGTAGCATTTTGTATGAGCTATGTCTGTATTGTATGTAACCCTTAACCTTAACCCCACCCTCACCTCTAAGATTTAGGCTTTAGTTCACAAAACTTCTACTAGATTGCTTTACTAGCCTCAAATAAGTGTATCACATATGATACAGTATGCATTAAAAGGTTTAAGCGTTCTAACTATAGGACAACTCCACCACGCCACTGATAATTTCCAAATTCTAAGCTAAATAAGAGTTTGGTAGCAGAAAGAATTTTCTTCCACACTAGAGGGAGGATTATTAATGAAGTTTCACCTTTATTTTTATATACTTCTACTTCCAACAGTTATATAGTAGGCGAATGTTCTTCCAAAAAAATATATGATTTTGTTCTTCACAGGCCCTAGAATGTACTCTTTTGCGTTCAGCTCTCTTTGTATAACACCTTATATAGGGAAATTAACGTTAACAACGTTGTAAACTGCAAGTAACCCGTATGCTCACTTGAAGGCTCAAAAGTAGGAGGGCGAGTCGTATTAATAAGTTTACTTGTAAATTTAATATTAGCTGGACATTTTAGTGTGCATGAATACTCATAATCAATATAAACACCAGTTTTCTTGCGCAGCCAATGTGATTTAGGTGAATATATTACTCCAAAAACTAGTTTTTAGCGGAGAGAAATTTTCTGCGGAAATCATAGTTTCTTGCGCAGCGAATGGGAAATTGATGCAATTTGCAGAGGGTGCAGGAACTAGTAGCATATTTGTATAAATTGTTTTTTTCCTTAAAAAGGTAACATAATATTTATTTACAACTCTTACTTTCCAATAATATAATAAACATACATACATAAAAAAATCCAGGCAATTGTATAACACAATACTTAAAGGTAATACTTAAAGGTAACCGTTACTGTCGATACAAACAACTCTTCTACCCCATAAAAAAAAAAGTAATATGTAATAAAAACAATTTTCAGCTCGAAGTTATGGTTGTTACGCTTCCGACATTCACACAGCTTTAAAGTTGAGATTACTACGCAAAAGGGTAACGGTGAACTAACTGTTAACCTAAAAAAAATTCGGGATCAGTTAAATTTACGCGAGAAAAGAGAATCAAATAAGGTTACTTCGAGCAATTCTTTTATTAAGTTGCGCCAGTTAAGAGTTAACTTAATTAATAAAGAGCATGTTATTGTTTATTGAATTGTACACATTTATAAAAATCTTCGACAGCTTGGTGGCAATTCAAAATCCTCTTCGGATTACTCCTATAAAGCGTAGACCGTCAGTATTAATATTATAACAATAACTATATACAGTAGGAAATTATTATAAATATTATAATATAACTAACCTAAGGCACCTTTCTACTGAATCCCTAAGATAATTACAATAATCTTTGCTCAAACTATTTCTGTATAATAACGGTAAGCTAATTTTCTTTAGTACCAGATTATATAGAAAACTTCTTTACTTGTACTGGCCCAAAATTTCAGCTGAGTATTGAAATATTTGGTTTTCTTTTAATGCAACCTGCTTAGTAACATCTTCTATATCAGCGAGCTACAGATTTATATAACAAGGTTAAAGCATTAAAAGTTTAACTACGACGCAAAAGTGTGTTTAGCGAAAAAAAACTACTAAAAATTAAAAAAAAAATTGAATCACTAGCGTTTTACTAAAGAGAATGTAAATGACAACTGAATTAATAGTTTTTAAAGGCTCTAATGTTGAAATAAAAAAGCAAGCAATATATTAATTTAATGAAATGACTGATTAACATAAAAACATAAAAGAGCATGGAGATAGATAAAAAACTTTATTTACCGTAAAAAGTTAAAAAAAATAAAATAATATATAAATAAGATAGAATCAATAAGTTTCCTACGAAACCTATAGAGCAAATTTTTGGAAAAAAACCTGTTCGCTTTGAAATTCTTCTTTCATTCTAAGAAAAGTAACAGATTATGTTTAATAAATATTTTTACATATTACAATTTTACAACCGAAAATAAAAAAAATAGTTAAGATAATTACAGCATAACACCTCTCTAATTCTTTGGAAAAAGAAAATTCAGCCTGATTTTTACCTTCTTGATAACCCTAAAGAGAAGTAAAAATGGTGGTAGACTAAAAAAATATATACATCCCTCTAAAAAAGTAAATACTTGCTCTCTAGCGATTTCCAATAATTCGTCTATATTATAGTTTTGTTTTTCTTGAATGTTGGTATATTGTTTGGCTAATAAAATATAAACAAGTAACTTTTATTACAAGGAACAAACTTTGTAAACAATTATTTTTACAAAAGAGAAAGAAGCAAGAAGGAAAATATACCAGCCTAATAGATAAACTTTAAAGAATAATGTATAAAGGATAATAACTTTAATAAATTAAAAAAGAAAAGGTAAGAAATTATTTCAGGACAACACGTTTTGATAAGTCGTTTAGAAATGCATCCGAGAATTCTAAAGTAATTCCATCAGCTGGCTCCTCCCTAGTGAAGGTGGCCGTTTGTGGTCGAGATTGCAGCACTCCCATATCTTTTATAAAAGATAATTTAATAGCTCTAAGGCCCACAAAACCTTGCCAGCAAGCAAACCTCTTTAGCTTTATCAGCTTTTCGATAGATAAAAAAAATTGGGTAAGGTAGTACCCTCACTAGTTCCTCATCTCTGCATAGATATCTACGTTGGAAGACGTATAATTTTGTTAGCCCCTTATCACTATTTAATATTAAATATAGTTTAGTTATGGAATTATCTCTCTGTGCAGTTTTTTTTTTTTTCTTCAATAAATGTTTCCTGCCCTTTTGAGGTGGAACGCTTATTTTTAAGTGGTGGTAGACCAGTAAAGTTTGTATACTGACACAATCTACTTAAGTGACCCAGGTATAAACAAAAACTAATCAGTACAGAAACTATATATTATATTAATTTTCACTTGCCCAGCGACGCCACTAACCCAAGAAGCGGACCACTGTACAACCACCCGACAGAAATGAAATTTCTTAAGCTGTCTTACTAACTAGCTTATATATATAACCTGGTTTTGTTATTATTAATGGTGCTCGATCGAGTCGTAAAAGACAACCCCGAATTTACGAGTTCTCAACAGGATGATAGCATTATTAGCTTTAAGCTTTTGTTATAGCAATCTCATAATACAAGTTGGAGATAATCTAGAAAGTAAAGCACCCTTTGACTGGTGAGTTAGCTAGCCGAGTGACCTCAAAGGTTTGTTAACTTAAAGGTTATATTAAAGTAGAAAAATGATAATTAAATATATTGCGATCCTTAACCCATCTTTAGTCTGCTAGAATTTAGTGGCACCAACTGTATTAGTAAAATAGGAACTTTAACTTTGAAGCTAAAACTTTAAATAATTTACACCGACGTTTTTTTCAGTAAAAAAAACACCAATTTGTTAATGTTAAAAATCGTACACAATTTTTATGTATTGTTAAAAGAAATTAAATTATACTTTTAAAAAACAGCAAGATTTACTGAAAATTAGTATAAAAACCGCATTGAATTATGATAAAAAATTGAAAACATGATGTCAGTACAACTTTCACAGTACAAATTCGGATGATCTAGACATAGTAATATAACACCTTTTACAGATATAAAAGGTTTTTCTGTCTTTTGCACGAGGACATTTGGAACATCTGGAACTTTTTTTTGTCTTTTAACCGGAGGTTCTTCTGGAATCCTTGTTACATTCTAGCATATATCGCGACGAATTCAAGGATTACTCTGCCTGCGGTAGCCCTTTCTTAACGAAGTACCTAACTGTTTCAAAAAGAAATGTCTTTTCATACATAATTTTTGGTAATTGTTTTGTATATTATCTGCGCATTACTACTTGCTGTGTTGAGTAGAGAGTAAAAGAGTCTCATTGCCCACCGTCGAGTATTTCATGTAGCATTATAATTCGCAGATAGTTCATCAAGTGTATGCACTTTCCCTTTGTCGTAGTATTCTATTATTTTTAGAAGTTGCTTATCTAAACTTTCCGGAATATACTCGTCGGTGTAATGTGGTGTAGAAAACAGAATTATATTTTTATTTTTTTTAAGAGTGCATGAAACAGCCGTAATTTTAAGAGTTAAAATGATAGTAGAGGACTATACACTGTTCTATTTTTCATTAACATTATATTTGAAGGAATGCGCCCTTAGGTTCTTTTTTCTATTGCGCCTACAGGAGTAAGATGGTAATAAATTCTAACATCCATGGATAGCTGGTAAACCAATTGTCAAACGTAATATTCCTTTTGGTGCCCTTAAGGTCAACAAGTTGTTTTACCACAATATAAGGAGAATTACTTTTTCTCTGTGGTCCCTCCGGTTGTATCCCCGCGTAGAGCTCCATATTTACGCGAAATAAGTTTCTTGCATTAACGAGAAAAAACACTTTAAGACCAAATTTCCACCGGTTTTCTGAGAATACTGACGAAACGAAACTCAACACCAAAACTCTTGCATTTTTTCATTTCTTGCAAGAGGGGTATAACTATTCTGACATTTTTCTGGTGGACAATAGGTAGCGAGTTGATCAGCAAAAGTGTCGCTCTTTCTGCATCATTTTCCTCTACAACATTGCCGTCTCGCAGAGTAGGTAGAGGGTACACGAGCTCGGTTTTTTTATTTCCTGATAAACTTTTAGAAAGAGACACCACGTTACCTTTATCTTCCAATGTATTACTGGACTCTTTCTTCCACCATCGGTAGTGGTGCGCCAACAGCTTTTTCCTTATAGTGTAGTCTGTTAAGCAATAATATATCTTTGGGGCGTAGTGACATTGTAGCCACTCGAATAAGGCGCCACGCACGCAGATAAAGGTCTTCAACTCAACATACAAGCGGGCAAGCCAGAATTTTATACATTAGCTACAAAAGAACAAGTTAATACTCTGCATCGACTATTAAGATTTAACCGTCAAAGCTGTATAGAATTGAAGGTACCTTAGGTTGACAACCTACTATTATCCACCCTTTCCAAGGCTAAGACTTTTTACCGTCTAAACTTGTATCATTTAATAAAAAAAGACGAGTGGGAGACTGCCTTCAAAAATAACATTTGACATATACAAATATAAGGTTATTACTTTTGGTTTGACAAATACTCCAGCTACTTTTAATTCTTTATAAAACGGTATTTTGTAAGATTACTTATATAAATTTATCATATTAAAATAAAGCTAACATATAAGATGTTTTAGCCAGACTAAGAGAAAACAAAATCATGTTACAAACCCTCTATTATGTTCTTTTCATGGAAGCAAAAAAATTTTATGTATATTGTTTCTCCTGACGGCACGACGGGCCCTCAAAGTAAGGTGTATCCAAAAAAACTCCAGAGTTCTTATTTTGTTAATTTTAATTAGGGTTTCATAAAAACTAATTTATAATTAGTGAAGCCCTTGACTGCTCTGATGATATAGGATGTCAATTTTATATGAAAAGAGTAAAAGAAAAGTTTTTTCCCAGTCAAAAAATACCTTCTGTCTGGCCCCCATTCTAAGCCAATTTTTAAAATCTATGAAATTAGTATAAAACATTAGAATCCTAATGCCCTCCAGAACACCCACCAGGAGATAACTCTCTCTTGCTAATATATACTGATAGTGGCTTAAACCTTGAACTTATATGCATTCCGGTTGGGGTGACACAGAATTTCAAATGAACTCAAGAAGATGGTTATAAGTAATGTGGATAAAGCTTACATACTGAGAATGAGTCTTAGCTATGGACACCAGGCAGTAATCTCACTACGCACAAGTGGAATAATGGTTGACGGTGGTATTTTGACTTTAGGAATATTGCGTTTGTACAAACAAACATAACCCAATTATTTGTGTTTACATAACATTTATGTTGACGGAGAGAAGTAGGAACTCCTGTCACTCGATAACAAAATGTATGGCGAATTAAGAATAACGACTTAGAGAAAAAAGTATTTTGTCGGAATGGTATTATATTAAAAACCAAAGGGCTGATGAATTATTTATCTTTTATCCCCTAAAATCAGTAAACGACTACGTATACTTTTAAACTGACTGGTTGCTGTTGGGATTAATTTGGTTAAATAAAGGTGCGTAAGTATATAACATTGTTAATTTCTTTGTAGTAAAGTACCTTTTTGGAGATCCAAGTTTTTAAGTTCTTTAAAACTTTTAGCTTTAACCCTTTGTTTATCCTTAGATTCCTAGTTCAGTTTCTGTCTTTTTCTATTTACTATAAGTTATCATTATTTTAGTTTTGTTTTAACTAGAGTGGGTTAATTTATAATCCCTGTCTCCTTAATTTTTTACCTCTTATTTTCATAGGAATAGTATTACCAGATTCTGGTTGTAACAGGGATAAGTTGGAGGAAAAAATATAAGACGAGCATCTGCGTTAATAATTAAATTTTCAGGCCTTTTTGTAGAACGCACAGCTTTTCTTATAGTAGTGTGGTAAGGAAGGTAAGGTTAACCAATCTAGTACTGAGAATGACACGCCTCTTGTACCTTTGCTTAAACTTTTTTTTTTCATTTAATAAATGATTTTTAGCTTCTAGGAATTTTTATTTTTATGTTATATTTTAATCATTTCAATTTATAATTTACCATATATAAGCTACTTTAAGTACGATCTATAACAGTAAAAAATCATTACACGTTACTAATAGTCATTCTTAATCATATATTTCCACGTCATTACGTTAAACCATTTAATCAGTAATTGCCTACCCATCGCCAGTAAAATAATCCACGCCAATCTCGTAACTCCTTCCTTCTAGCGGTATATACAAGGCTGCTTTCTAGGCCGGAGTCCAAATCCCTTGAAACTGCTTTTACAATTATTATACCACAACATAAGAATAATTATAGAACATTCAACCTTTTACCAAAATTTGAGATATTTTACTGTTGATTTCTTCCTTCTTCTTTAAACGAGGGTACTTTTTTTATGTTTGGTTACCATCTTTTAATTCATGCTCAATATTTACGACACGTAGATTGAAGTGGTAGCCTAAAGGTTTTAGACCTTTATAGGAATGAATGAGAATTTTTTAAAAAGGAACACCGATCTTCTAACGTTACAAGAATTAACGAAGCTTATTTCAACTCTGGAACTGAGAGCCCAAGACCAATACGATAAAGCTTGGAATTACGGCCTTTTGACTTTCGGCTTGCCAAACTTATTTACTGCCGTGCGTCTCAAAAAGAAGGTTAAATCCCTTTATAAAGAATTACACACTCGTAAAGGATTTCAGGCTCTCCCGTCAAGTAATGAATCAAAGACAGTCTCCGAAGAAAATATTATTGTTTGTGATCCTTCGGAACTTTTTTGTGGTTGATTTACTTTCATTTGAAAGTTGCTTTATTGTTTTATAATATACTCATATGGTATGAATTAATCCTAAAGGACACTATATATAGAAAAGATTACTTTGGAAACCTTGTTATATTTTTTTTTCTTCAGAATTGTTGACTATAAAGTTTTTCTGAGTAGTTTTGCTTGAACAACCTTGTAATATAAATGATTTAGCTTGATTTATATAGTAAAACTTTGAGAGTTATTCCATTACTATTGAGAAAGTGACTTTTTTACACGTTGAAAATTATTAATATTGGTTCTACCTGAGCTAATATACACGTATAATATATATATATGAATTAGCTCGCTTAGAACCTTTTTATATAATGCACGTACTATTCTTGCTGTTCGCTCTACTATTCGGCTAATTAAGATTATTTTAATAATGTGGGCCTGACTTAAACTTAAGTAAGCAGTAAATTATTTTTTTATCAACCATTAAAACCAAAGTAACTTTACGCTGACAATCTGTTATTAGTTTTACATAACTTATTTTAACCTGAATTTTGAGTTAAGGTGTTTCAGCAGTTCCACTTTAAATACTAATTTCATATAGAAAACTAAAAGATTTTTATTTTTAATTAAAATTTAACTTTTATTACTTTTAATAAAAAAAATTTAAAATCTTTATACCCAATTCAAGTTAATTATAATTATTACTGGATTTTACGAACAGCGTTTAACTCAGTTATAGCAAGAAAAGTGTAGACGAGCGCCACCTTTTAAAAAGTATTCTTTTATTACGTTCGACCACCCCTTAATTACTCTATAATTTAGAATAAAATAATGGGCAATTTCATATAAACAGAGAATTTATTTAAAGTTTATTAAATAAGTTAATCAAAACTCTTTGAGATCAATTTTTTAGGAAAATGAGACAATGCTAGTTAATATAATTATAATGCCAACCCTCGTAAAAAAGTATAAAAAAAAGTTACTAAATTTTTATTACAGTACACGCTTATATTAGTAACGCTTGAAGTTAATCCAGCTGAAGCAAAAGTTTGATGTCAGTTTTAAGATCACTCAAAAGCAGCAAGGCGAGCTTTAGTTCGTTATTGCTTGCTAGAGTATTAAAAGAAAAAGTTACTAATTGTTAAGAAAAAAATCAGGCACTTTTATAATAGAAAAAAATCTTAGAAAACTGTAATTAAAAAGATGCTAAAATTATCTTTATGAGTTTTTGAGTAGAGTTAATAGATTGACAAGTTCCACACGTGCATTGTGTATTATTATCATTATAAAACGGAATCTAAAAAAAACATTTTATTTGTAGAATTACAAGAGTAATAAACAGGTCAACTGGTGAAAAGAAAGGCGATGATACTCGGTAACTATTGCATAAATTAATAAGATTTTATAAAAATAAACCAAAACTAGTGGAATGGAAGTTACAAAGATAAAAGATGGCAGTGATTTATTTCTTAGCTACCAACAGATTATATCAGAAATATTGAAAATATTATAGCAAAATTTTTAATATAAAATAAAATTTACTAATTATTTCCGGAATAAAATTTCAAATTAGTTTACTATTGCAGACCAAGTGAATTTATACTAATAACGCTAAAGTACAAAAATACTTAAAAATCTTTAACAAAATTCATGTTCGAGGCAGTGAAATAGACGGAACAAGACAAGCTTATACTCTCTGCAGTCCAGTTGTAGTATTAAGTTTTTCAAACAAATTTATTATTATAAAAAAAATTCACTACTAGTGTGCGGAATTTCCGGAAAAAATACTAAAAACATTTAAATTAAAAAAAGTTTTGTTATTAACCAATAAAAATATGTATAAAGAAAATGGAGTCCAAATTGGAACTTTCCTTTTTCCCGCCAAAATGCGCATGGAACCGCAACTACTAAATTTTACGCCAATATTTATTAATACAAAGAAGTATATTATAGTAAACTACATCTTTTGGTTCTCTTTTTTTAATCCGTAATAATATAAAAAATGTTTAAATAATAGAGATCAAACAGTTTCATTAATAATAATAAAACTTTACTAATAAAAGGTAGTTTTTGTGCTTTTTTCAAATTTTTTTCTAATAAAAGAGTCAAGCGGATAAATATTTCCTTGCCTCCACCGCAAAGAATAGTCTAATGTAAGTTTATTTTAATACAAAAATATATTAATAGTAAAATAATAATAATAATAAATAACTGTTTCGTGTGAATCGATAAGAATAATAAACTTCAATAAATTTAAGGCCTGCATAAGCATACTTGTGTGCGTTAAGAGCGCTTCAAGTTCTTTAACGTAATCTTTAATGTATTTTTATTTCAATAACATTAACTTTTATAATAAAAGAATTAACAAGTATTTGATTTAAAGTAAAAAATCGAGAAATTATTAAGTTTATACGATAAATAGAACAAGTGTTTATGATAAAATTCAAAGATAAATACTTTTATTAATATAAATTTAATATTTATAATAAGCTAAAATATAATAATAGAAATATATAAAAACCTTTTTCTTTTGATAAAAAATAAAAAAGAATAAAAAAGATCTTTAAAACTTCTGCACTTAAAAAGGGGCTCTGAAGGTTCTTAATAAACAAAAATTACTAAAATAAATAAATAGATAATAATAATAATACTTCTCTGTATAAAGCTTCCCGAATTTCTTCTTTTAAAAGATATAAAAGAAGTGCAGCGGCAGAAGGAGAAGTAAGTATTGCTCGGTTGAACAAATCCGTCATCTTCGCAAAGAATATAAATAAGCATAAAAAAATAACAAAGTATTATTATTAATATATAAATAACATAAATAAGAAACGTAAAAATTTGGATGAAAGATAGAATAAAAGCTTTTATTATAGAAAAGAAGTGAAGTAACTATAAACTATAACGAAATAATATTTAATAGGATATAAAAATTATTATTTACACTAATTTATACGCAATAAAAATGCGAATAAAAAATATTAACAAAATCGAAAGAACCGAATATAAACGACTGGAAGGCTTTAAAAGTTGTAAAGCAAAACAAAGCAAAGGAGAGTTCCGCCGATAACAAACAGAAGAATTGAGCAAAAGAAAGTATAATACTTCGATATAAGCAGTATTATTATAATTATTAGTAAATGCAGCTTCAGAGTTAAGCTGGATAAATTCGCTTGCATTTAGGAATCTTTTATGAAATATATACTCGCAAAGGATGAGAGCGTCACGAGTATATCTATAATAAAGGTATATTTAAATAATAAATATAACAACATATAATATATACAAAAAAAATATAAACATTCCTAATAAAATATCATTGATAATAAAAAGTTTAGTTATTTGGTAGGCTATTAATAAACTGTAACAGTTACCCCCAGTAATCACCAATAGCATTTATTTAATGATAATAGTTATTAAAAATTTAAGCCAATCATAACAATTAAAAAGCGTACAGAACCACCGCAGTAAGAAATCTAAACCAATCAACTTATATATCACTTATAACAGTAAAATATTTCTCTAAAAAGAAATAATACATTAGCATAACATAGAATTATATGAAAACTTCTGATAATAAACCGAACAATAGCACATTATCGTAGTTGAGCGAAGAAGAGATCACATAAATAAATATTAATAGCAAAAATAGATATCAAATATATGTATAGACAACTTTATAGTGGTCCTTACAACCATTCAGTTAAGCAGTTCGTTAAGAGTTTTTTTTATTTATTTTTATAAAAAATAATATGTATTATTAACTGGCTTTTACCTATGAAACTTTTTTAACAAAAATATATAACTCGAACGGATTCATTTATATAAAGAATTAAAGTAAATAATACACAATAAATAAGAGAACAAGTGAGAGAATATTATTTAACGATAGTAATGTGAATTTTCTAATATATAAATATAAAGAGAAAAGTTCAAGTTTGAAACTTTATTAATAATACATATAATAATACTCTTCTTGAAAAAGGCTTCGTATTGCATAAAGAGAAACATGAAAAAGATAACTTCGGGAATAAACGTAAGGAACAATATTGTGTACAATAAGTTGCTTTATTAATAATGAGATTCCCATGCCGTTCAGCCCTTCTTTGTTATTCAAAAAATATCATATCTTTTACTTATTAACATATGGCTGTTATTTAACAAAGAGCAGAAATTTAGTAGATTTTAATATAAACTTAAACGGATTTATTATGAATAGTAATACTATAAGATAAGTCAGAATAAAAATAAACAGGAGCAAACGAGTCGTCGTGGAGAATAGAGTTATAAGAAAATAAAAAGGAACGCTCCAACCCCAAATCTCCAAGAAATTGCTATAAAAAAAAATATATGATAGTATTATTAGGAACACTACAAGAATATAATAGAGCGAGTAACAACAAGAACAATTATAAATAACAGATAATTATCCTCAATATTAACTGACCAATAGAATTTAATCTACTCAATGCTACCTCAATAGAAAAACAGCTTAAAAACCTTAGTTTTTTTCTAAAGTTTTTTTTCTTGCAAAACTGTCAGTATTTTTATTGATATTAGCCGTTTCCATAAACTCATACACATAAATATAAACAACAAGCGTTGATAGTAAATTATTTTAAGATGCCTTTTCATAAATAAAAATCTATTATGCTAAGCAAGCCTTAAAAAGTATATTTGAGGTATTAAAGTTAATATAAAGAATATACAAGAAAAACAAAGATCGTACGTTCATATCTCGTCAAAAGTAATTTAATAAACGAATCAATGGTTTACAGTAAGTTTAGCAGAATAAAATCCAGTTGGACAGTTTTGAAAATCTTCGCAGAGCATTTGGGGAACAAAGTCAAGAATAAAACCAATCAGCACTGCTCTTTCATGAGAAATTACTGAATTTTCGGATTCATTTTGTTTTGTCCCAGAGAAGTTCTGTTTATACAAAAAATAATATATTTAAATAAAAAACTAATACACTATAAAAATTTAAAAATAATAAATATATATACATACAGTTAAAATTTCTTAATACAGTCATAAATATAGAGCGAAGTAGTAACGAATTCATAAACTAGCACTTTGCAAATATAAAGTGGAAAGTAAAAAACAATGAAAGTAATATAACGCTTAGAAGAAGTTGGGAGGCCGCTAGCAGCTCAACAATCCGGTCCATCCAATTACACCACATCTTCTTAAGCTCTACCTCCGATTCGCTCTGCTCGTGTCGAGGTACCGCTAGTATATAAGACCGAAATTTGGCCGTCCAAGCAAGGATATCTCCGCCAATTAATTTTAGATGTTCTCTGGGTTGTCCACTCGTATGGATTACTAGAAAAATGGACGAATAAGGTCATGCTCTTCAAAATTATTATTATTTTTAATGGTTACATAATTTATAACAAACAAGATAAAGATGAACATAAACTTTAGCGACTTGGAAAAATTGTGGCTCTTGTAACTCTTCGCTAAAAGCAAAAGAAAAAAGTAAATATTAATATTAAGTATTTGAAAGTTAATTAACTTTTTCATAAAAAATAATACATAAAAAAGTTAAGAAAAAAAATGAAATTTATTTAGATGCTATTATCTTTTAAATTTCTTTTATTAAGATTAAAGTTTGTAATAATAATAACAAGAAAGTTAGAGCTTCCCAAAATAATAATAGTAATACTGTAACGATTTTAACTTAGCTATAAGTTTTAGAATTAACTACAGATTTTAAATTTAAATTAAAATAATAGAATCTTATAAACTATTTAATTTAAAAAAGAATAAGTATTACTTTTATAATAATTCTATAACGTTAAATTAGAAAACATTAAGCAACCCTTGACCTTTGTAAAACAAGTTACCAAAAGATTGACTAAGAAATTTTCATATAACAACTTTCAATTGATTTAAATTAGTTACAATACGATTAATTTACTACAAATTATCTTTTTCGTTGAATTAAATCTGTACAAATTTAGTAATACTTTTAAAAATACCATAAATAACAAAACGCAGAAAATAAAAATAATATGTGTTACTATTTATATAAAAGATCCTCAGAAGAGTACAAAAATTCAAAAAGGAGTTCCCGAATAGTTCCCGTTCTACAGAACCACTAAAAAAAATTAAATTAAAATTAAGTAATTTATATTTAAATTTTAATATACTTTCAAAAACTTTTTATATTCGTACTGAAAACCAGAATGCAAGATTGCGTGGATGATTTCAAGATTGTAGAAATTAAAATATTCCTAAAAGATTTAATATCATATATATCAAAAAAAAACTTTTAATTTAAAATTAAATAAGAAAAGTCCAACAGTAAACAGAAGAGAAGAATAAATATGAATTTACTAACATATAATATAAAAATATATATAACTCAAAGAAAAAGTTAAATTCTCTGAAAAAAATTAAGGCTAATAAGAATATTTACTATAAAAGTATACCTTAAAAATAACTTGTTGAATATATTAAAAATACTAAATTCTTTTAAAAATTACATAATATATCTATAACAACAATTATTTCTCTATGAATAATAAAATTCTAACACTTGCTTAAAACACTAGGTTAAGAAATTTCTTTGAAAAGTTATTTTTATAAACTTTGATAAACTGCAGTCATATAATTTTGTTAGTAACAAATTTTTAACGAGTGAAGATAGGTATAAATTAAATGCAAAACTAATAAAAAAAAAATTGCTTCAAAAAAAGTCCCTTTATATATAATCTTTTTTTTTTTCAATAAAAAAGTTGTAGAACATTTATATAGAAACACTCGTTTACGCGCTAAACATAATTTTAATAAGAAAAGCTTTTATGTGATAACAACTCACTGCGACGCGAGGAGTAGAACTCCCCAGCAGAAATAATTCCCGGCAGAAATGCTGATGTTGGTCATAATCTTGAATCGCGACTATTCTTTTTTTTAACCAAAACAAAGGATCCATACTAAACTCCTTAATATATAAGGAAGTATATATGATTGTTGTTCCATCAATTTTTATAAAAATAAAAAAGTCTGGTTCGCTACAACAAAAAATTAGATTACGAGGGATAAATAAGTAACACTATCGTTTCTATCAAATTTTATTAAAATTTACTATTAAACTATATATGCTAGTAGAAGTTTGACTGTTAAAAAAATTAACCTTTTCTTCATTATCAATTGCTTTGTAAACATCACCTAACGTCTCTAGTTTTCTTGCGCTTAAGTCCCTTGTAAGTACTTATACTTAATATTATAATACCATATTTACTTTAAAATTTATATATTAACATAAAAGGGACCGCTTGTTGCAATATATTAATTATAAACAAATATTGAAAGTAAATAAATAATTTTGACCACTCTCGTATTCATGATATATAAAATTAACTCATGGATAATTTATACCGCATATTCTCTATTAATAATCGCGTCAAAAGTTTAACAGTTAAATAAATTAACTTCTATGTATGTAAAGTTCCAAATAACATATTTCGACTTCATACACAGTAACCTCTCAATTGTTTGTAAATGCACAAACTCGAGCTCTCAACCCAGGAATAGACCCCACAACTTTTTCTAGAAGCAGTAATTGAGGTTTGAAGGTTTGACTCTATCTATTAAATTTTGTTTGGTTTGAAAATTAATGTCACACTTTCGGATTACCATTTAACCTGTAAGTTAAGATCTTACCTTTTGTTTTTCTAAGTTAGTGTTTTTTGTTGAAGTTTATAAATTAAATAAATTTATTATAATTAGCAATATCATATTTTTTCTTAAATATCTTCCTATTTCCTAGTTACCTTTATTATGAAACGCGGTTATATTTAAAGTAGTAAATTATAAACCCTGACACTTTATGAAATTTTGTTTATAAAATGCAGTATAATTTATTTTTGTAAATTTGACATAACCACTATATTTATCTATGATCTATCAAGATAAAATTCCATCCCAAGGAACGCCACATCGCATATGACACCGGCTGCTTCACGTCAAACTTCTATATGGCTCGTTAAGTGGGATTCCACCCTAATAATACCAAAATTGTTAAAAAACTTTGTATACTATTTCTTTTTCTAAGTCCTGATATTTTAATCTTGTATATTGCGCGATAGAACGTCTCGTTCTGCCATACATTTTTGTAGGGTTAGAAGCAAACTTTAAAAGTAAAAATAAGAGGTTAATGCAAACCAGCAATAAAAAAATTTATAATAGTGGGAAAAAATATATTTTAAAGTAACTAAAAAATGTTATAAACAAAAAGTTTAAAAAAAAACTAAGTTAAAAGTAGATCTTTTAACTTAGATAATGATCTGCTTTAAAAGTTGTATTATGTCATGGATGCTTAGCATTTATATTTTAATAGAATTTTACTCAGGATTTATCGTTCGTCTTTTGGCCCGAAAGCAAAAAAGCAAAATAATGTTCTTTTTTCAATTTTCAAGAGTGCCGAATGTACTGATGTATATTACGTTAAGTTATCTCGTTAAAATCTCGTATACCAGAAACACTAGTAGCTGTGTCCACCGATTAAATTAAGGGTATCTTTATTTTCAAACAGATCGCAAAGTTTAAAATATAACCCTAATTGGTCTCGCAATAAAAAGTTTTCTGATATTTGTCAAGACCAAATATACAGCAATTACCCGTTAATTATTTTTAACATCTTGTAAATGTATTGAGATAAAAAATTAACTTGTAAATTAAAAATCCACCCATAGCCTCCCTAAAAAAAATTTGCAATGAAATTTATCTTAAAATTTTTTCTTAAATAGTCAAGACCAAAAATGATATATAGCAAAGATTATTACAACACACGCCTACGCGACTTAATAGTATTATTATTTTATCTCTTCGTTACTATAAGATGCCTGCATGCTCGTGCTACAAAATAGATTATGAAAGTACGCTTAGGTCCCAGTCAGAAGAACTAGTTTAAATTAAAAAATTGAAGTGTTAAGTAGTGTGTTACTATGAATTTTTATTGGTAAAAGAAGCATCTCGAGTAAGGAAAACAGAATTCATGTAATCTAATATAAATAAACATCTCACAAGCACTATAATAAAAAAACCGGCTAGTACGCTCACGGGCCTGTCGGGTGGGAGACTTTAACTACTTTGCTTTTGCTGCTAATATTGTGCTGACTGGCCGTAACTAATATCTTAAAGATTACTTTCTTAATCCCATGTAAACTACAAAAGTACTATTTCTATGGGCAAATATAATATTCTTCTTTTACTAAACTTCAAGGCCCTTTTAGAAATTCACAAATTTTGGAAACAACTTTAATTTCAAGATAACTTAGAAGACCTTACCGATTTCTACTTAGTAAGATTTTTTTTGATACTTTATAGCTAAAAAAAGTATAGGAGTATTGATGGCGGTAGATTCTCCTGGTAAAGGTTTGTGCGTCACCCCAAAAAGTAACTTTAATAAAAATAGCCTCCATTCTAGTATTTACAGTTATATATATTCTTAAGGAGACGTCGAGTGGGTCGAGCAGACCGGCGTTCTCTCCACATCCCTTTCACCACGGCATTCTAGCCTTCTTTATGATGAAGAATTACTCTCTTTATCTACTACTATCGTTAAAAACGTACTTTGGCATGCTTTTTCTTAGTAAATTAGACTATTGTAAGTTTATTTATTAGACTAAAATATCCACAACACCACCTTTTTGTGCTCTTCGTACTCCTTTTCGCCTAAAAAAGTCGAGAACAATTTGTACAGGATCTTATAGAACTGCTAATCCTAGTGGTCCTCCTCGACACCCTATATTTAAATTGTCAAAGTATATGAGCTTTAAGTCGTTATTAATATTTTGTACAACAAATGATATTTAATTTCTAAATTTAGAAAATTTTAATTTAAAAGTTTTTAAATTTATCAGACGAAATTTGGATAATGAGGATATTCAAAAACTACAAGAACTTGTCTTAAAAATTGAACAAGAAGTCGAACTAAAGCATAGCACTTTTAATAGAGAATCTAAAAAAAATTTAAGGGAGATGGACTCCAAAATGGAAAGTTTTGAAAGTTTTGACCAAAAGCTTAACCCATCTTTTTTAGGTGAAAAACAGCTTAATTAATTATTATGCTTTTACTAATAATTATAATATTTACTAAGTAAAAAGCACCGAACTAACGCCGAATGCTACATTTTTCGAAAGGGAAGGTTGCAATTCTGACGAGAGTAGGACTCCGGAGAACACTAGTTACACTGAAGTTCCCGCTACCGCACTTTCTCTCATTAAAAAAAAAAAACTTCGCGCTCAAAGACTACGAAAGCAAAAAAAGAAACAATTAACTTTTCAGCTTCAGTTTCCTCGCGTTTTAACGCAGCAAGCTACGCCAGCCTCCAACTTTTTACTAAATAATTTTAAATCAACACCAGCAAACCACCATAGTGAAGGCAAAGATTTTCAATATAGTAATAACAATAAATTTAATACTAGTAATATTAATAACAATAGTAGCAATATCATTAGTAATAATATTAAAAGCGACTTTAAAAATAGTATTAGTATTATTAGCAAACTCAATAATACACTTTATAATACTGATAAATGTGCTAATAAATATAGTAATAACATTATCTTAAAAATAAATAATAACGATGATAACATAATTATTAACACTGATAATAATAGCAAATTTAATAATAATGTTAGTAATTATAAAAAAAATAATAATAGCGTTAGTAATTTATCCAAACATTGTAAACTAGAGGATATAAATACTATTAAAATCAAACGTCTGCAAGCATTAGAGAAACTTCAAGCAAGCAAAAACCGAATAAGACAATGAAAAGTATTCTGCTTTATTAATACTTTCATAATGACTTTTCTATAATCATTTTCACGAAGGATTTTGAGGGATATCCCGAATGGCCTTCCAGACGGCGGAGTTGCATTTGAAGCCCGAACCGAAGGCTATCTGCCACACTCGGTCGTGCCTCTTCACTCGGCCCGCCGTTTCAATAAACTCCAGTTCGTACCTGTTGCACAAGAAAATAGCAATTACGAACAAAACTGATGCAATTAGAACAACCTACTGGATAAATATAATAAAAAATAGCATAAGCTAAGCACTTTCAAAGCATGCCAATCAGACCTTTGTACGAGGAGGGGTGGATATAAATGTAATATAATATTCTCACTAGCACTGACAACATAATAAACCCAGCAAGTTTATTAAGTATGTACTTATTTACGCCTAAACCAATAAAAACTAAATGCGTAAGTTTTAGGAGCCCAACAAACTTGCCTAGTAAACCATAAAATAGTATTAACAATTAGAAAATCTACTAACCAATAGACGTTCAAAGTCAGCAGATATTATAACTAAAATATTGAATAACCAATTTAAAAAAAAAATTCTCAAAAATTTACACGTGAACTGATTCCACCAATCGTAAACAATTTGAAAATATAAAACATAAATAATGGATGATTGCCGTATACCATATAGAAGCAGACGACGTGTTTCCGAATCGATCCAATGCATAGCGGCTTGGTTCGCAGTCGTACTCTGTTAGCTTTAAAACTTCCTCTAAGGTGTCGATAACTGCCCTCCCTCCTGAAATGATTATAACATATAATAAGAGTATTATATATTATATATCAACAATAAAAGACACCAGATTATACAAACGTAGGATAAGAAAATTAATGTGGGAAAACTTGTAATAAGTAAACCACCAATAAAACTTATAGATAGATATTTTATATTTATTGCGTTCAACTATAAAATATAACATATATAAGAAATAAGTACGATACTAGTAATCAGAATACTTAAATAATAGTAATAATAATTAAAATAACAAAACCAAGTATAATACTTTAATAGATAGATGTAAAATAGTGACCGGTGTGTATGCAGAAATGCTGCACGGCCGAGCGGAAGTTCGGCATGTACGGCTTCACACGCTTCTTCAACCACGTGCGCTGGAAGAAGTTGATAAAAAACTTGAACTGTTCGTTAAAGGGGAGGATGAGTGGTCCAAGGGTGGAGATATTCTGCCTCAAGGCCGATCCGGAGACGTCCATGATCGACTTGGAGAGCCGAACCCCAGCATTCCTTTCATTGTCTGGTATGAAAAAATATGAGCAAAAAATAAATAAGAAACTATGAATATAAATGATTAATATAATTCACTAACAGTTCATCAAAAAATTGTTTAAAGGTTATTTGCTACTTTTATTTAAAAAAAATGTTCACGCTATTGACCTTCAGTCTGATAAATACTATAATACGCCGGGTCGTCAGCGCCGCGATGGGTCCGGACGGTGTGGAGGAGTACATACTTCGATCGAGAAGATTCCTTTCTTTTGTTGCTGAGAAGAACTGCTGCACCGCCCAACCGAAAGAGCGTATTAGCCAGCAGCATCGACTTCTCTTTTCCTGAATAAATATAAATAAAAAGTTCACAAGCAAATACCTTCAGAAATAATAATAATACTAATAAAAAGGTTACCTAAGTACCAGTTTTGGGTTATATTTTCTGTAGAGAACACGAGGCAGGTGGTGTTTCTATGAACTTGAAGCAAATCCTTTGCGAGATCAATGGAGATCAAACCGGCTGAGCAACCCATTCCTTTAGCATATAAACCAATGAAGAAAGCAAGAAATATGAGATACAAGTTATTGGAGTATATTTACAGTACAATAATTTATAGGACAAGTCTTTGAAGCAAAACATAATTCAACGTTTATAATAATCAACTAAAAATGTGCGCGTGGGTATATTGCAAATATAAATCGATGAAAACTTAAGAAATAGGAAAAAAAAATTTACTGTTATTAAATAAAATAAAAAAGTATTATTATTTAAGGAAAATACTTACTATTTATTATTAAAAATATTTATAATTAATATAACATACAGTTAAAAAAACTGTTTAGTAACTAACTAAAACTATAATATAATAATAATTTGTATATTGTTATAAACAGGCTTTCTTTTTCATTTGTTATTCAAAATTTATAAACGTTTTACTTATATAGTTTTTTAATTATATTCCTGCTGAGTTTTTACTTGTAAAAATAACAAAAATATATAAAAATATAACAAGCTTCGTTCTTCCATACCTTTTTACTATTATTATATAATTTTTTCCAGCAACACTTTTTTATAACTACCTTATTAAAACAACGTGTGCTGGTTTTTTATATTGATCAATTTTAATATTGAAAGAAAAATATTAACCGGAAAGATTGTAACTACGAATATCGTTTCTCATTTTAAACTTATTAACAACCATCGAGGAAAGGGAGGGAGTAGGATTAAACAGACTATAATAAAAAAAATATTAAAAAAGTAGATTTCAAGAAAAATAGGAATACAAGTTTTTTTTTATATATATAAAAAAGCTAAATAGATATATAAATATATTCAACAATAGAAAGTAATAAAACATCTATAAAAAAGTTATATAAAAAGTAAATAAAAAATGTTAATAATGCAGTTCTTATATAATAAATAAAGAAAAAATTAAAGCAAATATAAATCATTAAAATTAATTATAGAAAAATAAACAAATAATAAAAAATGCCTGCAGTTCACTATAAGAATATCAATATTTTTTGCTGGGCATTTCGTTTTATTTAGCAAATCATGAATGCAAGTAAACATAACCTAAAAAATATATTTAAATTACACTCAAAAATTTAACAATAACTCATCTCCTTTATAAAATTTTTTCTAAAATTTTATAATTTTAAAATTAATTAATTCAAAATATAAAATATTCAACCAATTCTGCTTCTTCTCTCGAGCTCTTCATGTTTAAAAGTTCTGAAGTTTTTGGTAAGTTTTCTTTGTCTTCTTTGTAAGTCATGATGGCGGGAGGCAAATAAGTATTCTCTCCGACACCTGTAAAAGATCTTAATCAACAATAGTAACAAAGACAAAAAATATATAAGTCAGTCGTACTATCAAAAAAGTCAGAAATCGACTTAAAAAAGTAATGCAGTGTAATAAAAAAGTTCTGCCCAAATCAAAATAAAAATTTCGAAGAGAAAGAAGAAAAATTTTATTTAACTTATAACATTTCACTGTATAATTATGTAAAAATCAATTAATTTAAAATTTAAGATAAAAAGGAGATTCAAATAAATGGCTAGCCCCCGATTCGCCCTTGTGTTACGTGAACAACTTTTACCTCTTTAAAGATAGCCAGCAAATATTCAACCATAAAAGATTTCACGCTAAAACTTTGAATTGAAATTTAGTTAAACTTTTATAAAGTGTGACCCTCCAAGTCGGGCTTTTAGCTTAATAAAGCCAATCGCTTGTCAAGACTATAATCCTTAACCAAGATTAATTACACTCGTTTTTAACACAAGCACAGGGTAGCAACACTAAAGTAAATCTTTTCAGTAGCCTTAATAAATCCATCAAAATTAGCTACAAAATTTTCTCAACCGTAAAAGACAGTATAAAGAAAGATAACAACCATTACGACTTAGTAAACGCTCTTGAAATTTGAGGGACTCTTCATCAAAAACTTTTATATTTTTCGCTAAGTCTACAAATGTCTTGTGGCTAACTGCAAGCTCTTCACTAGGCTTAAAGGTTTGGAAATCAATCAAATAAACTGTCCTCGGACGACTGTTTAAAATATTTAAAAAAAAATAAAGGCAAAAGAAAGCACAAAAGGACCGAATACGATAAGCAACTTGCAGAAAAAACAAGCAGCCAATAGTAACGCCGAGCTCTAAGGCATGTCGCCTAAACTGATCAACTAAAATCTATAATAATTAAATCAAACGTTTAAACTTAATAAATAAAACATAAGTTAATAAATAAGTGAAATTTAAAAATATAACAAGTTTTTTAATAAAAAAAATTATGAACTTAAAACATTGTAAATTTGTTATTCAGGAGTATTTTTCAAAGGAGATGAAACATTTATAGTATAAAAAATTATCAAAAAAGCAGCAAAACTGTATATTATATAGTAAATACATGTAATCCAGTAAAATATTTGAAAATACATAAACAGTTAAATAAAAGGTAAAATATTTTTAAAGAGAAAATTTCTTTTTAACGGAACTAAATAATAAAAATATAAAACATTAAAATTATAATAGTTATTAAAAAAATACCAAAATTTGCTCATAGCTAAAAAAAACTTGTATGAAGAATGCGTCAAGTAATATAAAAGATAAAATAAATATAAGATGAGCGCTACTCAAGGGATCTTGTCTCGAATAACCGGCCCTGGGTAGCAAAAGCGAATAATAATAATAGTTAAAGTATGTATAATTATTTTGTAATGAATATAAAAAATGCAGCCAAAGAAAAAGTAAAGCTAATAAGTAAACTTATATAAAAATTGAAGTACAATATATGTTTCAAGGAGGGAATAGTGTCTTTGTATAAAGCTCGTGAAACACGCTTAAAAGCTTTATTAGCTAATTGCTCATTCTTTACTTCAACGGACTCAGTAGTATTCAAAATAGGAGAAGAAATTCTTTTATCCGAAGTTTTAGAATCCAACGATAAAAGGGGAACAATAGGTCTTTTCTTCTCTCCAGAGTCACCTCCAGAGGACATGGTTTAGCTTTAAAAAAGAATCTTATAGGGAGTTGAGTAAAGCAAGAAAGACGCACCAAACCGAATAAAGTTAATAAGTACGATATCTAATAATATTTCTCTCACAAACAGTTATTATTTTTTAGACGCCTCCCCCCCCCCTTTCCCTCACAACTCTCAATTTCTTTATTGCCTTTAGGCAAATATATAACTTTTAGAGGATATAATTCTAACAAGATACGGCTGCAAAGAATATTTATTAGACCTTCATCAAACCCTTTAACATTTCCAGTAAATATTAAAATTTACTTTGGAGCTTGATGCCTTAATAAATGACTATCTTAGCCTTCAGACTAAGCGCTCTCTGTTCTAGTGTGGTAAAAAAGTTAACGTATAACAAAATACTTATGCTTGGTAACTACTACATTGATGCATCTTATAAAGATAAAAAAGTGTAAAGACAAAGAGAATAACAAAACTGTCATTTGCATTTATTTTAATTAAATACAAATTTACTTTGTAAACATGCAAGCACGTGTTTTATGTTTTCACTAAAAACAGTTCTATCAATTAAAAAACCAATGTAATTTTAATTAGATCAATGCTTCCCAACAGGTGGTCCGGAAGACATCAAAGAAGTGTCTGCGAATCATAATAACTATGAACGGGAGATAATGTCAATTTTTAAATAAGCGGTTGAAATTAGCGTTAAGGCCATTTGGAAAGAACAAACATACATCATTTAAAAGTCTGTTATAAAAGTACGAGTGTAAACTTTCAAAGAACGAATAAATGTTAACCACCAAGAGGAGCTCCTGCCCTGTAAAGGCCTGCACATGCTTTGTGAATTTTGTGATTTTTCAAATCTGGTGGGTGAACTATATATGTTATTTTGTCATAGGTTAAAAGTTTTGTTTTCTAGATAATGACACCGCTTAAGAGAATTTACGACAACGATTATATTAAAAATTGGATTCATCGCAGTTGACATTAATCGGGAAACGCAAGAGGTGTGTGATATGTGCCATCGTCCTCAGCAATGAGAAAAGTTGAGACGTTATTAAAAAAGCGTTTATTATAATTTAACTGATCGATCGCCAGAATTTTTTGTTGGAAATTTAGAAAACCTAAAACACATGCATAATCCAAAGTGCACTGCCTGATCTTTCCAATTGCGCAATTAATTGCAACAGCAAAAAACCACATACGATTGGCGAAAAAGTAAAGCCTTGTTTGCTAAAAACAGTGGAAGAAGTTCGGTGAGCAGGCCGAAAAGCAACTTCAAGAAATTCCGCTATCGAACTATACGGTAAAAGTGCGAATAAAAAAAATTTTGTACGATACTGAAGAACAATTTTTGGTGAAAGTAAAAAAGTTCACCTTATTTTGCTTCGCAGTGTGTGACGAAAGCACCTACATTACACAATGCTTCCAATTACTGGCCTTTGTTCAATTTGGGGACGAGGATAACACATTTATAGAGCAACTATTAATAAGGAGAGGACTTCAAAATACTAAAAAAGAAACGGATGTAATGAAAATAATAAGTGATTATTAAAAGGTGATATCCGGAGGGAAAAGTTAGTTGACTTCTGTACGGACGGGGCTCCCGCTATGCTAGAATCACGCTCCAGTTTAGCAACTGGTGAAAGAAAAAGGTTGTAGAACGGTATCAACACACTTCCTGATTCACCGGCAAGCACTAGCATCAAGAACATTGTCTAAAGAGTTGGCGAACAACCACTGGCAAAAATATTGGTTATGCAGTCGAAAACAGTGCGCTTAATACGCGTATGTCCATAAATGGTGCTCTGCTTTGACTCCCGGTACAAAACACTACTTATTGTATGAAGGTTCGTTGGTTGTAAAAGGAAACATTTTGAGAAAATTATACGAGCTGCAAGAAGAGCTAAGCGTGTTTTTAATTGAGAAGGGAATGACCTTTTCGTTAAAGCAATTCGAGTAACGGCTGACCTCTTGTGGATATTTTGGACACTTAAAAAAACTTAATTTGCAACTACAAGGTTCGGGCAATACGAAACTGGAGGTTTCGCAGACATCTTATTTGAAAAACAAACTTCGCGCGTTTATTTGCAAACTCGAGCTATGGAGAAGGAAAATTGAAGCAACGCCAGAACTTCCAATAACGACAAAAATTTATCGCATTGTCATCTAGCCGAAGGTCAACAAAATATTGTACATACCTTCACAAGGAGCCTACAAGGTGAGGTGCTTTTCAGAATGGAACAAGGTTGAGGCGGAAGCTGTTCGAAAAATAAGTCAAAACGCTAAGTCTTGACGTAGAATTTCCTCCTGAGGAAATCCAAGAAATCAACGGATTACAAAAAGATAGCAACTGCAAGGATACGTTCGAATAAGACATTAACTTCGAAATGCGCTGGTGCAAAGAAGCAATCTCATGTAAGCTACGAGGTGCTTTCGACTACATATTTTTTGTGTGAAGAGGGATTTTCCAATTTGCTTCCGATTAAAAATAAGAAGAGGAATCGGTTAGAACCTACCGACGACGTGCGCGTATCTTTGAGCAATAGAATTAATCCCAGAATTTCGCAATTAGTAAATACCAAGAAAGCGCAAAAATCTCTAATTTTATTAAACTTAAGATACTGCCTTATTATAACGTATTTTACAACCAATAAACAATTTTTTTTTTGATAAGATGTATTTTTCAAATGGGGGCCCCTGAACGTGCTTTTATTTGCCTTGGTGTCCACTGCATTTTAAAGGTAGGGAGCCACTAATTTAAATGAATTCAGATGTGAATCCTCATTCTTTATAAAAACGTAATGTATTTGCATAGCACTTGTTTCTGTAATGTAACAAATACTAAGAAACCATATTTAAACAATTATGCTTTACAAATAACTTAAATTTTAGGCGATAATTTAACAAAGTTGCTTAGTTAGCCCTTAAAAATTGTTACTATCTAGTTATTTTTTAAACTAAAAACAATAGCACATTTACAGAGAAACAGGTTTTATTTTGGAACTATTTTATAAGTACTTCTATGATTTTACTATTTCCTATTCTTTAAAATTTAAAAAATTATACTGGCTTCTTATAAGTTAATCTACTGTTTAAAAATTTTTTATAAGGTCAAAATTGTTTGAGAAAAAATTTTGTAATAAATGATTTATAAAGATATAAGTTACTTCTTTCAAAATCTAGAAAAAATTAATAACGAAGATAAGAAATTACTTTTACGTTTTATTATTTTTTAACTTAAATAGAACCAAATGAATTCGCGTGAAGCAGGTGAGGTCGCCACATAGGAGTGGTAAACGAAGCAAACTATATTACTTGAGGCTAGTTTAAAAAATCTCCTTTTTAAACATTCTTTATCAAACCAAACCATATGGACTACCGAATTTTCAGGAACTTATTAACTACGTTATAAATGCAAAAAAGGAGGTCATGCTGCATGATTTTGCAGCACACCTGAAGAATAAACAGTTTTTATCAGCAAATTACTTTACAGTTTCTAAATTACGCTCTAAGTTCAGATTTTTCCTATTAAAGACAAAAAGTTGATTGTAGAATTAAAACTTGCAAGGAATGGGTCAAAGTAATAGAAATGAAGGTATTTATATGGGGGGTATTAAAAATTTTTTAACAAAATTGCTTTGTACTAGCGACAGTATTCAAATTAGGAAGTTTTTATTTTTCTTACAAGTAAAGAAATGCTATTACCCAAGTAAAGATTATAACATTCTATAGAGATAAAAAGCCCGAAAGTAACAGAAATTAGAATAAAAGACATTCAGAGACTTAAAAAAAATGATAAGGCAAACTAAAACTGAAAAACAAAGATAAGCAGAAAACAGGGAAAGAGCAATTATATTAAATTAAAACTATAAGAACAAACAAGAACAATTAAGCAGAAAGTCAGTGACAAAAGTAACAAAGCGCTTTATTATGAAAAAATATAACAAACCTAAAAATCTCCCACCAGGATGGGGGCTAGCTATAAATATCTAACCCGGCAACAAAAGTGCTCCTGTCTACAAAATTAGGTACAAGGTATCTCTAGGATTAGAACAGGAACGCGTTCAAAAATATTTAGTTAGAAAGGAAGAATGAAAGACTGCCAGCAGTAAAAGATTGGCATAATATCGTAGGACCTTTCGATTAGTAGTGCAAAATAGCATTTAACAAAAATTCATAGAGTCAGGGGTTGCTTAAACATTGATGAGAACTCGTACAGTCAGTATACGCCGTACGGTTATACTACTAAAGTCATTAACTTAGACAACAAATTGCATTCATTAAAATCACAATTAGAGAGATAGGCAAACAGCGAAGAAATTGGCAATAATTTGCAAGCAGATAGTTCCTGGGAAAAGGCAATTAATCCTACAGTGCTTTCACAAATATTCAAAATAATGCCTATGGTGTAGTTATACTGAAAAGGATCTCTTATCTTTCATCAACAAAGTAGTTTAAAAGATATTTTTAATATCTAAAACTAAGGCGATTAAGGGTTTCCACGAATTGAGGACTAAGAAGATAACTAAAAGCATAAGGAAGTTAATCGTTCAATCAAAGCGTTTGCATTAAACAGTGGAGTTTAAATCTTCGTATTGGAATTTTACTTAAAGAATTGGTTCAATTCACTTAGAATTAGAAGCTGGCAAGTCCTTCGAACACTCACAAATTACTTGTTAAGTGAACGATACCCAATTTATGCCTCCCATTTCGCGTCCACAGGTGAAGAACTTACTATTATAAGATGGAAACAAAAGTTTAGGGTTATTCCATTCAATATATTTTACCAATGTTGTTATCTTGTTAAAATTTATACGGTAAAATTTTCATTCAAATTTTTTATGCATCAAATATTCACAGTTAAAAAGCTCTGTGGGAAATCCTATCAACTCCCTTTTGTAAAAATCTAGCTGTAATTTTTTGCATAAATAGGGCTAAATTCAAAGGGGTATGACTTGTAACTTTACTTAATTGATAGGAATAAATATTTATAGTACAGTGTTTGGATCTATCTTTAAGGTCTACTTAATAAGTTATAAGATACTTTTGAATTAATTTTTATTAGTCTAGTTAGAATTTTCCTTTAAAATTTTTTACAAAAATGGTGAGGTTTACCAATACGAGCTTCAAACTTGCAATAAAAAGTTAATATAAAAATTAAAAGTTTATAAATAAATGACTTAAAAAAAATTCTCCGGATGAGCGAAAAATTAAATCTAACTATTTTTTGTACCAAGAGTGTTCTGGTTAGCGGATCTCATGGGAACGAGGGATAGTTTAAAACATTGTCCCCGTGGGAGGGGAGTGCGGTGGGAACACGTTTTAATTATAAAACCGTCGAAATACCGCGAGGCACTCCTTGTTGCTTTCTGTAGGAATTCGCTTTGGTGATGACCGGTCCTAAGCCTATAAAGACCATAAAAATCGTAAAAAAACGAACAAAGAAGTTTCGGCGGCATCAAAGCGACCTTTTTAAACGACTCAGCGTAAGCTAATTTGTTTGAAAAAGTTATTGCGCTTCTTTCTGCCCACAAACTATTTATCATTCAAATGTTTTATTTGTCTTTAGAGTAGCTGGAGAAGACCGAGAGGTATTGATTCTCGCGTCAGACGCAAGTTTAAAGGCACTACTCGTCTTCCTAAAATCGGTTATGGTTCCAACACAAAAACTAAATTTATGTCAGTAAGTATTTTAACCTTTATTCTACGGCAATATTTTTTTGGTGTGATAATTTACTTAAACTTTTTGTACAATAATAGAAGGATGGATTTCGCCGAATAAATGTCCGCAATGTAGCTGATTTAGAGTTACTTATGATGCATAATAGAAAGTATAGCGCCGAAATATGTCATAACGTTTCCGCTAAGAAACGAGCTTTAATCGTAGAAAGAGCTAATCAACTTAACATTAAGGTTGTTAACAGAAATGCTAAACTTAGAACTGAGGAGTTGGAATAAGTTTTTGTATTTTTAGTTACATTAAAAAGTATTATTTTGATTTATTTTTTACTTCTTACAATAGCCATCTTGAGAAGGTTAAGGACCTTAGGGCTGTTTAGTTTTTAGGTAGTTTAAAGGTTTTACAAACTAACTGTTTCGGAGAGCGCTATATTTCTAAAAACATTTACGTGTCCATTATAATATTCGTAGTTACCAAAAAGATCACTACTGACCTTATTTCACGGCACTTGAATACTAACTAATTTATGTCTGTATTTCTAAAATATATTCGGTTATTATATAACAATAATTAATTTTTTTAATTCTTAAATCTTTTAATTCTTAAAAAAGGTTTATGATTGAAAATAAATATTAACCTTCTGCTGCGACTCTTTCGCATAAACAATTGCTTTGAAAAGTATTGCAAGATTGTTAGATTCTGTTTATAGACTTTTATTAGGAAGTCACACCCTTTAAGTTTCATATATTTTATTTACTGTCAAGATTTCAAGTTTAAACATTAACTCATATTGAGACTTCAAGTTAAACTTTTTAATAATAAGCTCATGTGGTACATTAATTAGCAAAGCTAACTTTCAATAATTATTTAAAATAAATGCACTTTCCTTTAAAGTCAAGCTCTGATATATCTAAACACTATAAGCTTCTCACGCTTTTATTCGGTTTTAACTAATAAAGCAATACTTAGTAGTAAAATGAAAATGTGGTAAAGTGTTTCTTTCACCCTGTTTGCAAATAGCGTCTTGTTATAACTGCAAACATCTACCTGGGCCTACGATTTACCGTCATAACGTCCTCGCTTCAAGTGCGAATAAATTAACTACATCGCCTTTTAACAAACGCGCCGAGTTCGCACGCAATGACAGTACGCTCCACCACGAACTAGATTGAGCTGCAGGCCACAGTCTTTAAAAAAGAGATCGTCGCCCTCTACGTAGCTCTACACGCTAACCCCCTTTTAGCTGAAGAATTCGTAAGTTGTGGGACGGCGCACTCTTAGCGTAAATCGAACGTGAAGGACACTAAAATAATAGCTCTATTTGCAGTAGTGGACGACCAGTAACCTATTGAGAGCTCGATACTGTGAACAAGTTTTTGCTATACGTACCTTTTCACGAGATCGGAAAGCTTACAGTTGATAAGCTTTTTTAAATAGAAAGCTAAAATACCCGATAAAATTTTTTAAAAAATGGAATTTTACCTCGATTTATTAAAAGCTTCTCAGCACATTTTATTCGAAATATTTTTTTAGCAAAAAAAAAAGAGTTTTATATAGTAACAAGCACCAGAAATTGCGGGAAAATTCCATATGTTTTTGTCTAAAAGTTTATGAAATTAAGTTCGCAGTGAACACATATATATATAAGGTTCATTAAGGTAAAATAATTTGCGTTCCATCTTTTTTTGCGGAGTATAACTACAATAAAGTAGTTTTATAAAAAAGTCTTAAATGCGTCATAAACAGTTCCTTTCTTAACCATCTTTTCAATTGCGATCCTAAAGATGTCCAAAAGTCGTTGTAATAGTAATACAGGGTAACTTAATCAGGCCTTGACTTACTTATATACTAACAGAATTAGAAAGTTATATTTTTCGCATTATTTAAGATACGAGCTTGCCTTGCTGTCTGAAATACAATAACAAGTACGTCCAGCATTGGCTTCTGTATTGACTAGTGCTTTCGATTGGCGACTTGAGTCAATATTAAGGTTTTTATATTAATTATCATGAAACATATGAGGTTGCGGACTTACGAAGTTTTATTTTACTAAACTAGTGGAGTACTTCTGTTATAGAGCGTTTCAAAAAAGGTACTGTTTTTTGCACCAGTTACAAATAATTCTACCTTTTAACCTTACTATTTAAATTTCTTAAGGAGAGGTTTTTAACTATTTCTATCTTTGATCAAAATATTATTAAGTTTACTTCATAAACGAGGGACCCATAGTGAGAAATTCAAAAAGTTGGCATTGTTCCAACACTATAAGTTACTAACTCGTTTCCCAAATTTCAAAGCTCAGTTTACCCAGGAAATACTAGTATTTTTTATTACCAATGACAGTCTCTTTTATTTTATAGTTATTTTTATAACAAGCCTCCGCTGATTTCAGGGAATCTAAAGGCATAGCCCAAGTAAAGGTACTCCACAATTATTATTTGCAGGTTACAAGTACACTAAATATCTATAAATTATTGAAATTCTGGTATTTACTAGGCCGTGGTCGCTTTATTATAGTCTGTAGCCCTCAAGGGTAAACTAAAGAAAAAATAAAAGTAGCGTACTGACCGCAACAACAAAGTTTTTGCCTAAATTGGGAAATTATAAAGTTGCTAATACTAACACTATATATTTATAATAAAAAATTTGTGTAATGCCATTTTATTAGTTGAACAACAACAGCAACGTTTGTATTCACTTCACTTTTTTCCATTTTCTATAAAAAAAGGCGGTATAATAAAAGCTGGAGCATAATAGTATATATATATAAAAAATACTTTTTCTTGTTTTTATTTTGAGCCAAATCGACTATTTTCTGACTAACTACTTCGTTTAGTTTATTCTTCTTTTCAATAGTGGACTAGTAAAGTTATAGAGTAAAAAAAAGTAACGTAAATCTTTACTAAAGCTTAAACATAATATACAAAATTAGTTATTTACTTTACATATCATGTAAGTAAGCGAACTTTTTTATAGCAACAAGCCTACAAATATAATACTATTTATATAGATTTTACAGAAAAATAAAGTGCAAAACAAAACAAGTTAAGATCATTAATCTAAGTAAAAAACTATTACCAAGCGGAGATCTAGTTGAGCTTGACACTTTCGACTTTTTTCAGTCAGAAGTTCTAAAAGTTTCTTTGCTTGTGCCATAGGATCCTCCGCAGCAGAAGGCCCCTCGCCGAGAAACTGTGCTACGCTGGCACTCAGTTCTTTAGCCAATAGAAATTAAAGCAGTTTTTTAAATATTAATATCCAACTCACAAATATTAATTCTGACCAATAAAATAAAAATATTTTAAACGGCCAATAACCAGAAAATATTTTTTTTTTAGTTTATTATTCGGTTTTTATTATAAACACCTTTTAGTGAATTAAGGACTTTATAGACCCTTGACAGATGTATTTATACTAAAAACTGTACTATTATAAATAAAAATAAAAATATTTGTAATCAAAAGTAAAACAAAATAAAAAGTTTATTATGAATAAAAACCGTTTAGTTTTTGAAGTTGTTCTTCATGAATTCTATTATACTCGCGCTTTTTTCTTAAAAGTAAATCTTCGCACTGCTCAATAACAAACTGGTTCCCCTCTGCAGTAAAGTTGTTGAATAAAGTAAAAAATAAATAGTAAATAATAATAAGAATATAACCGAGCAAATTATCTAAAAGTTCTTTTTCACTGGAAGTCTTATCAAACGAAAAAGACTCAAAAGAAAAGTCACGTGAAAACTTTTCCAGAACATCTTTTGCGTGTTGATAATAATCAGAAACAAGTTGATGTTTATTTTCAAGCTTTAATTATTAGAAGAGAAAAATGTATTAACAAAGTAAAAATTTTATAGTAAAATAAATTTCAACAACTACTATAAATATATAAAACGCAATAATTACGTCATATAAAATCAAGAATTTGTAGGTAATAAATTATCCAATAAAAAGTGACGGATAAACTAAAAAAGGGAATACAACTTTTTTAGAAAAAAATTATAAAATAATAATAATCCACCAAACACGTTAGGGATATCGTGAAGAAGTTAAAAAAATTAATGAAAGACCTCAACATTTTTTTCTTCAAGCTCGTGCTTCATTTCTTCGATGGTGCTTCCTTTTCCTTCAGCAATATCTTATTTATATTATATAAAAAGTTTTATAAATATTATAAAAAAATTATTTGATTAATTATTAAATTACTTTTTAGTTAAAAATATATTTTTTCTTTTATAATAACAAACACAAATACTAGAAAGAGAAATTGTAGCAAAATAGTAAAAGTAAACAAGTTTATTGTATGAATTTTAAGATATTTATTTTTGTTAATAATGTTTTTAAAGGAATAATCCACCTAGATAAGGATATTTATTATTGAAAAAAAGAAAAAAAAAATAAATAGATTATAATTCCATTGAAAAAGTATAGAAATACGACATAATAATAATAATTACAAAATTCTTACTTATATTATTTTTTTGTTATCATAAATTCAATATATTTTGTTTTTTATAATTTATATTTCTTATATAAGAGCTTTTTAGAAAAGCTTTTTACTTATTATTGTAATAGTCTTTTATATTTCTATAAAACTTACTCTTTTAACCTCCATTACATAGAAAAAAATAGTATCACCATATACTTATATATATATATATAAATATATTAACTACTATTTCTTCCAAGCTTTATTAATATTACTTCTTGAAACATCAAAAACAACCGCAATAATGTTAATAAAAAGGGCTTATAAAAAGCAAACTTCATAAATTAAATCCACTAGAATAGTGCGCATGAGGGGTACCAATAAATTTAGCGAAGCTCAACATTAGGCAATGCATAAATAAAAAAAAAAAAGGCAATCATAACCAAAAAAGAGGGTAATTGTAAATACCCAATAACTGAAAGCATCTAATAACACTATTTTTCGGACGTTAAGGGTAATCACATGGACTTATAATAATACACGTGCTAAATTCTAACCGGTTGGTCTAATTTTGTTTTAATTTTATCAAAACTATTCAATTAATTTTACAAACAACCACAAAAAAAAAATTTCTATGTTGGGGACGTCACTAAAAAAACTGAAAAAACCAATCAAATTATTGATGGAAGCCTCAATATCAAAGTTCTGGCCTTCAAGCGTAGAAATTCTATTTTTGTTCTAATTCATAAAAAAAATATTATTAATTTTATCCCAATAAAAAGTTATTATCACACAAATAATAATGAAAAATAAACATATATACTTTTTTTTGTGAAGCGCATAAATAAAAAAAAAATACAGAACTTTTGCTTCTTTCTGGCTCAACTCTCTCTTTTCTTCGGCATGAGCAAGAGAAACTTTTTCATAGGCTTTCATACTTTCTTCTAACTTTAACGTCGTTTCTTTGTAATATACAAAAAGATTAGTACTTTGCTTATTTTTTATTGGTTCATTATTGGCAACTTTTCTAATGAATGTTTTGTTAAACTTATTAGTTAGTAACTGAAAATTGATAAATACCACCATAAAAAAATCAAAGCGCTCTACATTATCCTATGAAATACTTATAAACAACTTTTATAAAAAACGTTTTGTATAACTTTTCGTTTACTTATTGGTAATTTATAAACATTATTATAAAAATATTGTCATAATAAATAATAATAGTTTGCAATGATTTATAATTATAAAAAGTAAATGTTTCTAGTAAACTTTTACGTACTTATTATGTTATAATTTTTTTCTTTTTATAAAGTATTACACACGAACAAGGATTACTATAAAAACTATAAAGTTTAATAAATAAAAAAACTTTTACCAATAAAAAAAGTATATAAATTATATAAAAGAGAAGTAAAAGTAAATTCATTTTGTTTTCTTTATATAATTACTTATATTTAATATAATATTTTTCTTTATTATAAAATAAAATGTATTTATAATCCTATCGACGAACGCCCTTTACTGCGCTATTAATAATAAATATTATCAGAAGTATTTATTATCATTACTTTACTGTAATTATTATATAACAAAGTAAGACCACAAAAATGCAGATCTCAATAAGTAAATTTTTTTAGTAAATATATATATATTTTTCATTAAATAAAATAATGTAATAACTTTTTCTATGTATCTTTGTATTTACTTTTCAATATATATTTGTTTATCTAACATTAATTTTCCATTATAATTGATATCTTCTGCTCAATATAAAAATAATACTATTTTCATTATTTACTCTTTTGTGCACTATTTTTATATATATCATTATTGTCTTTACTCAATATTAACATGTAAGGAAAGAGACCTGATAACGCTTCCTTCAGCTCCTTTATTTCTTTATATCTAGAGTTCGAGAGAAAAGTAATATCATTTTCTTTATTAATTATCGCTTCTTCACTCTCTTTATGCCGTGCTAAAGTTTTATATTATTACTAAAAGTAAAAGTAATGAACTGTAAAAAGTTATGATACCTTTACTTTTTTTTAAAAATAAAATATTAAAAACCATTCAGTTATTAATAAATTCTTTATTGTAAGCGTTAAATAGTATATAAAACAGGCGGGAAAGTACGCAATAGAAAAAAAAAGTCTAAAGGTTCATGAATCTTATAAATAATTGGTAGTGAGGGACACGTGCAAGTGTTAATTTATAAACCTTCAAAAAGTTTTATAGAGGCCAAAAGTTTTTCTTTTTCTTTTTCTAAAGAACTTGTTTGCTGCTGCACAAGAGAAAGCATTTCACTGCACTTCGTATTCTGTAAGGAATATTTAAATCCACTTTAAAAATAAGCATTTTTATTTTTTATATAATATAAAATACATGAAAGTAGAGAATGAATAGTAATTATAATAATAAACAGTACAATATAAAGTTATGATAATTCTTAACAACCTTCACGCGAAGCTCTTCCAGGTCTTCTGAGAGGCGGAGAAGTTCGGCCTCCGATGGGAGCGTGATCCCAACATATTCATTAAAAATAGTGGCGGTGAACGCGAGATTCAGCCTTTCATAGCCTTACAATAAGAACATTTAGCATATGATTTTTAATGAAAAACTTGTTATAAGTTTCTTATTTTTAATGATTATAATAATAAGGAAACAACTTTTATATACTAAATATAAGGATCTCTTCATAAAAAGTTTAAATGTAATTACAAATTCAAATTTATATAGAAGTACCCTTAACGATATCGCTAGCAGTTGTAAACTTTCGACAGTTCAAAGTTTCAGCCACCCGTAGAAATGCCTCCGCTCTCTTTCAATATTAATAAGGATAATATGGACAATAATAATAATATATAAACCTCATGAGGGTCCGCAACTTCCAAGACATCATCAATACCGGCTTCTTCGGACTCAAGAGGAGCCACCTGTTTGAGAAGTGCAACCTTCAATAATAATAATAATTATAATATTAATGAGATAGAAAAACTTAGGCATACCCATTTCGTACAATCTTTTAAGTCCTTTCCAAAATTTTGTACCGGTTCAATGTAGTTTTCATCGCTTGACTGAGCCTATGAATTATTATTGTTTATCATCATTATGATTATTGCTATTTTTATTACTATTTATTGTTACCTTTTGTAAATGATAATTAAACCATCTTTTAATAATATCCTCCTCTCGCATTTTTAAAAGTTTATCAATTTTTTCGTTGGGCTTAAGCAGACGAATTAGTTCCGGATGACTGCGCATAGAGTACCAGATAAAACTTAATCGAGCAGTTTTTACATTAAAAGACCCAAAATAATAAATGGACGCAAAGTGTCAATGTTTATTATGGAAAAATCACATAAACTAGTCACGTGGCGCCCCATGATCGTAATATTACAGACACCTTTTTTTGATGAAAAAAATTCTTACATTTTATGTGTACTGTTTTTGTTAATGTAGAAAAGTAATTTATACAGTTTTTTTTCCATTAAACGTTTCAGTAAATTTTAATAAAATAATAAAGACCATGTTTCCGACTATTATATGAAAAGAAAATAAATGCAGTGAAAAGCCCCCCACGCGTGTGAATTGACAAAAGTTACTCAAAACAAAGAAATTAAACGCGTGTGGCTCAATAATATTCCAGGTCGAGCACGTGCCTAGTTAAGTTGATGCTCTTCATAATGTGGGCGCGCACGAGTTGCCAGATTACCGCTAAAATCAAAGTGCGGTTTCCCTCCATGATATCAGAACTTCCAATATTTACGACTACGCATCCTAATTAAAAGGTAAGGTCAGACCCGTAAAAGAATAGACTCAGCAGATGTCAACAAATTAAATGAGTAGAAAGCTTTTAAAGTTAATAAAAATATAAAGACAAAAAAAATCGTTTTCCGTATCATTAATGTAGAGCAAATTTAATTCAGACATTTATGTAAAGGTTAACCCATAGACTTCGCAGCAGATATGGCCGTGTCGATCATTGTTGCTATCTCCCACGCGTCTTATTAATATAATAATAATAATAAATATAAATACATATACTTTTTAACAAATAGAAGAGATTTCCAAAAAAAAAAATTTTGATTTACTAATTTACTAGTTTCCAAAGATTTAAAACAAACTTTCTAGCCAAATTGTTACTATATTGAAATATTAAAATATTAATAATATAAATTACTTAATAATTTCTACTAATTATTAAAAAATTTAAGGTTGTGAAAACCTTTAGATCCAGGAACCTTGATTCGAGACTTATCAACAGAAAGTTTGATTTCTTTTTCTTTAATTTTTCCAGGGCATACAGCATTAACCAACTTGCAAAGCAAAATTCCGTCCATGGAATTAGTAAAAAGCTATAAAGAAAAAACATAAACGACACTCTTTATCGTCTTTAAAAGTTCAAAATATAGAGTAAGTATACCTCAACTTCTGGATGGTTAATAGGTATGTAACCTAATATTGGATTACATAAAGTTACATTATCTCTTCGAATTAAATAGTATCTTTAATAATTTCTTACCAAGTTTTCTAAGATCCTCATCTTTTTTTAACAAGTTATTAAGGTGCTCTGAAAAAGCTGAAACTTCTGAACGGATCTGGTCGCTCTCAAGTCTTTTACTATAAACTCGTCTAAATATGAAAAGAAAATAAGAAAAGCAATACAAAAACCTTTCAGTATCGCAGTCTTCCCTCGACTCTTGATTGTCCATTGTACCAAAACTACGTTATAATACTAACCTTTGAATAGGGCAGAGTCTGGAAGATGAAATCTTTTCAGGTGCGTTCAGTTAACTTTAGTGGGTAGTTATCATTATTAACACCTAAAAAGGAAGTAAAATAGCACAATTAGTCGATTTAAAAACGACACGGTCAAACTAAATCTAGTTATTGTATTAAAAAATATCTAGATATACAGTACTTATTAATAATTTTTTATTATATTTTTTAAAAAATGAATGATTTGAACAATTAAAAACTACAAAAGCACTTATATTTTCTTGACTTAAACATAAATAAATTCTGACTAATAAATTATTTCAATAAGTCGCATTTTTACTGTGAGATTAGCCTAATAACTACCTTCTTGTATACTCCTGTTAGCACATAATTATTATTTTTATTTCGACTAAAATGCGCAAATCTATTTTAGTTACTTACTACTGATTTAAAAATTAATTCTTTAACCATGGGGTATTCTAGACTTAATATCAATGAACTTATTGGATGAAACCGTTTTGTGACTTCGTAAAGTGGTTCATTATAAATTAGTGAATGATGTTTATTTAGTACTGAATCTTTTTCATAATGTTTTTATGCTTAATTTTATATTCATGCGCATTTGTATTTGAAATGTTCCTGCACACCTCAAATTTTTTTAGCTCTCCCATTTATTCTAAGCTTTTGTTTGCAGCCAAGTAATTGGTTATAAGATTTGTAGGTCAAAAGTAGTGAAGGTCTATTCGATAAGTTTGTGGCTCTTACCAGGTTTTGGTATCCGCTGTTTGTATACGGAATCTAAACGTTGATAGGGGCTGCATAGTTTCGTACTAGCAATTTTTAAAAGTATAGAATCAAATGGGAAACTCGGCTTTTTCAAAATACAGAAAGGAGCCTATTGTGGAACTGACGTATGCGTAGTCTTTATAATAAATGACTTATATAATATTATGAAAGATTTAACATTAGTATGCTAATCTCTGGCTTTATTTTGGCTCAGAGACATCTAAGAATTAGTCACTTCTATTTATTTAAGACTGAAATCCAAAGTACTAACTTTAATTTTTAAGACGTCAAGCTTTATTGTAGATAACAATCCCTACTTCCTTGACAATCCTTTTTACTTTTCCATCAGTATTAATAAAATATTCTTTCTAAAGCTCTAAAGATATAACGACAGTGCCCAAAGATATTAAACATTTAAAAAGATGTGTTGAATTAAAGTTAAACAAAAATTCAATAAGTCTTCTTCCTCCCGAAGTTGGTGAGTCTTCCGGCTTTTTTCTTTTGTCCCTTTACTCCTTTAACAGCTCCTAGTTTTATTAAATTTTAAATTTAAAATAATTTGTTTATTATTTTAGTTACTATTGATATGGTTAGGTAAATTTTTAATTTTTTAGTCCTCGTTTCTAAACAGATGGTATAAAAAATTTTTTTATAAATTGAAGTTATAAAATTTGTAATGGATTCTTTAATTTTTTTTATAGACTTTTGTATATATCTAACTACACGCTATTAACGTTTTGCCTTACCTATTTATATATAAATAAATATAGAAAAGTAAAATTTGAAAATATTTGATATAAATACACACTTGCTTAATAGATAAATTTATGCAAAATATAATAACTCTTTTCATTCAATTTATGAAAACTTCTCTTTTTTTTCTATTTACTTACTAATATAAGACATTTATTTTGTTTTTAATGTTTTTATTATTTTGTATATACTAAGTAGTCACTATGCTAGCAGTTCTTTTTAAAATTCCAAATTTTTGTACATGTAAAAATTGTTACTTACTTCCACATTATTCATATTTATATTTTTTAAATTATTATTAGGCGAACTTGCGGGACTTGTAAAACTTGATATATCAGAAAACACTCTCACTTCTCTTCCAGATGAAATAGAAAAACTTCAAAATTTACTTGAATTAAATTGTTGTATGTTACTTTTGTTTCTTCACTTGTTTTAATTTTAGTTTTTTACTTATTTTTATTTCCCTTTATGAGTTTATATATAATTAAAAACTTTTTTAATTATCTTATATTAGATTTACTTATTAATTCCCTAAATAATTCAGCTTCCAACCGTTTATTCATGGGCGCGCCCCTCAACTCCGCTATTGGCCGTTTAAAAACTTTAAAATTCTTGGATCTCTCTTTTAACCAATTAAGCGACGAGTTTTACTTTATATAGTCTTTATCGGCTGCTCCAAAGCAACTTTAATATATGCGCAGATCTATTCCCGAAAGTTTTCGGTCTCTCGAGAATCTCGAAAGTTTAGAAATCACTGGTCAATTTAAATATTTCTTTATAAAAATAATGTTTTATTATTAACATTTATAATTTTAATGTTTATTAATTTTATGGATTTAGGAAACGACTTTCGGTTGATTCCTGTAGCAATCTGCGCACTTCCCTGCTTGCGTTTTTTGCGGGCCGATAAAAACAAAATAAAACTTTTAACAGAAGATATTAAGATGATGAAAAAGCTTGAAGTACTGATCATAATAATAATAGTAGTAGTAATAGTAGTAATAATAATAATAATAATAGCTATTGAGCCTTTCAGATAACTTACTACCTCGCATACCTTCTGAGGTTTCAGGTTGCTAACATTAATCTATAAAATTATAAATCATAATAATAATAAAACTTTTCATAAAAAGCCATGAAGTCTTTGGTGGAAGTGGACTTGTCCTCCAATCGGCTTCAGGATCTCCCCCCTGAAGTTGGTTGTTGGGAGAAACTCGAGAAATTCAGTGCGTGTGATACGCTAATTACTGAACTTCCTGAAGTAAAATTTTTATTGTTTTTCTTGAACCCTTTTTTTTTTATTTGTAATTGAAAATATCTTTATTTTCACTAGGCTGGAAGCTATTTTTATTTGTGCCCTACATATTAAACATATTTGTGTTTATTCTTTGCATAACTTTTAATAAAATGCAAAATATCTTTCTAAAAACTAACGGTTGCCAATTTAATGTTAGACAACCAAAAAATGGATCAATTTAAAGGACATCAATCTTCGAAATACCAAAATAGGTTGGCCATCCCCATCATTTTTTCTCGTTTCCGGCTTATTTTATTGGCAGATGAGTTTCCTGAAACCTTTTGTTATTGGTCCCATCTTGAACTTGCAGATTTCAGAAACAATCCATCCTGTTCAGATATTGGACGTAACCTTGTTATTAGAATTTTGATTTATTATATATATTTTCTTTTATTATAGCTGAAATTGCGAGAGCCACTAGTCTGAAAGAGCTGTACATCTCGAAGTGCCAACTGACCACTTTGCCTGAAGAGCTAAGAGAACTGACCCACTTGGAAGTATAGCAAAACTTTCATAATAATAATAATACTATGAAAAAAATAATTTTTGTGTTTAGATTTTATACGCAAGTAACAATAACTTTTCGCATCACAACTTCCCTGCACATTCCTTCAGAGACTTGACTATGTTGAGAAAATTGCACCTTGGTTTCTACTTTCATATTATTGGAGTTTTCGTATTCACTAAAAAGTTTACTGGGTTCGCTATTTTACGCTAAAAATTATGGCAGTAATTTTTCGGCTTTAATTTTGATCAAATAAGAATAATACAGAAAAAAAAAACTACTAAAAATTTTATAACTTAGTAAATGGATATATACAAATTTCTCCAACTTTGTTACTCCTAAAGTAGAAAACAATCATAATAATTATTTTTCAGGCTCTAATAAAATTAATGTCATTCCTGATGATCTCTACGAACTTCAGTATCTTGAAGAGGTTTGTCCCCTATATTTAATTGGTCACCCCGTATATGTTTTCGTTACTTTAAAGGCTCTATAATAGCATTTGTGCTTAACAACTTTTTCAGTTGCTATTATATATATTTTACTTCTCATTATATTTACTTAGTATAATGTTAACATATATTTTTTATATTTATATTATTTATTAATATTTTTTTAAGCTGAACTTAAGCGACAACGGAATATTTAAACTGGACGAATCCATAGCAAAGCTAACTAATCTGGAACGCCTAAACTTGAGCCAAAATTCACTGGAAGTTATTCCCGAAGAAATTGGGTCTTCCTTATTATTATTGTTACTTTTTCATCTACTATTTCGCTTATTATTATTATTATTACAGACAACTCGCAAATCTCAAGACTCTTGACCTAAGCAAAAACGAGCTTTTGGAAATAACGCCCGAACTTTGTTTAGCTTTTCTTCTTCTTAATATTAACACGATGCATATTTCTTTATATCTACTTGTTGGTATACTCAGTACAAAAAGTGACTTTTGAATATTAAGTTTTTGCCGAGTTGTAACCAGCGATAATAATGAACTTTAAACCAATAATAACAACAACTGGTTCACAGCAAATTTACCAGCAAAGTTTTTTATGAGGGACGCTTTTAGAGTTTTAAGTAAACTTAGATGAGAATTGTACGTATTATAAAGAAAAGCTTTACTATTTAGGGGAGTAAAAAATAGTAAAGAGCTTCTAATATACTGAAGGTCTAAATATCCACGTGAGTACGTTCACTATACTAATTGATATATTGAATGCGCGAACCATTAACAATTAACTTTTCAATTATTTCTTTTGGCGTGTACGTATTTTTAGTGATAATAACTCCCCACATCATTATTTTTCAGGTCATTGTGTAAAGTTGAAGAAATTGGACTTATCTTATAATAAGTTAACTTCTCTCCCAAACAAACTCCACTACTGCAGTGAGCTTATCGTACTTAATACTACAAATAAATACATAATAATTGCTTATTATAAGTATTTTTAATTATTTTAAAATTTTATTACTATATTTTGTTGAAATATAAATATTTTAAAGGAAAAAGCTTTTTAGAAACTTTAATGCAATTTTTAATAAATACACAATAAAAATAGTAAAGTCCCTTAATTTTTTACTACAGTAAATAAAATGTATGACCTTCTAGGAGTATAAAAAACTTTCTAAAGTTTATTTTATTTTGCTTTTTACTAACTTGTAAAAAAAGTATTAAGGTTTCATTGTAAACTATAATTATGTAATAATAATAACTTTACTTTCATATATTTATATAAAGTCTTGTATAAAAATATAAAGGAGAGTATGCTTTATATATTGTAGTTGTTTGATCTTCGTCAGAACCAACTTGTGTATCCTCCCAACGAAGTAGTTTTACAAGGTTATTACAATAATAATAATAATTAAACTTTTTCTTTTTATTAATTTAGACATACTTTTTATTTATTTATTTGTACTTTATTAGGACATGAAGCCGTGTTAAAGTTTCTTCGTGATAACGATAAATCTGTATAAAAAACTATTTTTTTGTTATTATTTTATTTATAATTGAAAATTTTTTAATTATTTTATTAATGCTGTAAAGCTTTTTTAACTTTAATGTAAATATATAACTGATTATTATGATATAAGAAAAGAATTATTGGTAATAAAATTCTATTTAAAGATTTTTGAGTGGCGAAGTTAACATGGTTAATCCAATTAAGTTTGACTCTGAAAACTTTATACTTTATTTAATGATTTTTAAAATTTTAATGTTTTTCTTATTCACATTCTACTTTTTGTCTTTTTTCGTAGGTGGGAACTAAGAAAAAAAAGTAATAAAACTTTTGCCACCTAAAGTTTTTTGCTTCTTTATTTTATTTTAATAAACTTGGTTTACTTCCTCTTTTTGTTTTCCTGAATGCTCATTTCTAATGAAATTGTGGCTTAATATGTGTAATAGGCTGTAAAAATCCTAAAATGAGCTGGTAATAAAGTTATCTAATTAAAGTTTAATAGCTATAAGAAATTTTTTGGTACACAGCGGAAAGTGTTTTTCCCGGAAGTGCATAGATTGGAGAATAGCGGAACACATTGTTAAGGATTGCTTCGCTTTTTCACTTCACTGTGTAGACATAGAACCCAAAAGGGAGTATCTTAGCATTGAGACTTGAAGAACTTGTTAACAAGTTTCATACCCTATAACTATTATAGTCGCTTTGGGGGTTGTACTTAATAAATTTTGGTAAGCACTTGCTGAGGCTCGTGGGGGTGCTGCTCGGAGGATAGTGTTTCATACAGTACGACCGCAGACCGTCAGAGCTTTTTAAAGGTACGAAGTGTTCGATTAGGAAACCTATAAGTAGGAAAAATAGTTCTTCTAAACAATAAATAAGTGCTAACGGGTCGTACTATGTTAATAAAAAAAAGTCAATTAAGTTATATTTAAGTTAGTTATAGCTTGTACTTTCATATAGATATTGATGTATAGTGCCAACTGTTCAACGTTGGCTTGCGCAGCGCAATTTTAGTCAATTTCCTTTAATTTCTTTTTGCTTTTAATAAAAGTGGGTTTTAAAGAAAATTATCATCATATTTTCAAACTTTTTTGAATGCCTTGAAACCTTCCCTATTACCTACAACATACGATACCGTTAAAAAATTATAACAGTTATTTAAAAAATATTAGAATTGATATATTGCCATTAATTAGTAACATAATAAGGCACCGAACACCTAAAATCTCGTTGGAGCCTTTATAACATAGTAAATGTCAATACCCCTTTTTCGATAGAAAAACAAGAGATTCAATAAAGAAACCATGTCAAAACAGCTTTTTAAACTAATAGTTTCCCGCTCCTTAAAGTGAGCATCTATTTATAAAGTAAATATAATCTAAAAAGTTTTTAAGAAGCTAACGTAGCTCAAATTTCAACTTAGGTTAAAAATATTACCCACAGCTCGTATATTTTAAGTTTTCCAAAAATTAATTTTTTGTAAGAGAACGTGAAATATCATTTCCTTACGCATAAATTTAACTTTCGTAGGAGGTTAAAATCTATAGAAAACCAGATCGCCGCAGCTCTTTTACATACAAACTATAATACTTATTTTACACACAAGAGACTCAGCTCATTATAAATTATAACAGCTCACAAAAAGGATGACGCTTTACTCCCAACCAAGCGCTCTTGAATTATAAAACACTATCCAAAAGTATAACAAGTCAAATAACAAAAAATAAAAGCGCCGCGAAGTGGTTAAACATCAAATTTATTCTTTTAAATAGCAAAGTTAAACTATTCGGAAACTGCGCGAAGATAGAATTTTTTTCCTATTTTTTTGATTTCTTTGCTTGGTGTCTTCTTTTTCTGCACACCTTTTAATCTTTTCAAAGACTCGTGCCTTTTGTAAATCTTGGCATAAGGATTTAAGCGTAGCATAACAGCGAAATTTCTCAGTGGATTTTTCTTCTGTCCAGTGCGTTTAGAGTTGTTTTTAACAGGTTTCACAACCGACTGTATCTCGTCGGAGTTGATAATTCTAGCGAGATCAGCATTTTGCATCAAAGGCTTCGGAAGACTAAAGCCGGATTTCATCAAAGACGGTTTTGTAAAGGTGCCATACAATTTATCAAGCATTTGAAAAGCCGGTTCTGTCCAAATAATAAAACGGCCCAGGTGACCACCAGGGGCCAACTGAAGAAGGTTCAAGCGTGTCACGCAACAAAGTTCTACACCGGAAATGTTTCTGAATGCACGACTGATGCCGTTGTCATTCGCGTAGATCACCAACGGCCCGCGTCGTTGTCGAAAACGTCGGTTCCGCAGTTTTCCTTTACCAGCTCGGAGTCGTTTTGACGCTTTTACGTGAAGTACGTCGTCAAAAGCTCCTAAACGCTTCAAAATTAGAGCAGCCTCTTTCGTGGTCTTCACTGACTCAGCCTCGCCGTGAACTACGAGAGGGATCTCCCCGACTTTTGATATTTTATGACCGCGAGCCATCACAAGAGAGGGAAGAGAAGAGGCAGCCAGCGCAGAGACAGTCGCATAACGTCTTTGCTTCAGATTGATTTTTCGATGCCATTTCCTCCAAACTTTAGTAGGAGCAAACATGTGCCCTCCCCTACACATATTACCAAAGGCCCCTTGACCAGCCCGGTGAGTACCGCCTCCTGGGACCCTTGGAATACGAGAAACAGCCCTCCCGGTTCCCCTAACTCAGTGATCGTTAGAAATTTACTATAATGTTATAAGAGCAATAAAGAGCATTTATTTTAACACCTAAAAACCTTTTATAAACAACTTTTTGAGAGGTAAACGTACAAACATTAAACTACTTTATATAATCCAACTTATCTCACCATGACTCTGCAGACGTCTGATGACCAGCTTTACTGCTCACAGCATAAGGCTGACGATGATTTTTATTCATAGAAGCGAAAACAAAGGTAACAATATCAGGGCGAATAGGAGCCTTAAAAACTGTAGGAAGTGAAATGGTCCCGGAGACTTCCTTTCTTGAGTTATAAACGGTCACCAAAGGTCGAGAAGTCTTATTTTATAAAAATAATAATAACTAAAAGTTAAAAACTGCTGCTTTATACAAAAGAATTAACAAAAAAGAATTACTTAATTATAAAAAAATTTCAAAAAAAAATATAAATAGAATAACACATTTGTACAGTTAAAATATTTTTTTACTTTTTAAAAACCATAGAAAAACACTAAACGGGCTTATTACTACGTAAAAATAAATAAAGGAAAAAAAGTGCAAACCATTCCGCCGTAGAAAAAGATTGAAAGATGTGAGCGTGTTGGGTTGTGTCACGTTTATATATAATTTAATCTAAATTTCCAGAAGTTAAATGTTTTACACGCGCACAGCCCGCTTTGGACCCCCTGACCCCCCTTTCGCACAAGTAGAGACCTGGAGGAGCTTCAAAACAAAATTATTTCTTTTCGTTTTACTACCTTGTATCTTTATATGATTATCAAAGTGTTTGGGCCGTGAACCTTACCTTTAACTATTTTTGCAAGTAAAATTTATTTAGTTTACTGAAATGAAATGTTTTTTTTACTTCAGTTACGGTTGGAATTACTTGTAACTAAGGGCCCTCTGCTAGCTTGCTTCATAAACTTATTTTTCTATATTCATCTTTTTTCTTTTGTTTAGAGAAAGTTGTAGTTTTTAACACAGGATTATAGTAATATTGTAAAAAGTGGTAGTAAACAGGCGGAAATGAGGGTAAAACTGTTAAAAAATGGTTAGTATTTTAAAACGAGAGTTAGTGAGATCGTTTTTTTTTAATTTTTGTAAATTTTTAAAAATATAAAGATTTAATTAAGTACTTATAGTTGTCATATAACTTCCTTTTTATATTTATAGTAGGCACAATACAAATAATTTTTTAACTTGACAGGAAGTTATTTAAACAAATCCTACTGAGGCCGGTAAACTAGATAACTTTTATATACTAAGCAATCCATTATAGAATTTAAGTTTTCTTATGTGTTTTATAAAAATCGCGTATGTACAAATTATTTGAACAGAACGTTCCTATTGTACTTCCTAAATTTTAATATTTAAGTTTTGAAAGTTGGGGATCCGAATATTTAGGTATGTGCTTAACTTTATTAAAAGTTTATTTATGTGAACTTTAATAGTAATTTGTTAAAAGTTGTCACCTGCTGTATGTGTTATGGCCCATAAATTCCCGGTTTTTTCCTATTTAAAAGAAAATGCTGGAATTTTTTTTAGATACTACAAAATTCTTCACGACCATTTACATGTGACAAAGGCAAGCGCAAGATGGGTGCCCAAAAACTTCTCATTCCACTTTGAAAACGGCAACGCGTGGATCACTGCCGTCAGTATTGCGAGCTTTACCGCGATAGTGAGAAAGCAGTAGTTGAGTCCATTGTTATTGGAGAAGAGATCATGGTCCTATACCAGGCTTCTCAGTCGAAAAAGGGAACCTATGGAGTAACGCGTCGGGGCACCATGAAAAGCAAAATGGCCCCACCAACAAAAAATAATGCCCCCAGTCTTCTGGGATCAAGAGCATTTTAATGGTGGTTTTTTTAAGAGGAAAGTCATCGCAGATGGGGTGTAATACGCTATTTTACTACCTAAACTTCTTGATTTTACCAGGAAAATGGCGTGGAGCGCATAGTCGAGTTGTGGTGTCTTTTACCAACAATGCGTTGGTTCATACCACTAGAGTTGTTAAAGCTCTTGTTCGCGAGTGACTAACCCTAACCCTATTTTTTACGAATCAAATACATATATATTTCAAATTTTAATAGTATAGTCATTAAGTCTAACATTATTAATCTAAGTTATTTTATTATTAAAATTAATTTCATCCGCCTTACATTTAATCTTGTCTCCAGCAACTATTTTCTCTTTACAAAACTGTAATCGGGCTTAAGGGGGAGGAGATATGACGACGACGGCCGTTCATGCACATTGTGAAGACAAAACTTTAGACTATTTTTATGGAAATTTAAAATAGTTTATTTACCGATATAACAATTGTTGAAAGGCAAGAATACTATATTGAATAACAATAAAAAATTTTGGAATAATGTGTTTCTAACATCCTAGGCTGCGAATTTATGGGCCGTACCACGTATATTGTTGTAATAAATATCATGTTTTGCATCTTTACTCTTTGTCTTCGATGGCATCATGTAGTTAACATGAAATGATTACAAGAAAATAAAGTTATAAAATATAAGGTAGGGGACTTGGATATTTATAAGGAAATAGTTTTAAAAACATAATACAGGGGTCAACGATAAGCACAAAGTAAATAGTAATTTTAATAAAGGTTTGGCTTGAGCAAGGTTTACGACTATTTCACAACTGTTAGAAACTAAAATTATAAAAATTATATCTACTTGACCAAAGAAGCACCCTGCGAAGTCAATTATAACTAAGGTTAAAGCTTTTCTTTAAAACAAAAGAAAAAAAAGTTCAGTTTCAGCTGTTTTTTTAGGATTATTTTTTACTGAGACAAAAATTTAACTGTACGTGTTTTCTGCGTTTGGTACATAATATCCCTTAAATAGCTTCCATACCTTATTTTACTCAATGCAAGGGAACTAAATTTATTCATGCAGGCATTTTCATTTATATCGAATTTTAAAATTTATCATGTATAACGTGCGTAATACTTTATTACTCATATATGCATATAGTACGCGATTATTATTAATATCTTAAAGTACATCAAAACCTTAAATTTCCTTGTAAAGGTTTACATACTATTGATTTTAAGAAAGTGTACAGTATATGAAACAAAAATCTTCTAAAGTTCAAGTTACACAATGGTAGGCGCGTTATAATACTGAACTGCCCAACACTTATCATGTCGTAAAATTAATATTAAAGTAAACTTTTTAAATAAGTACGCTAATAATTTTTTTTTCTTATATTACATTTGAAACTGTAACTGCGCAACTTATCAATAAATTTATAATATTGTCAGTTAAATTGGGAGTTCACGAATTATAAATTAAATGCTTCGTGTCCATATTGATATACAAGTTATTAGTACCTAAATAAAAAGTTTAAAATTAAGACTTCTTCAGTAACCGCAGGTCTGTAGTACTATTATGGTTGAGTGCAGATAAATTACAACTTCGAGCGTGTTTTCAATGAAAATTACTTATGGCTTTATGGTAAATAAATTTGAAAAATAATAAAAAAAGAACGAACTGGCAAAGAAATCGAGCTTTTAAATGAATAACTGCCTTGCTTAAGCCATTGAAATTGCATTAGGTAATTATAAAACTTTTATTTCAAAGTCCTCAACTAACCATAGCAACGTGCTTTCATATACTTTTAACTTTTGAAGATTGAGTGGTCATTATTATACCTCATAAATTTATATATTATGTTAAAATGTTCTAAAGTAAAAAAAAATAAATCTGCAAAGTATAGACGGCAGTGCTGACTTCTTTAGTCAGTAGTTGTTTGAAACCTATTTGTAAACTCAAACAAAATACCCTCCAAAAAGTCAAGTGATTAATACCTATGTTATCCTTTGGCAACCGCAAAGCCAAGACGACGCGAGATGCTAAATAGTATTAGTTAAGCACAACCGTATTCAATTAAGTTGCTATGTTAACAAAACACTAGCTGCCAGAAATTAGACTATATTAACTTTCGAACAACTTTAAATTCGAGCTTTGACTCTATATAGCTTTTTAAAAACACCTAGATATTACAAAGATAAAGATAGTAATTATAATTTATAAATATTCAGGAAAATGTCAAAAACTTAGTGTCAATGCCTAGAGCGAATAACGGTCAAAGTACTAAATATCGTAAAATTATTATTAAGTATATGAAGGGGGTAAGTTTCAGCGAAGAAAAGAATATGAGCTTACAACACTTCAAAAGAGACAAATAAAAATTTATATAAAAAATAAAAAGCCAAGGTAGCTAAAAACAAAGACGGTCTAACGCCGCCATATAACGATTCTGAGTACTATAACGCATTTAAGTAAAAAATGCCCGTACACTAATAAATACATTACTATATTATATTTTAGTAGAAGACATAAAAAAGAGTTAAAACCTAACCATCAAGTCAAAAAACTTTGAAGTTGCTAAGCTGTTTAGACAAGATATAAAATAAAAAATGGAAATAGTCGAAAAGCTTATTTTTCAATGTTTTTCTACTAAAACTCTTTTAAAGTGAAAAAATATTCTTTTAAACTTAAATAAGGATTACAATAATTATTACAAAAAGGAATATACTAACAAAAGACTTAGATTATGCAAGAAATGAGTATTTGCTATATAGTAGAAAACTCACACACCGTACAGAGAACCAGTAAAAACAACTTTATTCGTAGTGAGATACTGCTTAAAGGCTAAAGAGCTTTTAAAAGTGCTCTGCGCAGTTCTTTGGGTAAACGGGTCTGAAAGCTCAGAGTGCTTAATGCCTTTAATAATACATAGTTTAACGATAACATTGCAAAATTATAAGGCTTTCAGTTTTGCGTGGCGCTGAGCGTACTGTGCGTCCCATAGTTCAGCGACTATATCTCGAAACCCCTCTCTCGTAAAGAAAACACTGCAACCTTCCTCAAAGGAAAGCAATACGTTTTCGCTGTCCTCTCTACTATACTTTTTACTAATGACGTCAACGTCATTTTTAACATCTCTTTCGAAGTGTTTCTCTTTTAACAAGTCATCAGTTCCAACAGAGAATCTTTTAAAGTGCTTGTACTCATTGCAGGTTCCTACAAAGGAACGTTTTAAATTATTATGCTCCGTAACGCTATTTACATGAAAGCCCGAATCCCTTTTAATTATACTCCACACCCTACTGTAACGATTAAACTGGCTAAAAGACATAACGATAATCCGTCCTATTATGTCATAAAAAATAATACTCGATATAATAAAAATTAAAATAAAGGCACCTGATAAAAGATAGTATTCTTGGGGTCTTATATCGGGTAGAGCAGCCCGCAATTGTAGTAGCGCTTCGTGTTCCATCCTCAGAAAAACGTGTACAGGACGAACGCACTGCCTCCATGAAGAGAGTAGTTCTTTCTAAGTAACAATTGGGTCAATACCGCGCTTAACGGCTTTAACCTTGACAAATACCTTATGATGATGACTTTTCCGGCCAGATGGGGTGTCTTCTGGTCTATAGTATAACCGTAGGAGAACGTATTTCTCAAATTTCCGAGCCGTACTGGTCAACGGAAGGGGCTCGACAGGGTCCAGATCGCAACGGCTACTGTTTGATATTGTGGTTGTCTCTGCGAGCAGACTGTAGTTGTTATTACTGTTGCCATTATCATATTTTGTTTCGTTCTCATTAGAGACGTGAAGAGGGTTGTCAAAGTTATCTTTGTTGGACTCACTAATACAGCTCTCCTCAGTAAGCGGGATAGAAGGGGAGTCACTATTAAGCTCCATGCATACTTCGCAAAACCACTCGCCTCTGGGCACCTTTCGTTACAGCGTATTTAAGGCGGTAAAAAAAATAGCCAACAAAAATACAGAGAGTAGAGGAGGACACAAGCAGAATGTGTGGGTGCCTGTATCACATAAATCGCAAAGAATAATTTCATCTTCTTTATCCCCTAAAATATTACAAAGGTAAGAAGGTGTGTTTTACTTTATAAATTAGTAATAAAATGCCTCGCAAGCACTTTGAACAAACAATTTTTTCTGCAGCTTTTGAGTTTATCCTTGAAGATCTGCCAAACAACGATATGTACTTTATATATACTTAGCAATACCCAGTATACCTTGCAAAATATCTGTTGCCTTTCTCGACAGGCTTGAAAAGTGTATATGAAGGTAAGTGTGGCCCTCGCCATAAAGCTTGGATTTCAGCAACACATAAAGGCCTAAAGAAAACAAATAATACCTTAACTAAAAAAAATAAGTGTACAGTAATAAAAAACACCTGTGTCCGCTATCTAAGTCGCAAAGCTTATAAAAGTTCCCCACATGGTAGCTTTTTATAAAGTTTTCCGGCTGTTTATAAAAATGGGAATACTTCAAAATGGGAGAAGAATGTGACGATGCTTCCGAAGCTTCTTGTAAAGATAAGAAATTTTTCCGGGTTGTACAGCTATCAAAATTTCTTTCTTGCACTCTAGCAAAGGGGGCCTTTAAAAAGGTTCCGAAACCTTCATAATAAGTTAAATTTCCGGAATGAATTAGAGGATCGGAAGTCCAGAGAACAGTGAACTATAAAGAACAAAGGCAATTACTAGGGAAAAATACAATATAAGGCAATAAGACGGACTTGAGAAGAATCAAAAAACTCGTTATCGCTCATAGCCCAAAGAGCCCAAAGTGAACTCCAAAAACAAAGTTTCAAAGCTAAGCAGACCTTCAATGAAAAAATTTAAAGGCCGAAGCAAACGTAATAATGAAAGGGAAAAGTCAAAATATGTTTAGATAAAAGGCTTACGGTGCCTGGAAACCATCATTGGAAAGAAGTCAAAAGACATATATAAACCATTTCGAAAAGCTATTTTATTATTCCAAACAAAAAAGACCAAGAACATCATGCCAACAATTAGCTGCAGCACTAAATGACCGAGTTACAAAAAAATGACAAACCACACAAGTTGGGATGGGGGGGGGTTAACTTTGAGTGCTTATGGCCTTAGTAGTGCTCCTTTTTTTTTACTGGTCGTGGTTTGCTTGCGAAGCAAAAGTGAGCATGCAACGCCAGAAAATTAAACTATTTCAAAATGCCTACTATAAACTATAACATTTTTTTAAGGCACAAAATTATTTTAGCTTAAATAACATAATGAAATTACTTCTAAGGCTAATGTATAGGTATGTATATGCCATAAAGTGAATTCAAGTTAGCCTAAGTCTTTTAAATTGCCGATAAAAAACAATTCATTACATCGTAGACTTTTTTAACTATTGTTAAAGCTCTTAAATTTGTGATACAATTAAACCATATTATAATCCATTCTTGTGGTAGAAGGAACATCAGTTTTTGCACCAATCCATCGCGCCACGCGAATAAAATTTTTCTTTTAGCCCTCTTTACTCGCAAGTCCACACTAAAAGTTTTGTGGAACTCTTCTAGGGAGCTTATTTATACCGTTAGTTCTTAAATAAAGTGACTTTGCTACATCTTTTATAATTAATTTACATTATGAGTTTCCAGCCAAAAACCAGGAAGATGGAAAATTATTTTTCATAATTTATTACTATAAAGTCAATACACATAAGATGATAATAAATCAATAAATCTTGTAGTAAAAAGTAAAAACATCTAAGGTTGACGCATAAAATATTACAAATATGTTAAAAATAGTTGATCAAAAAGGTAATGAATTAAGTCCACATTAATTTTTTGTATAGAGGTTGAATTATGAAAAAATGGATGAGAATAATAATTTTAACATCGAATAAATACATTCGAACGAAATGACACTACATATATCCTTAAATATATTTTACCTTTAATTTGATATACTAGTCAGTACAAGGAGCTGTCCCAATTGCGCAAGAACGTAGAGAAAGCAAACGAAGAGGGCAACGGAGAACATCAAAATCTATTCCCCATTTATAGTGGCTGCCCAATTTAATGTTGTACCAAAGTGGACCGAATATAGACTCGAAGGGTTTAACTAAAGCTCAGAGGTTGTTTAAAACCATAGTAGATGTTACTTTGTGCTCATATGCTACAATGTTATCTCTTTAAGTTCATGAATGGATATCTAAAAGGATTTTATTGAACTAATGAGTTTACTTATAATTTACGGATAACGTTATATTTTTTTAAATAGCTCCAAACTTTTACCTGAGAAGGAAAAGGTATATATTAGTGCTTTTAAGATGAAATCAATTTATTTTTGTATTTCCAAACTTACTAATGATTCTGAAATTTGGCTCTAAATCTTCAAATACTAATTTCCTGTTAACAAATTTTACATGAATATTTTATTAATAAAAAATATTTTTTTGTTATAAGCTTCCAAGACCCTAGTTTAGACGTTTAGTAAATTTTATTATTAGTGCTTTTTTTTTGGTTAGAATCAGACAATAAGAGGCCTTACAGTTAACAATTTTACCTGCCTAAATACCTAGAGACAACATTTTTGTTAAAAGTGGGTCCTCATTAAACGGTTAAAATATGGTCAACAGTATAACATATTACCTAAATTTTTTGACAATTATAAAGCATCGGTATGACATAACAAGAATTAAAATTAATTCAACTTAAGCAGCGAACTAAAAATTTGAATTTGTGCATCTTAGTTAACATTACGAAAAAATTATGATAAACGATGAGTATTATCTATGGGCAAAGGAGTTGAATAAAGTCTGCTCCTTAAAGACCACTTATAATCCGTTAAACAAGCTTAAACACCAATTAACTCAAATTATATGCAACCGTATCCTCTAGCAAGTTCTTAGCCCGAGTATTTATTTCCATTTAAGCTGCAAAGCTACCCTACATTCAGGTTTTGCAAGCTTTAACCAGCGTTATCCTTTTCAGGTAACTGGTTATTATCTTATTAGATTATTTGAACATTTGTTAAATTATAGTATAGCATTGAACCCTTCAGATTTTTTAAACACCTTTTACTCTCTAATAGATACAGCCGGAAACAAGAGTAATTTGCATATCAATTTTTGTAAACCAATAGGGCAGCATTTTTAAATAATAGTGCGAAGCCCATGTTCCAGGCAACACTAAAAATCCGTTCAAAATGTTTAATTATAACTCTAAGCTATGTTTTCAAAATTATATATTTTTTGTTAGGTCTTAGTTATTTAAAACCCAAGTTAAAAGGAATTAAACTTTCTTTTTTATGAGGCTAAGAAGGAAATTATAACTTTGACATTACCTTAACTAACACAAAAACGTAATAAAGAACTTAAAAAAAGGGCACATTGAAAAACTGAAGCTTAATACCTAAATAACTAAATAAACTTTGTCTCAAATGCTAGGCTACTTATTTTTGATCACAGATATAAAAAATTAAGCTGTAACCCATTAATAATTTATACTATCCATTTACATCATTGTTAGATTATACTGGTACTCACTTTTAATATTATAGAGTAACTTCCTTATTACTGTAGTAAGATGAAAACTTCTAACTAGATTACGAAAAAACTTGGATTGCATCTTGAGTATGCATTTATGCTTAAACACATTAAGGTCGGCTAAAATGTGTGAACATTTTGCATTTAATATACTTGAGCGACCCTATTTGCTGAAATTAGTAAACTGCACATGTAATATCGCATTCTAATTTTTGAGGGTAAGGTTAAATAGACGACCATCAAAGCCGTAAGAGAGAGTCGCGCCGGTGGGATTCGAACTAACGGCCTTGAGTTTGCGACTTAATGCTCTTAACCGCTGAACTACTACGACATCTCTCGATCCTGTATGATGGCTTTACTTATATAACCTGTTGAATGACTAGGCAAAGATTTGTAGTTCACTTTACCCTTTTTTTCTAATAGTTAGTTAGAGACACTTTAGTTTGAACGAAAGAACTAAGCGAAAGAGGAGTTAGAATCTGCATATAAGAAAAGAAACATACATAAACAAAGAGCGAAAAATCTAGCAAAAATTTTAATCTAAAACAACCCTTTATTGTGAGATCTCTCTGCTAGCCCATATTTTTGTAGTATATTACGGTTATAAAACTTTCGTACAGACCATGCGGTTAAGCATTATTTACGTAATATAAATTTCTTCTTTTTCCAAATTTTCCTTAGCTAAGTCCTTTTTTTCTCTCGGAATGGGTGCATAAAAAAATAAAAATAAGTGATTAGGGCACGGTCTAAAAAAGTTTTTGAAACGTTTCTATGTTATGTGTGGATTAAAAAGCCCACTTAGAGAACACGGACCAAAGGGTACACTGTGGTGAGTTCTGTAGTATAGCAACTTGAAAATTTATTATGAAGACTATCTTAAATTGGTTAAAAATAGATATTGTTGGTCATAGGGTGCCCATATATGTTATATATAGATAATAAAAAGCTTTCTGACATATAATAAAATTAAGAATCATTTTTTTATCTCTTGGATTCTTCGAAAAAGAATGAAGCCCTTGATATTATTGGCGCCATTATAAATCGCTATAAGATTCAACGGCTTGATATATTTAATAACCTTTTTGTTTTGTTAAAAATTTGGTAAATACACTATATAACTATAAATTATAACTGTAAACCTTTAAGTTTCCTTAGTGAAATATTAAAAAATTATATTTTTTAAGTAAGCATGAGTCTTTCTTGGTAGTTTCACAAGTAGATAGGGTAACAAGACACTAGAACTGTTATTTCTTTCTTAAAAAGTCAAGGTTATAGCAATAGTTTTACTTCTTGCCTTAGGATGAGTTTCTCCTATATGTAAACGGAATGGACTAAATTCGAGTTAAATTGTATTTTAGCGTGAGATTCGATTTTTTACCGCAGAATTAACCGTTAAATTATATTGGATTGTATTATTTACGAAATCGTATGCTTTCCTTGAATAACAACTAATTTTTATAAAAAAGGGTTATAATTTCTTTATCCAGCAAAAGAAACCCACTAAATTAACTGACGGGCTTCTCTGGACTATAAAACCTGGCAAAAAATGAGAAGTTACTACCCCAGTTTTCTTAGCAAAGATCCTAAGGGTATGTCTAGGATAAATCTCTTCATTCATCACTTCAAAAAATTAAATGTAATTAGCTTAACTTACCTAATTACCTTTATGTATAATCTTAGCTTTCTAAACGTGAATCACTATTGGACGTTCCTGGTCATCCACGAAATGATCAGTAACAAAGAATTACTTTCTCCAAAATCTCCTACGTACACTTTGTTTAAGAGATGCTTTTTCTCTAATTAGGTAAGTAAAGTCTGGTAGTTTACTAATAAAAAATAAAACTTAGTAAGGAAAATTAAATAAGAGCACTAGCAATTAAAAATAGATTTATTGTTTATTTAACGCAAATAAGCTTTATAGACAAAAAAATAAAATATTAAATTAATATCGAGAGGAGATTATTTGGTGGTCAAGGTCTTCCAGCTCATTCGCTATTCTTAAATCTTCGACGAAGATTCCTTTGCAAGACACTGCCTCATCACTTACAGCTCTTTACGATCACAACTCTAGGCAAGGTTATCGGTCTCGTAGAATGAGGTGTGGCTAATATAAAGAAAATACCAGCAGAGGAGCATTACATAAGTAGAATGCTGAATACTAATTTTTTATCTAGAAAAAAATGATCAACTAATTAGGCAACAAATGGGGTATTTTAAGAAATCTTGGAGAAATATTTGTTAATGTTTACTACATTTAACGTAGACTTGTTATCAAATAAAAACTACTGCCTAAGTAATGCGTTTATTAAACAGGTATTAATTTTTTTTAACCGGGTAATGGGTCAGTTCCACGATTTGTTATGCCAAGTTGGTACAATGTTATTTTTATTAATAATTGCTTTTGTAAATAACATAAAAAGTTTTTTTTATTGTAGTCATTATATGATATACTAAAACTATTAGATCAAGAAGAGGTTTATATCACGCAACATTAAAAATAAGTTTATTAGACAATTTTCACGACAATATCAATCTCTTCATAAGGTCAAAAAGTAGGTTTTCCACCCTGGCTGACTTGAAAATTTAACCTAATTTATATGTATTAGTCCTCAGGATTAAAAAATTTTTTTTTTAAAAAAATCAAAACGAGAAGTACAATACGTTAATAAAAGCTAATTTTTAAAAATTACTAATCATTAACCAGATATATTTATCAAGATTTTTGTGGACAATAAATACTCAATTTTATTGGCCTACAAATAAGTTGTTTTTTTGTCTTCAATAAACAAAGTGGAGTAGCCAATAAAACTTAATAATTTAATAAAGTAGTGGTATAATAAAATTTTAAAAAGTCTTTAAGAAGTTTTAGAGGAAAAGTACATAAAGGCTAAATTACTTTTGTAGCGTATCCCGCTTCCTAATGATGTTTTCAAAGTCTTTTACTTTTCTCGAGTTATTTCTAATTATATTATGTGTAGATGCCACTAGGGACAATCATTATTTTGCACCAACTAAGAGTAATAACTATTTAAAAAGTTGTAAGGGAAATAGGTGTACCCATTCCCGCAAGTTTTGTGCCGAAATTGATGGTTTTTATTACTCCCTCTCTACTACCAGAAGGTTACATGATATCGTAATTCCCTTAAGTTTTGACTTTTTTTTTAAAAACATTAATTTAATTGTATAAACTAAAAATTACATAATGTAATAATTTGAAACCATAAATATAATACATTATTTTACATTTTTATTATTAGTTCGGAAAAAGTATTAATAAATATCTCTATAACTTAACCAGCTCTGATAACGAAATTTTAATAATTTTTCTATTATAAAATAGGTCGAACTTAATTTGCGTGTCTGTAGCCCCAAATGAAGGTACTGAAACTTGTTATGGATTCTCTAGCCTTCAGCAGTGTTCAAAGTTGGCAGTTAATAGAGAAAATTTTGGAGGCTACAGACTAACATCCGGTAGCTAAAAAAATTTTGCTTACATTTATTTTTATTAATATCATCACCACTAAAGTATAGTATAAATCAAAGTTATTAACACGAACATATATAGTTAACTATTTAGTTATTCTTTTTTATGAATAAGGAACTGAAAAATTTTAAACTTATTTTTAGATAATATATGGTCTAATTTTATGGTAAGTTATGTTTTTGATACTAATACTCAGTTTAGTTAGAATAAAAGTGAAAATTAAATAAAGGTTGTTGTTTTTTTAATAATTAAAAAAGTAATAAAAATTGTTAATTACGTTATAATTTTTAAAAATAAATTTGCACCTATTATCATTTAATTAAACTTTATCTTAGTTAATGGGATTGAAAATGAGTCATTGAAGGAAAAATTGCTTGATTATGATATACCCCTAAACAGCGCTGTATGTTGGAAAGTAAATGCATCACCCTATAAAGGTCCTTTACAAATATTTTATAAAAAGAAGACCCAATTATATTTATCATGTATCAAAGGTATGTTAATATTAATTTTACAGGACGATATATCCAAGCAGTAATGGATGCAGCTGCGCAGACTGCCTCTTGCTTGACAGATATAACCGATGTGTTACATTGCAGATCTTTTTCAACGAGTAAAGAATGTGAATGTAGTTTAAACGAAATTCTGTTTTTAAGGGAATATAATAATATACTATTAAAAAGCTGTTCGTCTGAACACCAAACTGCAGAAAGTTGGTGTCCAGGAGTCACTTTATATTTAAGTAATTATATTCAGTACTCCACTAAAGAAATTACAGCAGATACCGAAAATTCTAATATTAAGTTATCTAAAATAAGATTGAATAACTGTACAAGTGATAATGGGGTCTTCGGAGAACAATATTAAATTGCTTATAAAACAAATAAAACAGAAATTCTTCTTTAAACAATTTTAAAGATTCTATTTATATATCACCCTATATATTTCACTGACTATTTCCCCTGTTTACACAATTTCTTCCCTAACATAATACTATACAAAAACTTAGATGTTTACATCCTCGAGCTTAATAATTAGAACTTATAGCTATTCAAGAAAATAGTGAAATCCTTTTCAAATATATGAAGAGCCTGGAAAATTGATAGAAATGCCTTTATTAAATTATACAAAGAATTTTTGAGGTAGCAGCCTTCTCATTCACATGTAAAATCTTTTGAGTCAATTCATTGATTGCTTGCGTTTATAGTAATAACATCTTAAAGTCCCTGTAGAGCTTTCAAGAGTTACATTCCAACAAATTTTATTATTCACGCTATATCCTAAGGGGAAAGAATAAACTATTAAATCTAATTAATCGCAAATTCTAAAAGGCATATATATGAATTATTTTAGTTTAGTTTTTTCGTCAGTCTTACTTCTTTAAAAGCTTCAATATAGCTTCTTTTAGATATTTTATTTAAGTTCATATACATTTTATAACCCTTGCAAAATTTCAAATTCCACATCTAAAGAAAAGGCTGTTTGTTAAATTATCAAATAACATTCTTATGGTTTTGTTGTAACTCCTCCCTATCAGATTTTTTTAATTTGAGCAATAAAATATCGGTCTAGAGTAAACTTTAGCGGGCTAACTGATCTTAGTCTAACTTTAATAATTTAATGATTTCTATGTCGGTTCTTTAAAGTCTTGATCTGATTGATTATAACAAGCAGTTTAAGTTAATATTATTTAAATAATTCTTTTTGCGTCAAGATTTCCACTTTTCCTACAGACCTAGGGATAAATATGTAATACAATTACAAAAAGATTGTTTAGCGACTCAAATACAGGAAGGACTCAAAGTTTAAAGAATATTGATGTGCTGTACTACGGTATTAAAGCTAAGCAGTTAGACTATTGCATAAAGAACTTCTTTAAAGCCAAAACTGCATAAAAACATGGATCTTCTGCTATGCGAGAGAAGCTAGAGGCTCAAAAACATAATTAAAGATTAAAGCTGTAGGTGTTTAAAATGCAGATATGCCACATCCACATAAGAAAACTTGTACACGTTAAAATTTACTAAATATAAACTTAGAAAAATAGTGTCCTCGTGAAGATTTCACAAATGACGACAGAATTGATATTAATATTGCAAATACATTTAGCAGATTTTTCTGTTGCAGCTTGTCGTCCTTTTGAAGATAGAATTTACCCTAAAATATACATATTTTATGATTAATTATCATGTTGCTCGTGTGTAACAGCCTTATTATTAATTTTTCCTTCGGTCCTACAGTTGTCTCCCCGACTTTTTCTCAATTTTTCCTTAAAAAAAAAGTAGTTTGTGGGATAATTTCTTTTTAGTTGTAATTAAAATAATTTTTGTCTTATCTTTATCTCAAGCTCTGCAATAATTGATTTGGCTTTATTGTAGATTATTAGTATTTAGTTGTAGGCCCATTCAGGCAGTTCATTCGATTAAACTAAAGCTCTTAATAACAAGAGGTAAAGAAAAAAACTTTTTATTTATTTAATTGCTTCACCTGAGAGATGAAGCTTTTGAGTATTAGCGCACTGCATCCTAATGAAACATCCAATCTTTTTTATCGTCACTCGTCACGTTTACTTCCAAACTAATTAAATGACGTTGCAAGCAAATAATATCGTTAAAATAGCTTTTTGTAGTTATTTATGTTCCTAACTTCTAGTGTTTTGTCTATTTCATTGAAACTACCGTGGTTGTCCTCCCAGTTCTAAGTCCTGCACTTAACTTTGCTTTTAAGTTTTGGTTAACTGTCTTATCTTAACTCCTCGGTTTATTAGTTGAGCACCTGTATCATTAATCTGTCAGTAATTATTCCTTTTTATTTTTAATTATTATTAATTTTTTACTTCCAGATATATACTTCTACCTTTTAAATTTAAGTTGTTGGTACTTTCTATCTTCATAGAGTATATATGAGCGAGTGCGTGGTTACAAGTTTTTTTTTACAGGCACTGACTTGCACAAATTTTTTCAACGATATTTTTAACCCGTAAAAATATATCTAACAAATATGCACTGCATAAAGTCTTTGAGTAAAACGCACATTTAGCATCAACAAAAATTATTATTAACAGAAATAGAATTTTTAGAAAAATAAGCTTTAGTCTTATTGAAAAGTTTTACAGCGTATTCTGGCGATATTTGAGTGCTTTTTATTGAGTTATTAACTTACTTTTTGCAACTCTTTACTCATCTTATCCCTGATTTTTTCTTTAAAAAAATTTAATAGGCACCTATAATAAACATAGTGTTGTCAGTTTTGGGTAATATTTACCCTTGCCTCGCCGATACATATATAATCGCTGTCATTATCCACCCCTTTCAGATTATTACGTAATAATTAAGGATGAAACATTCTACAAATTTTAAAGATTATAAATCATTATTTTTACATATTATCTGTTTAGTGCACAAAAAAGCTAAATAATTTGTAATGACCAAGGAAGCGGTATAGCCTTGTGCAACTCTTTACACTACACCTCTTTAAAATGATAAAAACTAAGCTGGTGAGCAAAATAATTTGTGATTTTTCTTAATTTTTTAAGGCAGAAAACTTTTTAATAGGTTGGCCTAACTTTTTTTAAAAGAGACTTAATAATATAGGTTCTCCCAATAATTGAAGGTTGTTAAAAAGTTTAAATTCCTTTATGATTATTTGGGAAGTTAACAGTGTAGTAAACCTTGTAGTCATTTATAATTTATTACTTTATAACTCCGCATAAGGCTTACATTCATAATACAAGTTATAACAAAAGTTAGTAAGAAAAATAATTTTTTAAGATAATAAAAATAAAGTATAGGGCTAGCTAATAAGTTGGTACTTTGTTGATATTCAGGGTTTACACATACCTAACCTTTTGAAATGATTAAGTCGCTTATAATAATACTCCTTTGGTACTATAAATAATACTCCTTTGGTAGTATAAATAATACTTCTTTGGTAGTATTGAAATAGAGAAGTTAAAAAAAAGAAACACTTGTAACAAGGAATTGGTATAATCGCTATTAAGATGTATCCATTTTTTAAACATTCCTACCATTCCAGTGTTGCTCATCTTTGATAATTTAAAACCCTTATAAATACTAAATTTTTTCCATTTTTAACTCACTTTCTTCGGAATACTTACTGTCCTTTTGAAAAATGGTTTTCTTCTCTCTAGCTCTTGCTTCCGCGTTAATTTTAGTAAACTCAATGAAGCCAAAAAATGATCCTAATATAATGTATCCTGAACTAGACATAGAAACTAATACCGAAAGCAGCTGTAGTCTAGCTTATAAAAACATTTTTAACTCAACTGATGAAAATAATGGTGATATCACCGCCGTTCAATATTATTGTCCTGGAGCTCAATCCACTTGTTGCAGTAGCCAACAGTTGGAAGACCTTTCAGAATATGCAGGATTTGTAAAAAATCTTTACAAGGACATTTTAGATTCGGATGAATTTTACATTGACGAGGACTACTTTAGTTGCATAACTGATATGATTAGTATGACAGAAGATTATGTCTGCTTTGCCTGTGATAACAATAAAAAATTGGATGATTTAAATATCCATTCATGTTCAAAAGTTAGCCCTGAGACCATGAAGCAAAGTTTTGCGGTTCTCCTAAAATCTCTTAAGGAGAACCAAGAATTTTTGAAATACAAGAAAAAATTTCCGGTTCTCTCAGAAGTATTTAAGTCTTTATACGCAAGCGCAGTTTAGTTTTTAAATCTATCTTACAATAAAATACATAATATTACGATATGATTTTTTATTATCTTTATCTGCTTAATTACTGTGAAATAACTCATGTCGTTTTATATGAGGACTGTTTGTAACAAAAGCTTTAAGGTCTTAAAAAGGTAATATACCAAGGCGTGACTGACTAATATCAATGGTATACTCCCTTTTTTACGAGCTAAAAGCAATACTGTAGCCCAAAACACTTTTTCGTTGTTTAAGTGTTCATAGATTATTATACATATTTAGATTATAACATCGACAGAAATAGTCTCTTAAACAAAATGAATTAACAACTTAGAAAAGCCTAGTACAGCATTCGATAATAGAAGCAGCTGACATCGCATTTTCTTACTAAAACTTCAGTGCGCGGTTATAACTTGATATATTTGCGAGTTCAATGCGGAGGAATTAACACAGCGAAGGTAACTTTTAAATTCCGATTCGTCCAATCTGACACATTTAGTTTAGATTACTTTAATCTTAAACCTATATACATATACATTCTAGTCTAAAAGCCAAATTTTAGTATATAGAGTTAAGGTGCGTAGTAAGTAATAAAAAATTCTCTTCCACACCAATAAACTGAGAGAAATAATTTTACGGGTTTAGGCAGCAAGAGTTGGTAGTTGTATAACTTTACTCAGTAATAAAACCTAGTAATGCTTCAAATAGTCGTAAATTAAAAAAAGTCTTAAACAAAAGATATCTGCAAAATTTATAATTATTTATAAAGTTTAATTAATATTTTGTTCAAACAGTTGTGTAGAGGAAAGTCAATACAATCTTATTAAGTTTCGTTTGCCCAGTAGTTATTATGGATTTGTGTCCAAGGAAAACAACTCTTATTATTCCTTTTTAAAAATGTATCAAACGCAAGATGACTGCGAAGCAACTAAAGAAAACACTGCATTGTTTTCAATCAGAGTTGTTTGTATAGACTATTACATAACTCAGTTCCCCGGAATCGTGTTAGCAGAGAAGGGAAGAAAAGTACCAGTTATTAGGATATTTGGACCTAATGCATTGGGTACTTTCCCTATTTACTATTGAATTATAATAATGTATTGTGTAATAAGGGCAAAACTGCTGCCTTCATCTTCACGGAAGTTTACCTTATTTTTTTGCAACTCTCGAAGGGTTTGAAGATGATGATTACCATATATACAGAGAATTAAATATTGTATTCAGAAAAAGTTTGATGGCCGCCCTTAGAAAGTTTAATGGTTTATCTATAAATATTTATTAACCATAAACAACCGCGATTTTTTGAATTAAAGGTAAAAAACTCGAGTTTTCGTCCAATAAAGAGGCACTTGCCTCAAAGCCCGATGAATATATTTTTGATACTATCGTAGTTAGAGGTATGCAATATAAATTTAGTTCGCTTTCATAAAATTCACCGCACGTTTATTTTGTATAAAGGATTTCCCTTTTATGGTTTCTCTGCGGAAGAAAGATTATTTATAAAAATATTCCTTTATGACCCAAGTTTGGTGTCTGTGGCCTCCAGATTACTTCAAAAAGGTTTAGTCTTTGCTTTTCTCTATTACTGTTTCAGTGCAACAATACACTTTTCTTTTGCTTAAGGGGCCGTTCTTAACAGGCGCTTTATAACTTATGAAAGTCACATTTCTTATATCCTTCAGTTTATGATGGTGACATCAAGTTTTACTTTACTTTTATTTCGGTTAAATATATATATTAACTCACGCCTGTGTTTCAGGATTACAACATCAACGGAATGGATTTCATCCATCTGTCGGATGTTAAATTTCGCGCCGAGTCTAGCTTGTGCGGCACCTCTACTTCCCCTTTGGATCCCGTTTGGATGGAGTACTGCCGTGTATATGACCAACAGAAGCATATGGTTTTCAACGGGAGTGTTGAATCGTTGAGCTCGCCGAGCAACTCTCAAAGGGAGACGGAAGTTTCCGGTGAACTTCAACGCCGCTGGATCGTGAAGGATCTTCCTTCCTTCCTTCTAAACTCTAATAAACAAGAGCGTGAAAGGTGCTGTAGGCTGTAAAATTAAATTTTCTGCAGTCATTAATATTTATTGAACTATCATTACTTATTCAGCTTTTAGTGTTCATAATTTCAGTAATTAATTAAAGTTTATTAAAAATAAAATTAATTGTTAAAGGTTAAACTTTCACGTTTCATCATCTTTAGTTAAAACTACTATATAAATTTTATGAATACGTTAGTTTTTCGGAATTAGAGCTCGATGCAACTGTCGATGCAATTTTAAACGTGCAGTGGCTTAAGAAGGATCGGTTTTGCCATACTTTCGGTGAGTCTATTTTATTCTTCTGCAGACGGCTTTACTAGATTATACTTATCAGGGCGAATCCGCAATCTCTCTTCCTTGTGGGAAGATGAAGAACGCAGAAGAAGTTTTTTGAAACTCGATTTCTCGGTTTGATTTTTTAAGTTCTTAACCCTTTACCAAAACACACAAGTGTTTATCTTTATAAAGCCTTTGCGATCTGCCCCTGAACTAAATCTGCTCAGCAGTGACGAGTATCCGTTTTTTGAACAGCCAAAGGCAAGTGACGGTTCAACGACAGAAGTTGGAACGTCCGGAACAGCATCGCCACCGTCCACTTCCCTTCAAGTGTCGTCCAAGTGCGTTACAGAAGAAGCAGAAGTTCCGTTATCACAAGACTTGCACAGTATTTTATATGTTACTATGCTATTCGGGGCCACGAATGAACCCACTGATTTTCCTTATAAAAGCTGTTAGTAATAAGACTAAACAGGCGTGCTGGAGATAATCAGAAGTATTCACACCCAAAACGGACTCTCCGAAGGCGAAGAACTGGAGGAGAAGTTGGAAGCGTACCGTTTGTTTCAGCAGAACACGCAGAGTTCAATCCCAGAAGAGGCCGTTGTGGTGGACGAGCGCGTGATAGACGATTTTGTTTCGACGGAGTATATGGAAAGGAATGCTGCCGCGCCCGTTGAAAAGTCTCATTGGAGCATTACTATTAAAGAGAGACATTAACGCCGTATTGTTGTTGCTGAGTAGCGATGAGGAGAGCGATAGCAACGAGAAAGACATACTTGCTACGATTGGCCTTTTGTCGCCAAATGACTGGGCAGACTGTAAGATTTCTCCAATCTTAGTGGTTCTTTTGTGGCCTTCACAGCATGAAAAGGTTTCCATGCGGGAGAAAACGCCCTGACACCGCAGCTCCCTGCCACCACAGATGGGACCTCTCTGCTCTCGCAGCATATGCTTAGCATGTGGTCCCCTGAGAGGAGACACTTCACTCTCTCTTCTCCTCCAGCACCCACCTCGCCTACATTACAACAACATCATAATAACAATAATAATACTGTCACTATGGCTCACGATAAAAATGTTGAAGGCTTCTCTACGTACTCTGTTCAGGGCTTGTACGTCTATAAACCCGTCACGGATCCTCCTTCGGTGGCGGACTTGGCGATAAAAAAACCCGGTGCACACCAGAAAAACCTCGAGTTTATAGCCGAAAAAGCGACCAATGAGGAAAAGAAAGCGACGGGCGAGTTTGTTATTCCGCCAAGCCTTGTCTCTCCCTTTTCCACTCTTGGGTTTCGCTTTTCGCGGGGGAGTCTGGCGGACATACAGCGGTTACATCAATACCAGCATATAACCACGATGTCCGTGGAGGTGCTTGCTGGTTGTATTCCATATTGTCATATTTTTCTTCTCTTTACTTTTACATTTATTGAAGGTTCCGAAACTTCTTATCCGAATCCGGAAAAGGACGCCGTGTACGCTGTGGCATACTGCATCGATAACGACTTACTTAAAGGAACTGACTTTGTAAAGGGAAGCAAGCTTAGGCAAGTTGGCATTACGAATTTACACTTTTTATTGCAGGGCGTCCTACTTTGCTGCAGATGCAATTATTGTTTGCGTTCGTGGGTTTCACGAGGTTTGTGTTTTGCATAGCCCCACTCATCTTCTGTGCTTGTTACCTTTTCGAAGGGTTTGCTGTGGAGATATATTCAGCGGAGGAGGAAGTGCTGACGCGCCTTGTTGCTTTAGTAAGGCGCATTGATCCCGATATTCTTGCCGGCTTCGACATCCAGCGAGGCAGTTGGGGCTTTCTTGTAGCGCGGTCCATATATACGCCTGTTACTTTCGGCACTATTAGTCAACACGCTGTCCACTGATAGAGCATTGTGTTTCTTCAATATGAACCTGCAACAACTCCTTTCTCGCTGGACGACATTTCTGGTTGCTGCATCGCGCTCATTACCAACTCGCAGTTTCGATATATGTCAACTCCAGCCCGAAAGTGCCGGCAAGGAAACTAATCTTTGGGCTTATACTCACGATTCCGGTAAACTTTCCCCTTTTTTATCAAACTTCTCAAGAGGTGGTAGTTTTTTGCGCCAAGATCTCGTGGTTACAGGCCGCATATGCATCAATCTCTGGCGCCGGTGCAGAGCAGAAATATCGTTAAATAACTACACGTTCGAGAATGTTATGTACCACGTGGTAACTGAACAATCGTAGTTATTTTCTCCGCACCGGCTTAGCTTCCTTTGGTTGACTCAGGCCCACCACAGAGTTCCCAAATATTCAGTACAAATGCTGCACAGATGGTTCAGGTCTCTTATTGGCATTGTGCTTGTGGTTATTATTAAGATTGATATAGCGGGACAGAAGTGGAGAGACTGCGAGCTGTGCAGTACTGCGTGGACCGCGCGATGGGCGTGCTAATTATTTTGAGAGAACTTGAATTTTTCGGTACTTACAACTGAAATTGGCCCACTCTTTTTCACCATTTATTATGAAGGAAAAAAAAGTGAACTCGCTCGAATCTACGGAACTGACCTATTCTCAGTGATAACACGTGGATCGCAAGTAACTTACCGAATGAATGAGATTTGACTCTTTATCATTAACCAATCATAAGTTTAAAGTAGAAGCGATGATGCTGCGCGTGGCCAAAGCTTTCAATTATATTGCCGTTTCGCCCTCAAAGGAAAGGGTGGCCGCCCAACGTGCCCCTGAATGCATCCCATTGGTCCTGGAGCCCAAGGTCATTGCTTCTTCGGTTTCACGGGTTGCTCTTCTTAGAGGCTACGTTACCAGAGCTGCTTCTATACGTCTCCTGTCGTCGTACTAGACTTCCAGTCGCTCTATCCGTCCATCATGATCGCCTACAACTACTGCTACTCGACTTGTTTGGGTTTATAGACTTCATTAGTTACCATCATACTCTGAGCAGCGTCATTGCCTGTCTAGGTCGTATGCAAAGCACAGACAGGAAGCAATTGGGGACTGAACTCGTAGTTTATCCGTCTTGGGTAGTATCAAAGCTACAGTCCGAAGGTGGCTTGAGTGTTTCTCCCAACGGCGTCGTGTTTCTCAAGAAAAAAGTAATGGGGTGCATACTTACCACTATGTCCAGTCTTTGCCGGCACTGTGAATAGATCAAAGTTGGTGTTCTTCCTCTTCTGCTGTCGGAGCTTCTCAGAACACGAATTATGATTAAAGATGTACTTTATTAGTTTTATGGAAAAGCAACGTCCAATTAACGTCGGCCTAAAAGTCTATGAAACTCTACCAAGCAACGCACAAGGATATATTTAAAACTTTAGATTCTCGGCAGTTCGGCCTCAAGATGATTTCCAACGTGGTCTCCTTGGCTTATTGCCTGCTTCAATCCCCCCTTATGTAAAACATTGCATTACCACAAGACTTTTGGATATACGGCTGCCAGTTATTCCGGGCGGATGCCATGCGTCGATATAGCCGACAGTATCGTTCAGGTTTTTTTTCTTTATTTTACTTTAATTTTATTATTCACTCGTTACAGACGGCGCGAGAAACGCTGGAAAGGGCTATCCGGGCCGTAAATAGCAATAAACTTTGGGATGCGGAAGTCATATACGGTTTACTGCTTACTGAAAGTTTGTTTGTGGCCTGCTCTAATGAAGCACTCCCTGCAGGCGATACAGACAGTTTGTTTGTCCTTCTAAGACACCGATCGAAGGTTCTTATACAAGCAGATTGACGAAATATAAAGTAGAACATCTATTTACTGCTCCTGAAGGAAGAGGCGTTCAAAATTGGGAAGGAAATAGCCAATTACGTTACGCTGAGCAACCCTCGACCAGTCTGTCTGAAGTTGGAAAAAGTAGCCCTATCCAGTCAATTTCTGCTGGAAACCTTCTGTACTACTGGCGTTGCAGGTCTATCTTCCCTGCATTCTCCTGGCCAAAAAAAGATACGTCGGGAACCAATACGAGTCGCCGTCCCAGCAAGAGCCGCTCTTCGATGCCAAAGGCGCGTGTTTTTTATTCCAGCTGTAGATGTCTACTTTATTCTGGCATCTTATAAACTACAAGGGTAGGTATTGAGACGGTGCGCCGGGATGGCTGCCCTTATGCCTCAAAGGTGCGTTAGTGGCTTGGCGAGTCTTCCTTTCCTTCATTATCCAATGGAAGTTAAGCTGTTAGAGAATGCTCTCAAGTTTCTTTTTGAGGGACAAAGTTTGGCGACCATCAAGAAATACGTGCAGAAGAAAATGAGGCGGCTTGAGAAAGGACTGGTTTCTCCGCAAGGTCCCACGCGAGATCTTAAAGTTGTGCACGCGGTAATGCTCCGCTGGCAGACCTAATTATCTGCAAGGAAAATAAAGTGAACTCCTACAAGCGCCCGCACCTCCAGCCCGTCGTCGTGGCGTGGTTAGCGTAGTTCTGATCTCCTTCGCTTGCCGTATCATACTTTGACAGCGCACGTGGCAGAGAGGCGGACACAGCAAACATTTGTCTCTATGGCGAACGAGTTCCTTATTTGGTACTGATTGGAATAGTAGAACATCAGTGACGTCATAGCAGCGCCTTAACGGCTGAGCGTGATAATCACAAGACAGATCTTTCAATGCCTTTTTTAGGTGACTTATGGCGCCCGAACGAACCGCCTCATTGATAATGTCTGCAGCCTATACGACTTCCTCTATGACGAAACTGCTTTTCTTAATACGAAGGTATTTGCTTTCGGTCCTTTATTACTACTCTTTTTCCGATACATAATGCCTTTGTAGTATTACATCAAGAAACAGCTGATACCGCCACTTAGCCGAGTCTTCGGGCTACTTGGTAAGAACCGCTATTGTCGTGCTTAGCGGCCTTAAGACTACGTAACTCCTACCGAACCAGGAGAAGATCCTGAAAATTGGTACGCTGAACTATCCGTTAGAAAGAAAGCGCCATCGACAGAAAGCGCCTTTTCTAGAAGGTCCTTACCAGAAGTAAGCTCCCTACGAGCAAGGAGCCCTCCTCGGAAGAAGAGGGTTATTGAGCAGTATTACTCCTCAAAGAACTGCGCCGTTTGCCACTCCTTTTGCACAGAGTAGTGGCCCCACTCAATATATTAATATTTCTTATTGATATTTCCAAGCACTACTGAACAGTGTCTATTTAGAGAGGATGCCTCATTATGCCAGCCGTGCAGGGCATCCCCACAAAAGTCCTATTTTTGCCTGCTCTCTGCTCAGCGAAACGTGGAGTACACACGAAAACATCTATATATGGTTGGTTTTGTATATTCCACTTTTCTTATTGGATTCTAAAAAGCATTAACCACTTTATAAGCGCCGTTATTGGTACATTTAACTATTATTAACGCCAACATATTTCTATAAAGATTTGCTCGCGGTGTTTAGGTGAACCAAGCGAGCAGGCGATCGATCAGTGTATTTCATTGGATTGCCCAATTTTTTATGAGCGAGTCAAGATAAATAAGAAAGTCCGACAGGAGCTGCCAAATTACCGTCATCTCCTTCAAAAGTTTTGATGCTTCTTTTAATAAAATTGTGTTATTCCAGTTTGACACGACTGCTCACAACGCATGCAAGCAATTAATTTTAACAATGGTCTCGCCGATAATCAGCATTAACAGCGCTCAAAAACTTTATACAAGTCCGGTAAGTCAGCAATGAGAACCAAACAGCGACCGCCCAAAAGGCTGGCCGGAGGTCGAAGTCTTTTTCTAATGACGGGAAACAGCACATGTTCCACGGTCCACTTCCAATTGCGTTCGGCGTTATCCGCCAGCTCGTCTCCCTCGCCCCCTTCATAGGCGTAGAAAAGGCTGAGCTCTAGAGCGAGGGACCTGAAGCACTCCACCTCGCGACTCCAGTCCACCTTTTAGTGAAAAGCCTTGCTTACCGAAAACAAAAGCTTCTTATGAACAAGTGATGACCTCCGTTGCCATCCTTAGAACAAACATGGGAAGTTTTGACCAAGACGGCTCGTAGTGCGGCAGTACAAGCGGTAGCGTCTCCAGCACTCCTTTCGCCGTTACGTGAATCATGAAGTACTGCCGTTGCAGTGAACTTTTCAGGGAGAAAAGGAGGAACACATAGTTAATGACCTCTCTCAGCATATCCGCCCTGGATACAAGCTCCGACGCCATCGCCTGCACGCGTTAGTAAGAGGCCTTCTTGTAGAGTCATAAACTTTTCTTACTGCTATGAGTTGATCCTGGGGGCCGTGCTCCTCCTCGGAATAGCCGCTCTCTTTACTAGTAAAGTTCATACTAGGAGCGTCTTTTAATGGAAAGACCAAAAACGAACCTGTTGAGCGCCAAACTTAACAGTTCCGTGAGGCTAACAGTCGGAGATAATTTCATTAAGCCAAAATTCCCGAAGTCCTCGAACACCAATTGGAAGAAAAGCTCCTGACTGAAAAAAAGTCAAGAATTTTTATGAAGGGACGGGTGTCAGGGGACGCACCTAAGCTTTCTGACGTTGGCAAGGTAAAGCTTCGTTTGGTTCTGTATTAAAGCGAGTGTCCGAGTCACACAACCAACAAATGTGTGGCGGGAGAGGATGGTTCGGGCGTCTACAACAAGCTCTGAACGGTAGCTCACAAGCGTCTAACGGAGTGCGGAATACCGGGATCCTCGTGGGTTACAAAGGCCTCCCGACATTCCAGAACGCTCGTTAAGTTCACTGGATTGCGCTTCAACCGGCGGCTCTCCGAACTTTAAATTCGAGAAAAATTAAAAAGGACATCTGCCATTGATTTAGAGTACCAAACAAAATCTTGCTCCGAGCAAAAACGCTTATGATGTGGGCTAGACTGGTCGCCAATCGCAGGTGATCCAATAAATGAGTGCAGGGTTTGTGAGCGGTGGTCAGTTCGAACCATGTGGTGGCCATACATCTGCTGGCCGCTCCGGTAATAACTAAAGGGACTGAAATTGACAAGAAAGCAACTTTGACTTCGGAAGGCTGTTGAGGGGTAACAGGAGCAGCACTTTCACGTGAATCGGGCAGCGATAAAAAAGACTTATGCAAATGTCACTAGTGCAACGGAGAGAGAGGGAAAAAGGGACACCTGCGAATAGAACGTGCGCGACGAGCTTTCTGCAAGTAGCCGTGCTCTAGTGGTTTCCTGGACAACTTCGATGATGCGGTTCGCGTGGAGAAAGTGAACCTGTCACACAACAGATGCAGATAATATGAAGAAATGGATATGAACCAACCAAACCTCGTTTTTGGTGGGATGCACATTGACGTCCACGTTAGCAGGGTTCATCGTTAGCGAGAGATAACAAAAGGAATGCGCGTGCTTAGGAAGATGAGCGCTATACACATTATCTATTGCTTTTCTTATAGCGGGACACTCCAGCAGGCGGCCGTTGATGAATAAAACAAAAACTCCGCGCTTAAGGGAGAAGTTAGCGTTGGAAATCAAACCAACTATTCCCAACTCGAGGCTTTCCTCAAGCTGCTCTATCTAAAGCACTGTAAGTACACTTCAGAAAAAAACCAAAAAGACAAAAGACAAAAGCACTTCTAGTAGCTCTGCTTCTACTTTCTGCCCATAAATCGCTTTTATATTGCTTCTTGAAGTGGAATCAGCAGGCGTCCTATAATCAGCGGCGGCCTCCCCAAACTTAATTTAATAATCTTTAGTTAATTATAACTCATCAAGCATATGATCAAACCTTTTTTAAAGTAAAAGAAACTTGTGGAAAATTGATCGAGTAGTTACAAACAACAGTATGAATCTTTAAATATTCCTCGTTGCTACTTTTCAAAGTTTTTCTTCGGGTGTCCATGTTATAAAATAAATCTTCCACCTTTAAAAAGATCTGATATGGACCAATAACTATAAAGAAGGTGATGAACAAACACAGATTGTGGTTCCTATATTGCCAGCACACGGCACAGGCTCGACCGACAAACCAGGCTGGGGCGAGGTCAAATGACCGTCACAGTAAAACGCTCTAAAAGCAAACGTTGTATTTTTATAAAAAAGAAAAAATAGTTTAAATAAGAAGGCCCACTTGTACGCGCATTGTTCAGTGCGGGTCCGTGTGGTAATAGACAAGTGCGACACGTGGGAAATGGAAGCCAAAGCCTCACCACGAAAGCCGAAAGTTCGAATCCGCCTTAAATCCTCAAATTCTCTTAACTTACTTGTTGTAAATCTCTTGCAAACAATCGACAAGTCTTCTTTCTATATAAAAAAATACTGTAAAAACTCCTTTATTCGTTCCAAAGTGCTACTCATATATGATTCAAAAACCCTGATCCCATTTCCCGTGTCTTGAACTTGCAGTGCCTTTACACCTCCTTCTTTGACAGTTATGGATATTTTCTTTGCTTCTGCATCAAGACTATTTTCTATAAGTTCTTTCACAGCACTAGCAGGGCGATGAATTATCTATTATTAACCCAAGTTAAGGTAGCAACCAAAGTTATCATAAAAGAATTTTAACCTCACCAGCTGCAATCTTATTAATTACAGCTGTAGATAATTTTATTATTTTTTTAGGAGTGCCGTCGAGAACCATTAATAATGTTTCTTTGATATCATACAGCTAACACTGTGACGTAGCTACTTAATTAAATATATTTTTAACTGATGCCGTGGAACGACGAGGATAAAAAAATTTACTTTTTATAGTTAATGACTTAAAATCGCTTTAGTAATAATCTTATGAAATTTTAAAAAAGTATATAGTAAAACAATTAAAGCGTAACAAAGTTAAAAGAGGGATGGAAACATGAAATGGTCTACAGATTATTGAGGTCACGCATAATCCGATTTTGAGTGAAGCGGTTTAATCCTCATTCCTCGCGATGATCATATATTAGTCTTATAGTAGGTCGCTATAAATTTTTGTCCGTTTACTACAAATATAACTTCTAGGCGTCTTATAAGATATAAAGTATGTAGACAAATCATTAATTTCATAATGCTTAAATTTTTTTATAAATTTGGATTTAAAACTTAAAAAGATAACCTCGAAGTGGATTTTCATTTAACTAATTTGCACTACAGCTTAAACAGTTGATATATTTATGTCGCTTCTTAGTAGTTCTAGCATTTTTAAGATCGTTAATAACTTAAATTTAGTTAATATTGTTGCTTGGATTACATATTTAAAAGGCCAGTAAAATTAAATTGTGTAGGAAGAAACTTCTATTGGAGAAGCGAAAGGTCTGTAAGAACTACGTTCAAAGAGTGACCTTTCTGTTAATGATTATATACATTTAAATCGGCTGCCAAGCTTATTTTTGGCTTGTAAAATGCTTATTTCAACTATTTACATCGGATTAACATAGTATACTACTTATTTTTGTGCTAATAAATTCTGCGCCACCATCTATTTCATACTCAAAGTACGTAGCTTAACGAATTCCTACTCTTATTCCACTTTAGCGTCCAGCTGTCGTTATTTTGTTGGTTATTTACTTATTGCCAATTACTTGAGGGGTCTTCGCTCATTAGAAAACAGAAAGAAGGCAGAGTAACGCGTTTTTAATAGTTTAGAGTGCCTTGCTCTTCGACGCTCTCGGGTTAATGAACATGGATTAAAGGAGGATTGAAAGAGTGTAACACTGTATAAGAGCATTAAAAAAAATGCCGAAATTTAAATACCGCAAACTGAAACGTCCTGGTTATTATTTCATAAGTAAAGTGGGATAGCAACTATGTAGTAAAAATGTGGAGGGACAACCAAGTTTATATAGAAACCAACTATCTAGGGTCCATAGCTCCCTTTTAAGGTGACCATCGAATTCTCCTTCAGGAGAAAGAGCTTGCAAGAGTAATTGCGATAATGGACGGTTGGGAAGACTTAAAGAATTTCAAATATTGAAGCTGATTTTAGCATTGTCTGTGGAAGCCTCATAAAGTATTTTTTTAGCGATCATGAACGCAAAAAATACGTCAAGTACACTTGCTAGCTTTTGATCAGTAAGAATTCAACTTTATTAGTTATTTTTTAACAAGGCTAATTCCTGGAGTTCGATAGGTCATTAAAAAACAAAGAATTACGAGCTCTCAACAAAGCGATAGCGTACACATTAGCTATAAGCTTGTGTTAAAATTATGATATATACAATATTATTTTGACAAAAAAAAATTAGCCCTAGTAAATACTTAAAACCTATTGCGTGCGTCCCCAAGACGTAATCGACCTCATCTGCAGGTAATTAAGACGTTCGTAAGTGACGTTAGCTTAGCCTCGAAAACGTCTCCCAAGGTTCAATCTGGAGGTCTTGTTGTAAACCATTCGTTGCGAACAAACTACCACGCGCTTGTCATAAGGCGTAGTAGCTGGTTGTATCTCACTTGAAGCAAAGAGTTCTTGCCGGTAAGTCGTAGGCTCAGGCAGTAGATGCGTATGACATGATTGGTCAGACACCCAACACATAAATGCGTTCCTTATTGTGCAAGGAGAGTTTGCTTCGAGCTCGAAGTAAAGGGTTAAGATTTGAATCTCCGTCTTGACCTTCACCGCAGTATACTTTACGAGCCTCTACAAGAGCTTAT